ACACCGATGGATCGTACGAGAGATCTCCAGATCAAAGATTGCAGAAACCAGGCAATCCACTTACCCATAGTCTACTGATCCCGGATGACTGTGCCCGAAGAAAGGTGCCCTAACGATATGATATGATATGATATGACTCAGGGGCTAGCTACTTTCTTTCTTACACTACGCCGTACTAACTAGTTAGTTGTTAGTAAATACGTTCAAACAAACAAGGCACAATCCTATCCAATTCCCTCCCAGCCTCGTGAAAAAAAAAGATTCAAACTACTGTAATGTAAGTAGCAGTAATGCGGCATCTCATACATCGTACCAATTAGGCAGCATGCTCCTGATAGATCGACCAATTCCTTCGGTTTCTTCATGGCTCGCATGAAAGGGCCAACTCATACCTCTCTTTCTTCACTCGTGGTGGCTGGGGAGGATGTAAGTGCGATCTGATCTGGGCTATCTACTATCTACACCGCTACATGTCTCGCCCGACTCGTGCGTTGCGTTGGTGTGGCGACAGATCCCGTACCAGAAAAGTATGTGTATGTGGGTTTGCCTGCTATGTGACCTGTGTTTTCGGAGGGTCCGGATGCAAATTGATATGGATGGTCTAGGCCTAGAGTATTTAGCATCTTGGGTTGAAAGTCAATTGGTTTACGAGTCATGCTGGACAGCAATAATGTCATCCGAATCGTTGAAACTTGCTTAGATACTTAGATATGCTAATGTCACACATGGATATCAGTACAACGGGATACCAATCCCTGATCTACGTTTTTTCTATGAGCAAATGGTCCCCTCCCTGGATGCTCACTTAACCGGTGATCTTGTAGATGGACTCGGCAAGACGCTTGACGTTGCCGCTGGTGATACCGGCCACGGAGATACGGCCGTCCTTGGTGGCGTAGACGGAGTGCTGGACGAGTTAGTGTCTGCAAGAGATATAAGGAACAAGCTGGCTTACCTCCTTGGCCAGAGCGTCCATCTGCTCGGGCTTGAGACCAGTGTAGGCGAACATGCCAATCTGTCGCCTGTCAGTGATTACTCGTGTCAGTCATTGTTCTGGATCCTACCTGGCTGGTGATGTGAGACCAGTCGTGCTTGCTGCCAAGCTCCTCCAGGTTCTTGCGGAGGAGAGCGCGCATCTCGATGATGCGGTCGGCCATGCCCTTGACCTCACCCAGCCACTGCTCGTTAAGCTTGGCGTCGTTCATGATGGTCGAGGCGATGCGGGCACCGTGGATGGGAGGGTTGGAGTAGAAGGGACGGATGAGGATCTTGATCTGAGAATCCACACGCTTCTTCTCCTCGGCGGACTCGCAGACGAGAGAGAAGGCACCGACACGCTCGCCGTACAGACCCTATATATCGCTTAATACTGAAGAATCATACATCAAGTCATGCATCAGTCTTACCATGTTCTTGGCGAAACTCTGGCAAAGAGCAATGTTGTGGCCCTCCTTCACGAAGTGACGGGGAGCAAAGGCATCCTGGTCAGCGTTACCACTGGCAAAGCCCTGGTAGGCCATGTCGAAGAAGGCAAAGTGACCCTTCTGCTTCATGACGTCGCTAATCTGGCGCCATTGCTCCTGGGTGGGGTCGACACCGGTAGGGTTGTGAGCGCAGGCGTGGAGAAGGATGATGCTGTTCTCGGGGGCAGCCTTGATGTCGGCAAGCAGGCCATCGAAGTCAAGGCCAATGGTGTCCTTGTTGTAGTAGCGGTACTTGTCAACCTCCAGACCGGCGTCCTTGAAGACAGCGGCGTGGTTGGCCCAGCTGGGGGTGGGGAGGTAGACCTTCTTCGCGTGAGGGTAGAAGCGCTGCAGGAAAGCTCCACCGATTCTCAGAGCGCCGGTACCGGAGATGGTCTGGGTGATGACGAGACGGTCCTCCTTGAGGACGGCGGAATCGGCACCGTAGGCCAGCTCAGCAGCAGCCTTGGTGAAGGCAGGGATACCGGTGATACCGGCGTATTCCTTGTCGAGGCGGGTGGCGACAACCTTGTCCTCTGCAGCACGGACGGAAGGCAGGACGTAGGGCTTGCCCTGGTCGTCACCTGTTTGATCGCAAAGGTGTTGTCAGACTATTGAACGTTGGAAGTTGGTTGTTTGGCGTGATCGGGAGATGGTATGGTTGGAAAGTTAAACTGAAACAGGGTGATGCTTACGGTAAGCACCGACACCAAGGTTGATCTTCTCCTTGAAGGTGTCGGCCTTGTAGGCCTCGGTGATACCCAGGATAGCATCCTATAGAGCCAATGGATCAGCAATGGCATCACAAGAGCAATTGGGAGGCGTTGGAGAGCTTACGGGAGGACCCTGAGGCACGTTGGACCAGGCGGAGGCGTGTCTGGCGCCGACAATAACGGTGCGCACACTAGCGTCACGGGTAGCAGCCTTACGGCTGGCGACTCTGAGGGTGGACAGCATGGTGAATGGAGGATGGAAAACAGGGAAGAGAAGAAAGAAGAGGAGGAAATGAGCAAGCACTCCAAGAGACCAGGGAGGAGATGATCAGAAGAAAAGGCCGGGGCCAAGGGAGCTGGCAAGAAGTACTTGAATGAAGGCTGGAATCGGGGGAGGAGACGAGCGGGAGAGACGAGGTCGGCGATAGTTATTTTATTTTTTGAGTCACTGGAACTGCCTTTGGACTAGTCGAGTTAGTCCTGTAGGGAGTTTCCGGGGAGAAACGCGGGAGGCATCGGATTGGCCACGCCCTCCGCATTGCCAGCAGGTGACTTTTTGCTTGTTTGGCTGGTTTGCATGGCATGGCTGGCAGCTGCAGGAAGCAGGAAGCAGGAAGCAAGAAGCAGGCTGCACATATTATCCCTTGGATGCAACTCCATCGTAGTATATTATTTATTCAATGGCATCTTGAATAGAATTGTATATATCTCTACTAAGTCCTAACTGATTGACTACTATCTGATTAACATGAGATGTCAAATGTCATCATCACGGAGCGTGGATTCCCTCATTGACAGATCGCACCACAAATGATGAGCCCGTCCCGCTCTCCCCGGTGAACTCTTTTAGTATCGAGGGAAAATCCATGGATGGGCTGAGGTTGGCCTTCCCCTCACGAGGAGTTGGGGTAATTAATCTACACCCCCCTACCACTTGCTAGTCACCACTTCCCATCATCTCACCATCAACTACTACTTGTATATAAATCTGCAGCATTGACTCCATTCCCCTTCTGCTAACTACGTTCTTGATATCCTCGGTAGCTTTACAACAATCCTTGAATAGCTAGCTATGCACAGAACCGTGGTTGCACTCCACCGCCTCGGACAATATCACTCGGCCTCGGTTAAATTCCCCCACACGCCAAGCCTATCCCGATTCAATAGCTCTGCTACACCATCGACGGAGTATTGAGGACATCCTGCAGTATCTTCGGAGCACCGAGTCCATCTTACCTCTCTACCCATCCAACATCGGACAAAACCGCGTGCTGCTTGCTTGCTTTATCGACCACCGAAAACGGATCGATCTATTGGACATAGATAGAATAATATGTGACGTTCTATTGGTATAATCTGTACAAACATCGCATAGCCTAGTAACCGCTGAGGATCATTATTGTGCCTCCAAAAATGGAGGTCTTCGGTGAAGGTCATCATCTACTACAACAGTCCGAGAGAAGCAACATCACTCAGCCCAGCCGCACACCGGCCTGGCGGTTCTTGCGCGCTGTCGCTCCCATGGCGTTGTTCATACCGGTATGTTGACTGCTGTCCAGTGCACTCATCGCCTCGCGCTTCTTCTCCTCTTCGATCTTCTTCAACCGCTTCTCCGTCTTCATCTTGCCACTGCCCTTGCCGTGGAATTGATGACTGAGATGCTTGAACGCTTCCTTCTGGTTCATCGCGCGACCATGCTCATCCACGTACTTGAGCTGCACGTCCGGCTTGTATTCGCGGTTGAACACCTCTGCCATGTGTCGCGCCTCTTGCTGATCGCGCTGCTTGTTCTCCCACCGAGCGTATTCTTCTCTCTCGCGCGCTGACATGCGGTCCAGCTTGCCCGAGGCACGGTCGCGTTCACGCTGCTGCCGAGCGCGTTTCTCCGCCTCGGTCTCCATGCGCATCTTCTCCTGCAGGAAGCGATGGCGGTCGCGCAGTAGAGAGTTGTTGTCCGCGGCGTCGGAGCCCTTAACTAGACCACGCTGTTTAAGCATGTTCAATGTAGCACCGAGACCTTGATCCAGAGTCGCTTCTTCGTCCAAGCCCGTAGTGCTGATCTGCTGCTGGGCCTGCGACTCCTCGCGCTTGATCCGTGCCTTGAGATCTTCCTCGTCCTCAATGTCATTGTAGGTCCCCATCTCCACATCCTCGTCCTCTGCCTTGATGCTGGGGCCTTCACTCTTGGCACGTGATTCATCGGCGGGGGTCGTGGTTTGTCTCTCGCGGCGCTCTGGGAGGGTGGGTTTCTGTAGATTGGAGACAAACTCCGAGGTTTCGTCGATGACGAGGCCGGGCTCTTCTTCGTTTCCGTCAGGCGTACCGCTTTCCATCGGTGTCTGAGAACCCTCTTCTCTGAGCTGACGAGCAAGATCCTCCGGTCGCACTTTTTGTCGCTTCTTAAACGCAGCACGTCTCTGGCGGGTAAGCGAGGCCTGTAGATCATCATCATCGACAAACGAAACATCTTCACTTGCCCACTTTCGGGGGGCGGGGGCGGGTACGGGTGCGCCGTTATTGGTATCAACGTCCATGGCGTTGTCATTCGGGGTAGTCGTCGACTCGGTCGTAGGGAATAATTCGTCGTCATCAAGAATAGCTCTCTGCTTCGTAGCCTTGGCCTTCTTCTTCTTCGGCTTCTTGATCTTAATCTCACTGATGTCCATGTAGTCGGACGCCGGTGTCGTCGTCTCCGTCTCCAAGTCCAAACTGACGATATTCTTGTTCAACTTACCCGACACCTCCTGTCGCTTCGCCTCTCGCTCCTCCACCGTAGATCCTTGAGCATCCAGAGTAAAGCGCTTCCGCTTCTTACCATCAATCTCCTCATCATATTGTGCCAAGATACTCGAGTTCTCTTCCGTAGGATCATACGCCGGCTTCCGCTTCTTCAACTCCGTCCGCTCCGTAGCCTTCTCCCTCTCCCTCAAATCGACGTTTTCCAACTCATCCCCCTCCTCCTCATTTTCATCGATCGTCGCATCCTTCAGCGTAAGAATATGATCCTCGCCTCCCTCAAAATCGCCCACCTCATGCCCTACCTTAATACCAGCCAGATCGACCGCCGTGTATTCCGCCGCACGTTCTCTTTCCTCCAACTCCTCCGCCAGCTTGCGCGCCCGCTCCTTCTCAATCTTCTTCTGTCGCTTCTTCGCCTGCATCAGCCACGCCTTGGTGTCCTGGTCCGCATCACCCGATTCACCCAGCGTGGTGCCTTGTAACTTGGCATCTCTCTGCGCCAGCTCTCGTGCCCGCTTGATCGCAGCGTTTCTCTCTTCCCGTTTCCGTTTCGCCTCGGCATCGTCTTGCATCTTCTTCCAGTTGGATCCGGCCATCGCTTCGCGCGACTCGAGGGTACTGCCGGGATCTTCATCTTCGGAGGCGGAAGAGTCGGAGTCGTCTTCATATTCGGCGCCAGGAACAGGCAAGGGTTTTAATCCGAGCGCGGCTCGGATTTTGTTATTCTGCTCGATGGAAACTGCGTCGGCCATGGTGGCGACAGATGGCAGGGGAAGGATGAAGTTGGAGAAACAGACGGTCAGTTGTTGATGACTCTTTCAACCGATGGGCGTACGTACAAGTTGAAGTGACGGATATGAGATATTCAACCCGCCGCAGCGGCGAACCTGACCGACCGGCGAGAGCGCGCGCCAACAAGCACTTACCTAATCAATACCCATCTCGGTAAGGTTTAGCGCGACAAACTCTTAGCGCGAGCTTGGCGCAGCGGATAAAAGGCGCCTTTCTTCAATTTTTTCTCTTCTTCTTTTTCTTTTCTTTTCTTCAGAACAGAACACACACGGATCTGTGTTCAGCGATCCCGTTCATGGAGGGTGCGGCTTCGGCTGTTATTTCTTTGTGTTTCGGTTGAACGCTGGACAGTTCGACGACTTAAGGAGCCATTCATCTTGTGGATGGTTTTTGCACTTCCGGTCGACAGATCTCAGATTAAAGGTTGGCGCTGGGTGTTCACTCGGGTCTTGAGCTCCCTTGTTTTCGAACTTGGTGAGCTCGGCTGGAGTTCCTGGTTGCTGACGGCGTCATATTCCTACTCCCTTCACCGAATTGGCCGTCGGTCACTGAGGTTAGGGAAAAACCATGACCTGCCAACATTACTATCAGTAAAATTATATGTATGTAGTCCTGTAGATGCGCACATGCACATGCATATATGTACTGGATACCGTCTGAACCGATTATATAAATCGGTTATCGTCTATCAAGCCGTTTAGTTTTTTGTTCTCGTCAATTGATACATAACTTTCAGTGGACGGTCTTTCCGAAATGCCCCAGTGTGGCACGAAATTTATGCCAAGGTCAAACATTTATGTAAGATATGCGCATAATAATGACGGGTCGATGTAACTCCGACACCTCTTGAGGAACCACCACCACGCAGTCTTCACTTAATGATCTTATATTGATGTTATCTTGACAATCCTCTACCATGGCTCAACATCACCATCAATCATCATTAGAAACTGTATTGAATTTCTCTCCTGTATTTCTTTTCACTATCCTAATAAAAGCAAAAGGCCCGGGAGCTTCTCAATACCTGCATCTAGCATTATGGCCTCGAATAATGCGTGTAATCTGGCTACGACTCAACGGTTGGTTAAGCACACTGGCTGTGATTTTAAGTACATGCTCTTTGTGCGTGGACAATCATTGCTCAAATCCAGGCCTGCCTTCAAAATCGTCTAGCGGACCGGATAGTAAACTGTCAACGCTTCTTTCTCAGTCACTCAGGCAGTCTGTTTTTGTGAAGTTATTAATATGGAGTTCCTGCCGACGCAAAAATAGAGGAAGCAGCTTCTCTAAAGACCTCGGTGGCGATTATTCGGGCCCGGGTCGAGCAGGCTCTACCGGAGGGCCAGGCCGCTACCAAGCAGGCCGATGGCTAGATCCCTAGTACTATCAATCCACATCCAATTACGGTATCACTCTAGCTGGAGCTTTACGTACTAGCCCAAATACCTCCACAAGCAGAGCCTGACAGCCATCACTCTATTAGGCCATTTGCCGGATTCCATAACTAAGCCTCTGCTTGAGCAGTTTACTGCTAGCATCTAGTAATTAATCAATCAGGCCTATTATACGATTAAGAAGGGCCAGATTAATAAAGTAGATCAGATCCAGACTAATATCTTCTTCCACCGTCTGGGAATCTGGAGTTGACTAATTTAGGTCCATCTCCGGCGAGCAACCTACTATTAATATTACCAGATCTGGCAGTGCCTAGTCTGCTTCACCTACCATCGTAGCCAGACTAATTAGTCTCTCTTGCTCTGCTATCAACTAAATACCACTCAGTTCGCCGCGCTTGATTGGATGGAGATCTATGGCCAGCAGCTGCTTGATCTGCCGATCTAAGGCAAAGATCTCGAACCATCGTAGCGCGCCAATCAGCGGCAGCAGACCGAAGAACTGTTCGATAAAGCTTGCCTAACATTTTCGAACGCCTTGCTCGACCATACCATTAAGGAAGATCTTTTTGAAAGCACCTTTATCGGATCTTTGCTGTTTTCGGGATTGATGTCAAGCAGCAGACGTTTCTGAAGCCCTATAGCTATATGAGCTATCTATCAGGGCTCGTCAAGATGGCCCAGATGCTGATGGTCCTGCAGGCCGTCCAGTTCGCCGAACCCGGCCAGGTAACCCACCCGGCCGACGCCTTGGATGAGATGCGGGAGCGGTTCTTAATGTTCGGGGTACGCGCTCCGTTCGGCTGGATTACACGGCTGCGGGAGTACGGGAAGAAAATCCAGACCAGTACGACGATCATGGGCTATATCAATTGAAGCGACGACGACCAGACGCTGAGCTATAAGGAGCTTCAGCTGAGCATGTCAGGATTCCGCTAGCTTATCGCTAAGCAGGTCGAGCTGATGATAATCAGACCCACTCCGACTTTTGGTGGTGTTGAGACCGAGGTGTCGGACCTGGTTCTGAAGCATAGTATCCAAGTAGCTACTGGTGTACCAGTCTGCCAACATCTAGTCCATATAATCTCGTTGATGCAAGGTAAGCGCATTGTTCCTTCCTTAGTGGGCACCAAAGCCGAACTGTCTATTAATACAATGTGATCGTTCATCACTCCATACATTTTTCAGAATTTAGCCTGGCTGCGCAGCTCGATCTGCTGGTCAATAACATCCCTCGTCATCTGCTCCAACGAACGCCACTGCATCCCCAGTTCTGTCTCAGCCTTGGTTGTATCAACCGGCCAAGGCTCTGAAGCAATCTCCTCCGAGATCTTGAACCCAAGGTGCGGGTACTCCTTCTTCACAATCTTTGCCACGTCCTTCCAAAAGGCCTTCTTCCCAGCGAGCAAGTACGACGACCCGTCTGGGATATTGTCGGCCAAAGCCTTGACATGGCTCTCGGCAACATCGTCGATATGGACAGCAGTGATGGGGGCCAGGGGTTTCCCATCGGCAACGGTAAGGAAGAAAAGGGCGTTGGTGCCACTCAGCTCCTCGGCAGTGGTCTGGAGAGGGTTGCGTCCATACACAAAGGCAGGGTGGATAGTCACAAGGGAGAAATTAGGGTTCTCGCTCTTCTTGAAGTCCCAGCTTGCTTGGTTTGCGAGAAGCTTAGAGGCATGGTAGAGCTTCATGCTCGTGGCTTCATCGTTGGTACCAGTCAAGTCAGCGGTCTGGTCGACCGATAAGTCCCAGTCATTGTTCTCTGTCGGAATGGGGTTCAGTATCTAGCTAAAATAATCAAGACAAAAGAATGCATCCAGCTCTGATGGCTCACCTTTAATGACTCCTCCCTCGGGAAGACCCGAGATGGGTATTAAAGCGGCGATCGAAGAAGTAATAACCACCTTCTTGATGCTGCTAACCTTAGCAGCTTCCTTTAGGATAGCGGTGGTGCCCTTGACAGCTGGTCCAAAGTATGTCTCTGGGTTGGTTCCATGGGGCATGGGCGAAGCGATGTGCAGCACATAGTTAGCTCCATCTAGCCTTCCAGCAAAGGAAGACTGCTGTGTGATATCTGGGGTGACGACAAAGTCGATCTTATCTTCAAATTCAGAGAGTGCCGCCTTTATTTTAGGAATCTGTTCTTCCTTGCGAACGCTAATCCGCAGACTATAGCCAGCTTGTAGAGTCTTGATAGCAACGGCACTGCCAATAAAGCCAGTTGCTCCTGTGATAAAGACGAGACCGCAGGGCATGGTGACAGGATCGGATGTGGAAATTCGGTGATAATTTCTGGTGAGATAATATACCGTTGGCTGGATCTCAGTTCCAGATTTTGTCCTCCCCAGTTTTATACCTCTCGAAACGTATAATCTGGTGTTCCGTACAGTTTACATATTCAGAACAGGGTGATTATAAATATAGAATTGCAATATACCATACCCCGAGGTACTTATTCGGGCCAAATAACAAATCATAAAATCACGAAATGATAACGTTAATTCCCGGTTGTTCCGCCCACTTCAGAATAATCCCACGCGTAAAACTACTGTAACTATTCAAATAACAACCATTCCACGAAAAGCGCGTCAAATCACGTCAAAACTTGGTGAAGCAAGAGGGCAGTATAGGTAGTATTGAGAATCTATCCGTATATTCTTGTATATATTACCCGGCCATATTGTATGCAAAAACCCGCTAAATAGCGAAAAGTGGGGTTGAAGAAGCATTGGGTGGGAGGGAGGTTAGATGCTAACAGTTCGGCGATATCACTAATCACTGTTGCAGGAATGATTCCCAATGTTCCCATAACCTTTTCCTTAAAACCTTGCTCGCTGAGATTCGAGCCTAGGCCAGTGAATCATCAAGGAATGTCTTGCGAAGAAAGAAAATAGGTATTGGTACCGCTGTGGCTGTGACTAGACCGGCATGCCCTCTCCGTTGGACATCAGATCACATATTTATCTATACCCGCGAGGAAATATATATATATATATATTACGGATATTCACACTAGCATAACTCTCGCTTCATTAGTACTATCTACTGAAATATAGTTATATAGCTCTTATGCAGCCTATCAATATATTTTTCAGAACAAAAGATATATATATATTCCGGCCGTGACCATACTAACAATCTACCCTATCCGTCTAATAGAATGTCAAGATCATATACTGTAGCACGAAGTAATATTTAACTATAGGATTTATAATAGGCTCTTATCTTATCTTGATACGACTGAGAGTAAGTGAAGAAAAAATAAAGTATCTAGAAGAAGCGCATGCTTCAGGCAATTCAGACTACGAAAAAAAAGCTGTCAAAGTATTACACTAATACGAATTGCGAAGTATACGGCAATACCTATACATTTGCAACAGTTCTCTGCCTATTAAAGAACTTCGGTACTTTGCACCAACAGACTGGCAGCGTGAATTAACTACGTTAAATACTGTCACGCAGCCCTTAAACGAGAGTTTTTACCGATACAAAGAGATACTCTATCATAACTCAAGTGCGATAGTTTTACAAACCTCACCAGGGAGGACCCCAGATAAGAATGATTGTGATCTTAATGCGGCTTGTGCCTCTCAGAACCAGCTTACAAAGCCTGAAGATAATGGAATTGCAAGATATCTTGCCCGGGGGGTAAAGAGACAGAAGCCCTGGGAATTCTGGAAAGAATATAAGCGTGAGTTTCCTATTCTTGCAAGGATGGCACGATATATTCTCTTAATTCCAGCTACTGGTGTATCACAGACTCCATAATCAGGGATCGACTGTCGGCCAACTAGAGATAGCGATTTCACCACCTCGATAGAAGCCACCCCAACATGCGAACCTATATATTCCTGACACCTATGAGAATCCAGCTATTGACATTTTCTAAGCGCCTATTCCATTTTCGGAGGATCCGTGAGTCGCCTTCTGACCGGGACCTATCCGACTATCCCGCAGCCAGCCCGCAGCCAGCCATAATCAGAACTGTGAATACTCTGAAGAACGTACTGCCGGACGTGGCAGTGTATTACAATCTTTGAACCGCAAGTCGTTCCCGGTGAATGCTGTAATATCATCCTGATATCCTGAAGTTTTTGGCCCAGGCCTGCCGCACTGAGGAAAGGAGATCTTGTCCACAACAGAGGGTCTCTAAGAACTGGCGCCGTTTCTTGTCGGCCCGCAAATACACCCAATTCTGTGGACGAGAAGGACAACTATCTATTAGGCAGCAGAAGCAGCATAGAACAAGGGAATCTGGGGGTCATAGTTCTATTTGAACGAAGAACGTCCAACTCTGTTCGGAGCTCACGCAAATCCGCGTTTGAATTGGTGCTTTGATTAAGCAAATTGGCTGTTTGCGCGCAATCAATTTCCATACTTAAACAGGATCCACGGAATAGGTAGGAGAGGGCGAAATAAATGCCCAAATACTTCCTGCCCAATGGATCCCTAACTATAATAAGATGCATACCCAAGTCGTCATTACGCTTCACTAGGGTAGCGAAAACATGGATACAGCTGAGATGGTAACAGGCTAGGCTGTAAGATAAGGCCCCCAAGGCGACGGCTCGTTGTCGCGAAACCATCTCTGCTCATCCTCCGAGCCTGTAGGAGGAATCCTGAGACCATTAATATGCACAAATTCGCGCTCAAGCTCCTCGCCGTTGACCTCCCAGTTGTATCCTTTGTCTGCAAGATACGGTTTCACAGTTTTGTGGACCCGATTCATAAATGCCGTCCTCTCAGGGCTCTCGCCCGGAGGAAAGTGCCTAGCGATATGACTGAATGTAAGCCGGACGAAAGGCTTCACCCCTTTCGCGTGCTATTTCGTTATACAAGCTCAGTAAATTAACTATTATACAGGTTCTTCTGAACTTACGCAAGATACTCCAGCTCGATAGAGAGTGCCGGGAGGCATCTCAATGAAAATGACCACCACATAGAATGCCGGCAGCCCAACTTGAGTATACATCGAGGTAATAGCATCGGCCAGTTTCTCTTTGTGCTCGGGGTCTGTGAAGGTCCCGGTAGGATGATAAATTCTCCAGTCAGGCATATTGTATAATAAGTTTTGGTGAATAAACGAGGAAGCGATCCCGGAAAGTACTGGCGCAAATTCTGATATGTAGGTGCTTTGATGTCACCGAGAGCGATTCCATTGCAATATAAGCTTCTTTCTGAGAGAGATGAAGCATAACATTCGTTTCCGGTTGCTGATGATTACTGATCTTTTTCGAATTCTACTCCACTCCTCCCACCATAACACATTGAATTGCGGGGGTACCATCAAATCATCCCGACCCCGTGCAGATTCAGATGCTGGGTTCGGGTGCTAGAAATGTCACCTCAACTAGTTGATTAACAAGGGTGCCGTAACACATAACTTGATGCGTTGCTTCGCCTCATTGATTACGCTACCCTGGTAACTATGCTGGCACCCCTTCGGAGTTCATTGTAATCAATTATTAGTAACGTTATCAACTACCGACCGTGAAACACTAAGAGGTAATCGGTCCTCTAATAAACATTATGAAACGGTATTGTGCTATATAACACGATATGGATGCGTTATTATGTTCCTAGGTACCAGGTTGGAGAGACTCTGACCACAGGTAGGGTTATATATCAGGCCTTTAGTCCGCCCGAATTCTGCCTGGGATCATCTGCTAGATTAACTCAAAAAATGTCTAACCTCAAAGATATCTTGGTTATCGGCGGGACAGGGGCCCAAGGCATCCCTGTTGTCCATGGTGAGTAATATATTATATCTCTTGGATTGATGTCTGTACAAAAGCTAAATCTATTGCTCTACAATAGCGCTCGCAAAAAGCGGGAGATATAGCGTCCGCGTATTAACACGCAATCCAACCTCTGCTCGTGCTCAGGCACTTCTCCAACTCCCTAATGTTCGGCTGATCCAGGGTTCTCAAGATAATCAGTCGGACTTACATACCGCCTTTAGGGGCGTCTATGGGGCATGGGTCAATACTGATGGGTTCACGCTCGGTGAGAAAAATGAGCTGTTTTACGGCATCCGTGCCTATGAAATTGCGCGGGCGGAAGGTGTCCAGCATTACGTCTGGGCTAACATTGAATATGTGCTCAAAAACGCTGGGTGGAACGAGGATTACCACTGTGGCCATATGGATGGCAAAGGCAGAATCGGGCAGTTTATTCTCGCCCAGGGTCAGGAAGGGATTATGAAGAGCAGCATACTCACCACTGGTCCTTACATGGACATGCTCTTTGACGCCATGTTTGTGCCCCAGAAACAAGAAGACGGGAGCTTCTTGTGGGCCAACCCAGCAAGTAAGTGTGATCAGCTTAGTTGATGGTTGCTTGTTCGATATTCGACCAACTGACGAAACCAGGGGATGGCAAAATTCCACTGACCGCACTCCATGACGTTGGTCATTATAGTCTGTGGCTGTTCGACAACATCAAAGAGTCAGCCGGTCTTGACCTGGTGGTGGGAACAGAAGAAGTCTCGTTCTCCGAGATAGCGAAGACTTTCTCGTCGGTGACTGGTAAGGTAAGTGTTCATGTTTATGTGCCGCTCGAACAATACCTACCCGCTGCTGAGCCATATCCTGGTGCACCGGCGAACTGGGCCCTTGGGTCTGACACTCCCCGTGATGAGTCGGTACAGACTTGGCGTGCAAACTTCTCGGCCTGGTGGAGATACTGGGGTGAAGGCCATGCGATCAAACGCGACTTTGTAATGCTTGACAAGATCCACCCGCAAAGAATCAAAAGCCTAGCTGAATGGATGAAGAAAGTTGGTTACGAGGGAGAGCCAAAGCGGGTATTGAAAGGCATGGAGGACCGGGCCGGAAATATGAAGTAGTAGCTCTGCGCAATCAAGCACTACCAAATAAAGGCGCCAAAAGTTATAGTCACCTCAGTTTATGCCGTTTGGCAGTCCCTGCCTATGGTATAATGAAGCCAGTAATATCAATGGTTGAAGTTACGTCGAGGTAAAAAGATAATCCTTCTCGGGGCTGCAGTATAGTATGGGGCGTCTGTAGGGCTAATTAATCTAAATCAGCATCCTGAAACAGATGATGACCGAATTGAGCACTCGAATACTCTACTTTAGCTGAAGAGCTGATAGTCCAGATCCTCATATGACATGGGAGACAAAGCCAAACGTAGAATGGGCTTCCTAAGATCTACGACTCTTCTCTACTACCATGGGTTAATTATGATATCACATCAGCAACTTCCGTGCGAACTTCGGTTTACGTCTACTATTAGAATGCTGCTTGAAAAAAATAAGCCATGCTGCTGAATCAAACATATCGCGTCGCGAGACCCATCTCCAAAACGCCATATAATATATCAGCACCGACCCAATCCTACAAGGTCTTTTCACTGGTGGCACTCAGCTCACCCTCTATTCCCAACCCAACACTATAAAACTACAACAACTTCAAATGTCCCGTCACAGAATCCACCACACTCTTGGGTCCCAAAACCCCCAACACCGTGCGACTCCCACTAGCAATCTGCGTCCGTCCAGCATCCGTAATCACCCTGGCGCAAAGTCCCAAACTAATCGCCTTGGCCTGCATCTCCTCCATCTCCTCCTCCGACTTGACCTGCAGCGCGATCTTCGCCTGACCCTGCGATTCCCATCGTCGCAGGATGCCGCTGTTAGGCGTGTACGCCGTGAGGTATTTGTAGCATGCGAGTGTAGCGTGGGAGCATTGGGCGGCGATTTTACCTGCAACATCAGAACTATCAGCATGCGCTTCACGAAAAACAACAGTAGCAAGCAACCAATGATAGCAAGAGAACATAATACTGTAGAGAATTGAAAAAGGGAATAAGCTTACCCTTCGTCATACCCAGATCCGTCCGCACGACAAGAACCAATTTCACTTCTTCATTGGAGCTATCGAAGTTGGCGAGCTCAGTGCCGTCGCCTTCTTCTTCACTGTCCTCTTCTTCCTCTTCGGATTCGTAGTCTTCGTCCGACGAGTCTAGGTGCGGTTTCACATTGTAGCTGTTCGGCCAGCCTTCTTTTTCTTTGTTGCTGAAGAGACCTAGGGTGCTGCCTTGGCCGATGAAGTAGCCCGTTATGCCGGCTAGGATGGCCGTCGCGACCACGTAGGCGGCTGTCGAGGGGGGTGTGCGGTCGAGGTCGGACATTTCGTTCTTGGTGTTTTTGTGTTGGGGGTGGTGGTTTGGTTGAGGGATTGAGTGGTGGTTTTGCGATAAAGGCGGAGCGGAGCTGGATGTGCTTGGTCGGCGGTGACGTTAGCGGGCCGGTTGGCTAGTTTCTACGATTGTTGATCAGAAAGCTATCTACTTCTGTCTAGTTCATTGGTTTGATTCTTTACAAATTGATATGCCGCTTATGATTGTGGAAGAAAAGAATTGTTTTGTTCTAGAATGTTGGTCTGCTTACTGTATTACACTTCAGTTAGAGGCATCAACCCAAAACACCGCTATCCAATTTGACAGGCGTTCTGCTTCATTATATACACATCCCAATCATTCTAAATTGAACTGCTATCTTCCCTTAACAGCACGTCTAGTTCGGACGAGGAGCGGGGGCGCCACCGACGTTTCCAAGGCGACGGCTCCTATGACACATTAGTAGCGGATCACAAATAGCAAAGGGTGCGATCAGAGCAAATTAACTTACATGAAAGTACGGCTGAAGAAGCTGATGCCGATCATGAAGAGCCAGCTGGGGATGGCACTGAAGCCGTAGATGACATATCCAAGAGGGAGCAGAAGGTGGTTCTGAGCAAGCCAGCCATCCGTGGGGTGAAGAGGACCATCGTAAGGAGCGGTCTTCTCGTAGACCTTCTCAGAGTGGACCTTGTAGATGGTCTCCGGGGTCACGGTGGTCGAGTTCAGGTAGACAGTGTAGAGGGGAGTGGTGGGGCGCTCCTCACCAAGCTGGGCCTGGGGCACCTGGAGGTACCAGACCGAAGGAGCACCGGCACCCCAGGCAGAGCAAAGAACCTTGTTCTCTTCGCAGTCCAGCTTACCGAGGTTAGGGGAGGTAGGATCGGCGGAGAACAAAAGCACGGATTCCTAAATAGGAGGGTTATTAGCGACTATTGTTATGGATTCCAGGTGAGTGCGACCCCCTTTTCTAGGGTTTGCTTACATTGAACGCTTTGTCTGCCTTGTCACAGCGACCGAAGCAAGTCTTGTTTCCTCCGGTGATGTAAACCAACCAGTCCTGGGGCTCCGAAGCGGGCTCCAGGTAGGACTGCCAGTTGGTCAAGTTGAACTCGGAGACGGTCTTCTCCTGGATCTTGGTCTTCTCGACGACCTTCTCAACGACGGCAGCGGCGGGGGCGACCGGGGTGGCAGTAGGCAAGTAGGACTTGGCCTTGTTGAACCAGCCCTGGACACGGTCCGCGAGGGGAACCTGCTCCTGAGCCACAGCAAGAGCTGGGAGGAGGGCGACGACCGGAGTGAAGCGCATGATGCTGAAGAGTTGATGACGCGTGGTCAGTATAGGGGGTCGAGGGGATCTATCACATCCAGGGGGATGGACTCGGATAAAAACTAACCTGAGCTGTTATTGAAGGGACGGGCGCACTTTGGAGAGAAATCAAATTCAAAAGCCAAAGTACGGGACAGCAGGCAGCTGGGGAAGACAGGCACTTGGGATGTTGAAGGTCGAGTGAAACGGCGAGAGATGTAAGCGTCGGCGACAGGTGGCCTAACTCTAAATGGCCAACCCGGAGATCCAGACAGCCGCGGAAGCGGGGATTCCGCCTTCTGGAACACCTCTAGCTCGATAGGTTCGACTGCGCTGTATTCTGCGAAGAATGAAGATGCAAACACTACATGACTATTTGCCTACTAATTCGGTGGTGCATGTATTGTGTCTCTGGTTCTCTTCACAATGGCATTGTTGGCGTGTTGACATGTTGACACGCGGCAAGTCAATGCAACCGTGGAGCTGTGCCATCCGGGCAGCTTCACTACTAATGCGATGTGTAACCACAACAGATAAATCCAGGGAAAAAGGTAGGGTGATACCCGTGGGAGATTTAGGAGAATCAACAAAAGAAAGTAAAAAAAAGCAAAGATAGGTGTTTATATTGACCCTGATCAGGCATACATGCTGTCGCAATGACAATGCTGTCTTGATCATGCTAGAAGTGCTCGTTGTTTCCATGCACTGCACACTCATTCATCATGGCGCCTTCCTTGAGATCAACTATCCTGCACCCTAGTAGAATTCTACAGATGCAGTATTTGCAGCGACTGACAGATGCAATACTTCAATAGTTTACTGCATCCATATCATACCAAATCAATCTATCCTCAATCGAGTGTTTGCCTTCATCTTCAAGTATGATACAGTCCTGGAGGAAAGCTGGGGCCTGTTGTCTAGTTCTGGCAGCCATGGCTTGCTTCTCGTTCGGCGAGGCCATTTACATTGTCGCCGGGAAGAATGGGGCTATTGTCCACTCCAAAGGTATTCCGATCCCAAGAAGTGCAGGGGTCTAACGTGGCTTACTCCTTCAGCGATGACTGAGAGAATTGAGCCTCCCCCAAACTCAACCATGACGATTCGGCGATCCTCCCCCACACCGGGTGACTTCCCCATCTGTAGGGACCCTCGCGGCGCTGCCCGACCATTCTGTCTCCCAGAGGATGGTGCAAACGTGACGGTGGGTGGGACTTACTACATCACATGGGACGCGGACTTTTATCCTCTGAATGCCACAATAACCATCGAACTGAGATATGCGGACTCTGTGGAAGGGGATTCGACATTTACCTCGGACAGGACGGACAACAGCTACGGATATACTCACATCCATATGCAGCAAGAATGGCTTCAAGGAAAGCAGCAGAATCCTCTGACACTTTACATCATCGAGCTAGACTCGGTGTCAGATAAGCGGGCAAGTGCCCGACGGGGACCAACAGTCGTTCTTCATCCCAAGCCAGTGCAGCATCTTTTGTCTCCTCCGCCCACTTCATTTAACAAGTTGGCTCTTTATATTGGCCTCCCCGTGAGTCTCAGCGTGGTCATACTCGTTGTTGCTGGACTCTACTTTGGCATGCGAGAGAGCAGGCGAATTGATCTGGGAAACATCGGGGGCCCGGGGTATGGCATTAGAAAGTCCAAGGTTCAGCGCCTAGGGCGCAACCGAGGCGAGTCAGCGGAGGAGAGAAATGTGGAGGAGACGAACTCGGACATCACCGAAGTCGCCCAGCCCGGTCGAAAGGGAGCTTTGGAACGAGGCCTCAGCTTTGGTTGCAAGCATGATTCGTCGAGAACGAAGAGCTGGCAGGTGTAAATTCCAGAGCATGGGAGCAGTGCGGCAAGACTAAAGCATGCAGGATTTGGTGCGCGCTTGGCCCAGTTGGAGGCAGGGGTTTAAGTATTGTATAAACGAGCCAGGTTCAGTGGTATAACTGTTATCGGACTAGTGGTTGCAAAGAAGACTAAAATCTCACGCTATCCTTCAACCAGAATAGGAAAAAGAATGAATGCAGTAGCCTAAGGGTTAGAGAGTTAAAATGATGCTTTTAGAGTGTTTAGTGCCGGAGTATCCCACCCGCCATTACATAACCCACCGCATCTCTACAGCAGCCACACTCTCTATACTAACTATTCTCCCACTCACCATGTCCCGGGGCATCCCCCCGTCATCGCCTGGCCTCCCACCTTGATATAGTTGGTTTGTGGAGTGAGCGATCCCTCCGCCGCCATGGATAAATTAACCAGGAATGACCCGCTGGGCGAGTTTGTCTGTCGCTTCCCCAACTGTGATGCCCGATACCGGCGTAAAGAGCACCTCCGCCGCCATGAGGCCAAACATATCCAAGATCGGACATATCCCTGTTCCATCTGTGGTCAGGAATTCGGACGAAAGTATAAACCGAGATAGCTTGCAGCGCGCAAGGATCCTGCGTGCTTGTTGTTCTGTCATTAGTAACGTGCGTTAGTGACACACTGCGTCGACATCTACGAGTGAAACATCAGTTGAATGAACCTGTCCACCGAGCACGACGCGCCTGTTCCAACTGTCGGGCCATCAAGGCTCGATGTGAAGGGAAGCCCGTTTGCACAGAATGTCAGCATCGGGGCATTCGCTGCTCTCTCCGCGAGGCTGAAGACTCGCCGGCGCCCGAACCCCGACCAGCGTCCGTGAGCCCGCGGCCAGCGGTGTCCAGAGAAGAACAGTTTGTAAAAATGTTCTTTGAGCTGTTCCACCCGCATTGGCCATTTGTGCATCGGGGGACTTTTCGCATTCGCCATGAAATTCCCATGTTGGTCCAGTCCATGGTAGTGCTGGGCTTGTGGGCGAGCGGAGAAAGAGGCGCGCGGTGTGCAGCTGTCGAGCTACATGAGCAGCTTAATTCGGCAATTCTTCAGCAAAAGGTAGATGCAGATCTATTGTGGTTATATACTGAATGCTAATGCAGCTGCAGGAGAAATGGGATGTGTCCAATGAAGTACCTATACCCCAGGCGGGGTCATGGCCATTGCCCATTTACCAGGCGATCCTATTACATGTCATCTTCTCTTTGATTTATAAAACGCACGGCTCTCTCGGGATAGATCTTAAGCCGTCTGGGCTGCGGACTGATACTGAGCTGCTGCTTAAGTGTCTGATCCGGAGCTGCCGCCTCAGGGGCATGTTCTACTACCCGCGCATCCTGCAGCAGTATCAAGAACCCGCGATTGCTCAATATATGCTGGTCAGTATTGAGGAAGTGAAACGGTTCAATATTGCTTTGTACAAAGTGTGCACGACGATCTATGGGTCGACGGCGCTGAGCCAGATGGTGGATGGGGCATCGATGGGCAACATCTTGTTAACCGCGGATGAATTGCAGTTTCCGCTGCCGGAGAACCATGAGTTGTGGGATGCAGGGACACAATCAGAGTGGGATCGAGCGCTGGAGGGGATGAGTGTGGATGGGTTGGGGGAGTATCGCGAGGAGGAATGGATATCGAAGCAGGCTCGGATGATGCATGTATTGGGGAATATTTAGCTTCACCACATACTATCCTATACTTGCAGTGGCTGCAGCATATCACTACAACCTACGAACACATAATGTTCAGTCAAAAACATAAAATAAAAACAGTTAACTCCACTAACCCTACATAAGAGAACAACCGCACTCCACCTCTCTGAACAACCAACTAGCACTACCGAATCATAAAATCTAAGCCTCCACCCCATCCCTCTCATTCTTCGTGATGGTATCCACAATCGCCGTCTCCAAATGCGGAATAACCGGATCCTTCTGCACTCTCAACCCCTTCGTCATCCTCGCAATCGTAGTATAAAACCCCAGAACGACAAAACACTCCACGACCTCATCATCCGACATAATCCTCTTGGCCCACAGAATCGTCTCCTCCTTATTGTCGTACGTGCGAATCGACTCCTCCACAAGTGTCAGAATACACTGCTGGCGCTCCGTCCACGTGCCCATAGCGATCAATTCCTTCGAGGTCAGGCCCTTGCGCAGCGCCTCAATCTTGTCGTCGCCGAGCCCGTTGAGGCGCGAGATGGGCTCGTTGATGCCGAAGAGGTACTCTGCGTTGATGAGACCCGTCATGCGGAGTACAATAAGCTGGTAGTCGAGGAGCTGGATGGTGCGCTTTTCGCCGGAGAGGATGCTGTCCAGGACGGACATGATGGGGAGGAAGGTTCCTGGGGAGCGGGCGTACAGGCGGAAGACGGCGCGGTCGATGGGGAAGGACCGCAGGAAGGCGGCGTTGGCTTCGTGTGCTGGGGAGGGGTTGTGGATGTCGATGCCTTCGATTAGGGGGTATTTGGTTGTCATTTTGGTGGTGGTGGTGGTGGCGTTGTGAAAGTTTGAGGGATTGTTTCTGAGTGAGTGTGTTGGAAGATGTTGTATAAGATTATGCAGATGTCTGTGGTAGGGTAGAAGGGTGTTTTACTTGGACAACTTCTACTTTTAAATACAATGATTAAGTTACTGCTGATCAGTCCATCTTCAATTACCAAGTCATGCCATATCGGATATCAGCCGTTGATTATTACTGTCCTCGTATTCCCTTGCAGGATGCTGAAGGAGTGTCAGGATGCCGATGTGCTTGTTTCAGACTCGCGCGGATGTCAGCATCACCAGCGGCAACGCTAGCCAGCCATGCGATGCCCTAGTACTATCTTATTTTCTCTCCAGGGCGGGAGAGCTAATTCAGGCCCGCATGCGGTATGCTTTTTGATTGGATTAGGGATGTCTATACACGCAGTATACACGTGCTATACGAGTATACAATTGAATTCGAATGGAGTCAAAATGTATGAATGGCAGTGATTTAAGATCATTCCATCGCTGCCACATATCCATCTCAACCCATCATCAGCCCATATACACACACATACACACACACACTCTCTCTCTCTCATCAATCCTATCTTCAAATTCATCCCCCAACCTTCACATCTTACATAGTAAAAAATGGGCTCCACAGACCCCTACCGTCTCGGCCGCGACGTCATCGCCTCCACGCGCCTCAACCTCCAACACTACATCTGGAAAGAAAACATCGGATACCTCCTGCACCCATCCATCCGATTCCCCAATGCCAGCAGCAACAGCGACATCTCTATAGCCGATGTAGGAACCGGTACTGGGTATGCCTTCACCTTCCACACCACAACACATCCTCCCACAATGCGAAGCTAACCACTGTAAAAAAGAATCTGGCTCCTCGACCTCCACCGCCAATACCCCAACGCCACACTTCACGGCTTCGACATCTCCTCCGAGCAATACCCCGCGCCGGGATTTCTCCCATCAAACATCTCCCTCCGGCATCTCAACATCCTGGAGGAGATTCCGGAGGAGTACGTGGAGAAGTATGATGTCGTGCACGCAAGACTCCTCGTGCAGGTCGTGTTGCAGGCGGGTGGGGATCCTCGGCCGGTGATTAAGAACTTGATGAAGCTTGTTAGTATGTAGCCCCCCTTCTCTTTACCCCGTTTTACCTCTCCTTCCTATAATGATATGATATTAATGAACAACAGAGCCCGGAGGCTACATCCAATGGGAAGAGCCCAACGACGACGCAGGCAACCGACCCCTCGTGAAAAGTGATCCTGAGACTACTGTCTCCGAGAGCTCGGAGGAGCTTATGAGGAGAATTGATGGGAAGTTTAGATCGAAGAATGCCTTCGTATGTCCCCATTGCATCTCTTACACTTATGTCAATTTCAGGGAAATAAAGGTAGAGATGCTAATGATCGGTGGTATATAGATGGTCCATCCACCTCGCATCAACCCTAACGGAGCAGGGCCTGCGCGATGTCCTTCAAGATGAATGCCATCCGGACACGTACACGCTAATTCTGGACCAGATGAACTATCTGGGACTGTTTGGGGAGTTGATCAGTAAGGTACCAGGGGTGGAGAAGGAGGAGTTGAATGAGTTGTTGGAGAAGGCGGCGGTGGAGGCGAGAGGGGGTGTGGCGTGGAAGGTCAGGAGGTTTGTGTTTTTGGGGAGGAAGTGATCCATCCCTCTTCACTTGGGGGTTCTTTTAATTTATTATTATATTGAATGAGATATATATTTATATTTAAACTTTATGTGTGAGATTGATTGGATACTCCTACAATAGAGGGTGGTTTATTGTAGGGTTGATGGATAGGATGATTGGTTGTTATGAGTGTTGAGGGTTAAGCTGAGTACATTATCTATGGGCTAGATGCGATATGTTTATGAGAATATAATCGGATATGTTAGTTATTAATTGACAACCTACGAGCAAGATAAGTGATGGTTGACACAATATAGAGATCCTATACTTATACACAGCATAGTTTTGTTTCATGTGCCTTCATGCCGTAGAAGTGAACCTCGACAGAACTGACTTATGGCTTTATAACTCAGGCTGATATACCCGAACCAGGTAGAAGAAAGAAATAGTAAAGTAGTATATCAAAGTATAGCGTATGATAACATCCGTCTATATCAATCATCTAACAAAATAAATCAAAAGTAACTGACATCCAATCTGAGATCTAACTCTTAATGCACCCAAAAGCAACCCTAAAACGCCCTTGAACCCAACGCCCAATCGCACAGAAAAGCATCATCATCTCCCCTCTAATTCTAATCCAAATCTACCTCCAAATCCCCTATCCTCTCCCCCCTCCCCAGACCCCCCAACACCTTCCCATACAACTCCACCGCCCTCCTCGCTCCCTCCTTGTCAAATACCCTCCCATCCCAATAAAACCTGACCACATAACTCCCCCTCTCGGCCCCCTTCCCCACCTCCACCTGCACCCCATAATTAAACTTCATCGTGTTCTTACTCATCTTCATCACGATCCACCTCATCGCATCCTCCTCCTTCCCGTCAAATTTCTTCTCAAACGGCTGGAAACAGAACAGCGCCTTCGCGCCCCGCACATCCCTTTCCACTCCCAGCGCCTCATATATTTCTGACAATGAGACGGCAGCGTGGTCCGCTGACGTCCCAGAAATCTCGCTGCGTATCTTGTAGCAAGGATCTGATGGATTGGGAAGGATCAATGGTGGAGAGGAAGGGCAGGAAGTTTGCGCAGGTGCCGGTTATGCTTTGGGGATTGGGGAGGGGGACGTTGCGGGCTGTTATTAGGGTGTCGTAGACAATCTGGGTCTGTGGGGTGGCGGAGAGGTGCGAAAGGAGGAGAGAAAAGGCTGTTTGGAAGATGACTGACGGAGTCACGTTGTGGGTTGTGGCGAGGGCTTCGATGCCCATGTCTGCTGGGATGGGGTAGGTTATTATGTTGTTTAATGATGGGTTGGTCAGGGTGGAGAGGTAGGGTGTTGTTGTGGTATCGTTATGGTAGGGTTTGAGCAGAGTAGTCCAGTAATCCAGCTGAGGTTGTTTCGGGAGTGAAGTGATGTAGTTGATGTATTCCTTGAAGGGGGTACATTCTGGGATAGGCTCATTGCGCGCGAGGGCCAGGAACTGGTCGTCGAAGATGTGTAGTAATGTGCCGTCGTAGGAGGCGTGGTCGAGCTTGATGACTAGATCACGGTCTCCAGTAGTGGCGTCCGTGAGGAGGGCGTAGCGCACGAAGGGTCGTGCTGGATCAAAGCGTCTCTCCCAGTTACTGTCTAGGAGAGACTGTTTCTCCTCTTCACTGCTGTACGTGTGGTAGGTAAGGTTGAGAGTTGCATCGCGCAGAATAACCTGCACTGCTGTGCGCGGATCACAGCTCTCGTCTGCGTACAGGTACAGCGCACGCAGGATCTGGTTGTGCTGCGTGAGTTGCGTGGTCAGGCTGATCCAGCGCGCAAAGTCAAAGTCCGATGGGAGTCGCCGGACGGTCATGAGCTGCCAGAATTGCTCGGGCTTGTTGCCCTGCGTGAGGAACTCGATCTGGCCTGGGCTCAGGGGATAGATGTCCTCCACTCGGGGCGGGAGATGCCGAGCTGCGCGAGCTGGTTGTACATGGTTTCTGTTGGTTGGAAGGTCGGCGCTGCTGGGGCTGGGGATGGAGCTGCTGCTTCCGCAGGCTCATCGATCAGCAGCGCGGCCTGGTCGCGCAGTGTCCGTGACGAGAGGATGTCGTTCACCCGCACCTGGTATCCGTCCTGTCGGAGGAGACTGACGAGGTTCAGGGCCGAGATGGAGTCGCCGCCGAGGGCGTGGAAGGTCGAGTTAGCGTGGATGTCGTCGGCCGGGGTGTCGAAGAGCTTGGCCCAGAGGTGTTGCAGTCTGTGCTCTGCTGGGGATGTGATAGCGGATATCTCTTCAGCTGGCAGATAAGCCTTAAGTTCGTCGTCAGCTAGACCCTGAGCGAGTGCCAGCAATCGCTTGCGGTCGATCTTGCCAGAGCCCATCAGGGGAAAATCCGACAGTGGGAGCCAGATTGAAGGGACCATGTACTTGGGCAGAGTGGTGAGATGGTCTTTGATTTCATCCAGAATCGGCGCTTGCTCTGGAGCCAGCAATACCACCTCCCTCGAGCCCGGAGCAGAAGTCGAGCAGAACGCAACGAGCTGCTTCTTCTTGAGCACTGTCGCGGCAATGACAGCACACTGGCTGAACAGCCCCGTCTGCATAATGACACTCTCGATCTCACCCAGTTCGATCCGGTAGCCGTTGATCTTGACTTGGTCGTCTTTGCGACCAAACAGCTCGATATCCCCGTTGGGCAGCCATCTTGCTAGGTCGCCCGTCTGGTAGATCCGCCCGTCAGGCCGGTTCCGGAATACCTTATCTGTGGCATCTGGACGCTTCAGATACCCCCGTGCTAGCTGCGGCCCGGCAAGACACAGCTCGCCGACTTCGCCGGCGGGCACGGGCTGCAAGGTGTCAGGGTCGAGGATCTGCGCGCTCACATTGCGGTAGGGCCGGCCGATGTTGCGCAGGTTCATGTCGGGAGTGACGTGCGTTGTGGTGACGCAGATGGTGGCTTCGGTTGGCCCGTAGGCGCTGTGGACGGTGATGCGCGGCGCCCAGACGGTCTGCATATGCGGCGTGACGGGTTCGCCGCCGGTAGCGAGGATTTGCAGCGTCGGCACATCGTCGGGATGGAAGAGACCGGCCATGGTGGGCGTTACGCAGACGGCGGTGACTTGCATGGCGTTGATCAGGCCAGCTAGGTTGCCGACGATGGTGTTCTGAGGTGCTACGCAGAGTGTGCAGCCGGTGGCTAGGGCGGAGAAGAGCGAGAAGAATGATCCATCGAAAGTGTAGTTGAGAGCCCAGAGGATCCGGTGCGAGTTGTCCATCTGTGTCGACTCGATGATGCCCTCCACTGCTGTGGCTAGGGCTCGGTGCGTGAGCAGTGTGCCTTTAGGTTTGCCTGTGCTGCCCGAGGTGTAAATCAAATATGCCAGGTTATCTGGCGTGAGGTCAGGGACGATCTCACGCTGGATGGGCATGGCGTCCCAGTCCAGGTCGTCGATCACGATCACCTCGTACGTGAGATCGTCGAAGAATCTCGCGCTCTGACGATCCGTGATGACCACCTTGGCTTCACAGTCCTCCATGATGCCCAGGTTGCGCTCCCGAGGGTTCTCCGGGCCAAGAGGCAGAAAAGCACCCCCGGAGACCATGACACCCAGCATGGCGATGATGGTGCTGATGGACTTCTCCAACAGGAGAGGGACCACCTGCTCCAGAACAACGCCTTTGGCGCGTAGCAGCCCAGCCAGCTGGTTGACCTTGATGGCCATGCCAGCGTAGGTGATACTGGCGCCAGTGGCATCCTCGACAGCTGTGCGAGAGGGATATGTGCAGGCGATGCGATGGAAGGCAGAGTGGCCAAGTTCGTCGTCAGCTGGGCTGACCTTCGCGACTTCGACTGGCCCATCAATCTCCCTCTCAACACCATTCACCACACCCTCTCGCACGAGCTCCAACTCCTTGATCCTGGTACCTGGTGCCTCGGCGGCCACTTTCAAGATATCAGCCACAGACTGCACCAACACCCTGGCATACCCATCCTTCAACATAGACGACAACGTCACCTGGCCCAAGTCCTCATTGCTCAACTCCAGCTTGATATAGTCATGCGTTCCGTAATTCTTCTCCGGCAGTATAGTCAATCCTCCAGCCGTAGCAGGCATACTATCCACCTTGATGAGGAAGTTGACCGTCGTATCAAACAGATCCTTCGGCTGACGACTCACTTTCAGTATCTTGCGCAGGCCGTACTGCGCATGGCGCGCCACATCCCACAGACTAGCTTGCACAGAGGCCAGATGCGCCTCGAACGAGTTGTTCCGGTCAAGCTTCACCCGCAGCGGAGCAATCATTAGCGTGGGCCCGCTCATCTGCAGGATACCTGGAATTGGGGCTTCTCTTCCGGAAAGAGTGACGCCGAGCACGACGTCTGTGGAGGAGGTGGCGCGAGCGAGGACGAGAGACCAGGCGGCGTAGAGGAGCATGCTGGGGGTCACTTTCAGTGTGGAGGCTGTGGATTTCAAGTCTGTGGTTAGGGAGGCTGAGACGAGGGTCTGCTGCTCCGTTTGGGCGCCTAGGCGTGTGGGGACTGCGCCGTCGAGGTATTCCTTCCAGAAGGTCTGCATGGTGGGTTCGTCGTGTTGCTGGAGGTGTTTTACATATTGACTGAAGAGAGGGCGCTGGATAGGTGCCGATCCCGTTAAGAGGGAGGTCAGGTCCTGTGGGAGGAACTCGCTGGACCAGTAGTCGAACAGTGCGTGGTGAATAGTAATGACCAAGATGTTGTCTGGCAAGGCGGCTGCGCGCCACCAGAGACCGCCGGCGTGCATAGGCTTCTGGATCTGCTCCCGCATGTAGGATTTCACGTCCATGGAGGACATCTCCCAGGGCACAGGGGCGGATTTGCGCACGACCTGCATGAACGATACCCCATCTGGGATGAAGGTCGAGCGCAGGAAGATCTCCCTGTCCATGAGGGATGTAAGTGCGCGCTTGACTGCCGAGGCACTGTGGCCGGTGAAGCTGTATGACCGGCTGTAGATGTACTTGGTGCCACCCAGCATAGTGTTGGCAATGATGGCTTCTTGGAAGGGCGTCACTGGGAAGGCGTCCTCGACGTCGGCCATGTTGATCCCGAAACGCTCGAAGGAGGGGGTCTCTCGCAGAAGTGTGAACGGCGCATGGCCATTCACTGCGCTGCCTCCGGTCTGAATGAGACCAGCAACCTGGGCGAGCGACTGCCCGAGAATGATATCCTCCACGCGCAGAATCATCTCATGCTCAGTCTGCAGTTGCGACACGACTTGGATAGCTTCCAGTGATGTACCACCCAGCGCAACGAACGAGTCTTCCACTGTGATATCCTCCTCAGCAAAGGATAGGAACCTCGCCCAAAGAGCCCGGACAATCATCTCCTTCTCCGTCCAGACCACTCCGTTAGACTCATTCTTAGGTCGGTCCGGCAGCAACTGCCCCGACTTTGCGAAGTCTTCGACGATCGCGCGAACGGCAGCCATATCTAGCTTCCCATTTGCGTTTGTCGGCAAAGCGGCCAGCGGAACCCAGAACCCAGGGACCATATAGCGCGGCACCCTGGACGCCAGGTACGTGCGCAGGTTCGCCACGAGCGAGGCCCAGTCGCCGTCAGCACGACTCACCACCACTCCCACGAGGGCTGTTTTCCCGCCTACGACTGCAGGCACCACAGCCGATTGCTTGACTTCCTCGTAGGACTGGATGACAGCGTTAGGTTCGGCAGGATCCACGCGCTGGCCGTTGATCTTGACCTGGAAATCGATTCGGCCGATCATCTCGATCGACCCATCGGCGTGGCGTACGGCTAGGTCGCCCGTGCGGTAGAGCTTGCCCTGGCCGAAAGGGTTGGGGATAAACCGCCGGGCTGTTTCTTCGGCATTGTTCAGGTACCCGCGGGCGAGCTGGGCACCGCCGAGACAGAGCTCACCTGGGATAAGCAATGGAGAGAGGGCGGTGGTGCCGGGGACAAGGATGTAGGACGTTGTGGTGTCGAAGGGCTGCCCGATGATGCGGGATGAACTCTGGGTGTCTTGGAGTCGGTAGCGCCAGTTGAGTTGTGTGCATTCGCTGAGGCCGTACGAAGACAGCAGCTCGACGCGATGAGACCAGGTTTGTACCACGGCTGGGTTCACCAGCTCGCCGCCTAGGACCATTCGGCGCAGCGAGGGTACATTGTCTGGTGATAGCAGGGATGCTGTGGTCGAGGTCATGTCGACTGAGGTGATGTGCATGCTGCTGATTGTTCTGGCCAAATGGACAGTCAGATTGGCCTTGCTGGCCAGACATAAACATCCTCCGACGCTGAGCGTGGCCCACATGGATCGCTGAGCTGCGGAAAAAACGGGGTTAAAGAAGAGCAGCTGGCGCAGGTCGAGCATCTTGGGGAAGGCCAGGAGGCCGTTATAGGCGGCTTGGTGCTCCAACAGGACTGCTTTGGGCTTGCCCGTTGACCCGGAGGTGTAAATCACATACGCCAGGGCGCTGGCGTCCTGGTCGAGAGACAAGTCGCTGTCGTCGTTGCCCATGGACTCGCTCAGCAAGTCACGGACCTTGTGTTCATGGGGAAATTCACCTGCTGTGTCTGAATCCACCAGAACAAAATTCGCCTGAACATCCTCGACGATGAAGGACTTGCGGCTGGCCGGTGCATCCGGGTCCAGGATCACGTATGCGGCGCCAGCCTTCAGGATAGCCAGCAGGGCGACAATGAAGTCGGCCGATGTACGCATGTGCACGGGGATATACGATGCACCGTATGCGCGCAGTAACCGAGCCAACTGGTTCGCGCGTTTATTCAGTGTGCCATAGGGAAGGGGAGCATCCAGCTCGAATTGAACGGCATGGGCATCTGGTCTCAGCCGGGCTTGTTTCTCAACCAGGGCATGCACCAGCCCACGACGGGCCCGAATGGCAGCCTTTCCGTATTCATGAAGTAGCTGCCTCTCTGCTGGGGATGTCGGGTTCACTGCTGCAATGTTTACTAACGGGTTCTCGACCACCTGCTGCAGCGTAGCGGCAAAATGATCAAGCAGTACTCGGACGTTGGTTCGCGGCACGGCCAGGTTATGCCGCATGCTGAGCTTCAGCCCGGAGGAGGCCGACAGATTCAGTACGAGGGGAAAGTCAGCATCGGCTGTCATCACCTCCTCACTGTCATCAGGTATAATGGAGACTTTGACTTGTGGCGGTGCAGCGCCTGTCCGCGCGAGGATCTGCTTGTAGCCCAAGTGCGAGTGTGTTGCTGCTTCAGCGCTGACGGTACCAACGTATCGCATCCACGATAGGGCTTCTATGCCCTCAGGAACAGTCAGGACCAGGGGGAAGTCCTCCTGGTCTTCTAGCCCTTGTTGGGTGCTGTCTGATCCGAAGAAGGACCGGTCTCGTCCGGCTACCGTGAAGATGGCGGTGCGATGGCCACCCGCCGTGTGTCGAATAGACACGAAAGCCCATATCCCATATATCAAATCATCTAGTCGAATGTTGTATCTCTCACTAAAGTCTAATGCCGCTTCGAAAAGATGCTCAGGGGCGCGGATAGTAGTCTCAGATCGTGGCCATTGGTGATCGAGAGGAAAGGAATGGAGCTGGGGTTGCGCCCCAACATGAGAAAATAGGTCGGTCCAGTATTCCGCGGCTTGTTCTGAATCCTGGATAGGTTGCGAAGAGATCTGCTCGTGCCCCTTCAGGGATTGGTATGTGGGAGGCGAGACAGGATGGGCATCTTGGATCTCGTAGTAGGAAATCATCTTGTCACATCAAGATGCAAAACAGAAACTAGGATATGCAGTAGGAGGTATCAATGCCTCTACTTGCTTGCTGCAAATGCATGATCCTGGCTAGATAATATGCTCCCTGGTCTTGTATAATCCCAGTCATTCTTCGGTTTCTGCTCTCGTATCTAGTGGGTCAGAGGGCTTTGTGAATCCGCGATGCGCCATCCTGCGATCCTGCAGTCTGACACACACTCGGCAGTTCGCCACGAGGGCCCCCGCCGTGCGTTAGCTTCGGCGGTTGGGCTAAACGGTTTTGCAGGGGCCAGTGGTGGGCATCGGGGCAGTCACGAAGGTGGTGGACGGTAAGGCTAAGCAATCCTTCCAGAGCGCGGCAAGACAAGGGTTTGGGCGGTAGAGCTAAGATGGAAAGGTGGCATTTGTCAGTGGTGGCAACATGGTTGGGAGCAGGCATACGTTCGTGTCTGACTCGTTGTGGCCATGGCGTTGCTGAGAGCAGAGGTGCTGTGCATTCGCTCATCTACGTGGTTATGGGGTATAGACATGTCAGGAGGGATATGATCTCAATCTCAAGAAAAAGAAAGTCGTCATTAAACATGCCAGGATTTGTATGCATCCAAGCTCATGTACTATCTATAACCCAGAGAGGGAGATGGTCCCAAAATCTAAGTAGAGTAATGCATCTATCTGCATCCATCAGAGCAGTCTTCTCCAGCACTGCTTCCCCATATCCCCATTTTTACCTCTCCAACTTAATCTAGACACCGCCAGCACCACCAGCAATGAACAGCTTCTCACGCTTCATGCACACACTCAACACCACTACCAGCGCTGCCGCCACCATCGACAGAATATACGAGTTGTTTAGCGCCTTGACAATGGCCTCCAACACCCGGTCCTTCGTTTCCTGACTAAGTCCATCAAACAATTGAGACCCAGTACCCGTAATGGCTAACTCCACCTCCGACGAAGACACATTCGGTAGAACCGCCTTGATGCCCTCCACACTCTTGTTCAGGAATACCGCATTGGCAATAGCCAGAGCGATCGTGCACCCGGAGATCTGCGCACAGGTAATGAAACCCACCGCCGACGGGGCCATATGCGGCTCAGCCACGGCCTGGGCAATGGAGAAAGAAGCCTGAGAGAACAAGCCCACTCCGAACCCAATCAGCACCGTGTAGCCGTAGATGTGGGCGACCGAGGTCGTAAGACCCACGGTGTACATCAATGCGCTACCAATCAGGCAGAGAATGCCACCGGCCAAGAACCACGGCATGTACAGGCCGTGCGCAGAGAGAATAGCGCCGTTTCCAATGACCGCCACGATCATCAGGATGATGAAGGGGAGCAGCCGGACACCAGACTCGAGGGCAGAGTCACCGCGCGTGAACTGGAAGAAAAGCGGGCACATGTAGACGGGAAGGAAGATGAGGGTACCACCGGCAGCAGTCATGGCAAAGAGGATAAGGATGGTGCGACTGCGGAGGAATTCAACGGGGAACAGACGTCGTTCCTTGGTGGTGAAGACAGGAATGCCCTGCTGGATACCGAGCAGGATGAACAGCACGCCTGAGCAGCAGAATAGACCGATAATCTTAGCCGAGTTCCAGGGATAAGTCGCACCACCGAAGGAAATGGCCATGACACCGGAGATGAAGGCGCCAATGGTCAGGACACCACCCAGGTAGTCGATCTCGCGAGCGCGGGCTCCCAGGCTGACGCCCGGCCGGGGGTCTTTGTTGGGGAGCATGAAGATGTAGACGGGGGCGCAGACTGCACCGATGCACAGGTTGATGTAGAAGGACCAGCGCCAGCCAGCAGATGAGTCCGTGAAGGCGCCTCCAATGATGGGACCCAGCACGGTGCCCACACCCCAGGTGAAACCGGCGCCACCGACATACGTGGGCCGCTCTTTCATGGAGGTGGTCACGGCCAGCATGGTCATCAAACCGACGTACATGCCAGCGCCGGAGAAGCCACAGATAGCACGACCGACGATGAAGGCATTCATGGTGGGTGCGGAGCCACAGACGGCGGACCCGATTTCGAAGATGGCAATGCAGATGATGTAGGTCCATTTGGCGTTGAACTGGGCAAAGATCTTACCCCAGACGAGGTTAGTCGAAGCAGCACCGATGAGAAAGGCTACACTAATCCAGGACAGCTTGGAAATGGAGTTGAAGTCCTCGACGATGGTTGGTTGGATGTTGGCGACGATGGTGTTGTCGAGGGCGAAGAGGAACTGCGAACTGTAGATGGCCGCCACGACAATGGCCCATTTCCAGCCGGTAATGTCGCGCGGAGGAGCTTCATCTTCCTTGGAAGCATCGACCTGCTGGTCCTCCGAGTCCAGGTTGGAAGCAGCGGACTTCTCAGAGAGTTGGCCCTCTTCCTTTTCCAAGGAAGGGTGGTTCATCATGGCGTCGGCAGCCATTGGGAGGGACAATAGAAGGTAGAAGGGTCAACAAAAAACACTTGTCAAAGATTCCACTGTGCTCATCACCCTTCCAAATCGTTTTCAAGCAAAAAACAAGCCAGCAGGGTATATAAAAGAAATAGAAATCCCCAGCAGCAACCCGGAGTCTCCCACCAGCCAGCAACCCCCAATCCTTTGCAATCCTTTAGGGCCGGGGCCTCCCACCCGCCCTTAATTTCTCACCAATTTTCAGCCAGGCCCTCGGCCTCTCCCACTGGCCTGCAGGGTCGGAGTAATCTGACACTCATTCCTAAGCGGGCTGCAGCTTATTCTAGCCCCGTGGGATAGACTTTTAGTTTGCTTTAGTTCGTGATTGAGTCGATTTGGAGGCAATAATGCCGCCCGATATTAGTCACGGCGCCCAAGTCGTGATTCCTGCAGCTTTTAGCTCTACCGCCGGCGCCCACCAACAGCATCTCACCAATCATTCATGTGAGGATGAGAAGCTGAAAAATAAGAAGATAGATGGCCGGGCCATCCCTCACTTTATTCCTAATAGATACTGCAGAAATGTCTGGGGTGTATAGCTCCGGAGTGATTGTTAAGCATAGTGGGAGGGAATAGTTACTAACGATAGAACTGGAGGTTAGAAGAGATGGAGGTTGTTGGCCAATGATTATAGCTTCTACATAATCCCTCTGAGATCCTCTGCTTAGAGGATTGGACTTTGATTGAGGATTCTGGGAATCTTGATTCGATTTTCATTAATCTATCATTATTATTCATTCTATCGTCACTCATAATCGGCATCTCTATGTGGGTATGGTACTTTTCCCTCTATCGAAGCAGCACATAATCCCCCCGCTCATTCATCACCGAAACCCAGTCGCAATCCGATGTGCGACTTTTCCTTGCCTTCCAACATTCCTCCATCACTCGATATGCCTCTGCCAGTGTTCCCTCCGTGGCCTCCGCCGTCGTGAAGAGCTCCCGGAAAGAAGGCTGTTGTTCGGGCTGCGCTAAACAGCCCACGATGCAAAAAGGCCACACCACACTCGACAGGAGTCGCTGATCGCGAAGCACCTGGAACACAAGAATGGCCTCGGAAACAGTTTGTGCAATCTCCGGCAGCTCGGGATGAGCCCCAGAGAGCACAACATGGAGATAGGCGATGGCTCCAAGCCCAAACGCCTTGTTGATTCCTGGGTGAGCCCGAGAAACGCCCGGGGTAGCGGAAGAGCCCCATGCTGCAAATGGCTCTGAAGCGGACATCTGCTCGGGATCGACGAGTTCTCGTCGTAGGCGCTGCTCCAATTGCCCACCACGCTGTGCTAATTCAATGATGCTGAGCTTACGGGCCCCCTCAGACTCTTTCTTCCATCGATCCAGCGCAGAAACATCCGCGATCAGGGCCATGATTGAGTTCCGACACCCTATTAGACTTTCTAGAGAAATCCCGAAGCGGTCCAGCACCTGGACATGATCAATATCCAGAAAGGGAGCCCGCCGGGTAGAAGCAGAAGCGATAATATCCATCGACACGAGAGACCCAAGGAGGAGTCTTGCAGTAGAGTCGTCTTCGGGGGACGGGCTCTGATTGTCTAGCGGTATACTTGGGCAGATCTGGCTCGATGTTTCATGAGGTGTAGAAGGCATCCGCACCTGCATGAACACGGGCATCAGGTTGCCAGCCAGCCGAAGAAGCCATTGCCAGTTCTTAGTTCCGCCCGCAAATATCTGAAGAAGTCAGTACCTTCAATCACACCGTATCATCAGGTTGAGCCACCTACCTCCCAATACAAAAGTTGAAGTATTGAAACAAGTCCCTCAAGACTGTGCGTAATTTGGCTCTGTGCATTCCAGCTAAACGAGTCGGCCATGATGCGCTGCATTCCCTGAAGAGCCAGGTCGTGATAGCCATCTTTGGTACGTAATTGCGCCAGTCGTGCCGGGAGCTCACTTTTAGGAAGCGATGCCGAGAGCAAGTCGAGCTCACTGAGAGCCAAACTGGCATAGTATGCGGGTTTGATGCGCCGCAGAAGTGAGAGAAGCCAACCTCTCCCTTGTCGGTCTTGGGTGTGGTAAAATGGATATTGAATGTAGAAGACCCGGTCCAAGTAGTGCATCAGTAACTCATCCTCGGATCTGCTTCCCGGGATGGGGTCAAGGGGTGTCCCGGGCCACGAGATGGTCTGTCCGCAGGTTGCAGCTGCCAGCATATGCATGCCGGACGTCGGTTGCAGGCTTGTCGGGTCAGGAGACAAAGTAGGTTCTTTCTGCAGGTGGGGGCTATCCAGGGATGCGCTCCACATCAAGTCATCCAAGTCCGACAGGGAGGATTTACTCATGGCCAAGCCAAAATCGTCCGAGTTCATCATGTCACCCCATACAATTCCGGGCTCTTGCGTTTCCAGCACGTTTGGGGTTAAGATTCCTTCTACTGACGATGAGGGAGACGAAGGGTTGTGCGCCCACTCTAACTGCTTCGAGAACGTGGTATAGTCTTCCTCAGGGAAGACCGAGGTGCCTTCAGGGGTGGGGAGCTGGTGGAGAGGCACGGTGCTGTACACCAGCGTACTATTATTAATAGCAGCCACATTGCTGTCTCGGGTTAGACCTTGCAGTTCGTCTGGGGCTACATTGAAGAAAGGGTAGACTAGAGTGATCGATCTTAGTGCGGGTCCTTTGCTTGACATCTGTAGATGGAGACCCTTACCGGTATTGCGGGCTGATGGGCGAGTAGAAAGAAGAAGTTTCTGTCTTCTCTTTCTTGACCGGGCCTGACTAACCATCTGCCGGAACTTCGAGGCTTGCTCATTTTGCAGGGTCCCATTGTCCATCCAATACGGCCGCGGACAGTATCCGTGGCACTCGAGGTCCAAGGAGATGCATCGGGTGCATGCCGGGCGAGTCTCATCGCATTTCTTCCGGCGGACACGGCATGTCCAGCAACCATTGAGGCTTCGTGCGGCTGAAATAGCAAGCAGGGAATGTAAGTATGGGAGCCGGGATGTTGTGCACAGCAGAGTACAAGCAAGAGAGAACAGTTGGGCTTACGGATTTTGGTGGCTGCAGCCATCATATGCGGTGCAATCTTGCTGGCTTGCCTGGGAGTCTAGCAAATGAATAGGATCCGGTTACTCAACATTCCATGAAACCTTCTCCACGGATGAAGTTGCGGGTTTGTTCCATAGTATTATATATGCTCTGGTATGGCTTCGAGGGATTGGGGCCAAAAGATAGACAGATGGAGGCTGAAGCACCGAAAGTCACTAACACCATGCAGTAGGCTCACTCGCCGATTGGGAAACTAATTGGATAATTGGCTGATGGCTGGATGAACGGACGGATGGGCTGTTCCTTCTGACTTTCGCCGCCATCGCAACGACTACTATGAGGGACTAGTTCCAGTACCTACCTACCTACCTCCCTGCCTACCTGCCTGCCCAGAAACGTACCGCTGCAGGTCAGATTGGTTATACGAAGAAACCGAGTTGTGAAAATAACCGACTGAGTGTAGGGGGCACCAGATAGAATGGCCTGCCCCCAGTCTACGACCCATGGGGGAAGCTTTGACATGCGGTGCCGTTCCAATGCCGAACGACCATGGCGACGATGGCATCATGGGTCCAGCCGGTAGAGCCAAGGACTTTTACGATGTCCCCTCCCCCACCATCCTTCAGACTAGTGGGTCTGCAGAAAGGAAAAGCACCTCAATTCTCCGCGTGGCGTCCAGGCGATTCCTCGTGGGATCTCACCTTGCATGGAAGGGCTCCTGGTAATTTCCCACGTGAGTGACAGGATGGCTACTGTCAATCGTGGGTCTGACTGCAGCCTACATGGAGCGAACTTGAGCCGATGCTAACCTATCTGACTACACCTAGCCGAGTGGGACATTGAACTTTTGCAAGGGGCAAATTCAGTTCACGGAGTAAGAAATCTGATTCGGTGATGACTTGAAACAACCCGTAGTCTTTAGTGCTCACATGGTAGTAGAACGGCGTTCAAGTCTTTTGACGGACGGTACACGAGGATCAGGCGGGATCTCTAGGACCTTCGACTAGTTTGTGAGACTACCATGGATACGGATAGTAGCCAAGAACAACAGTTGGCTTGGGGACAGCTCAAGTCCGAATCGAACCAGAACCCCCCAATTTTTACCCCTTTTATTTTTCCCATGAGAAGATTGAGTTCTGCTGAAGATTTTCTTCAGCGCGGCAAGCAGTAGACGGTCCAAGCAGCAGATGCCGGTGGTCATGGTTCTAAGCTTGTTGCAACGCCAGTCCTGATGTTCCTTAAGCCGTTCGGGGATGGTTCTAGAATTGCCGTCGCGCATTAAGTTCTGTACGAGAGATCACCCTATCCAATCCTGGGAGGGTGTTGTGTCGTGAGTAAGAGGGACCCAGAATAACTTAGCGATGTGATGTCGCGAGGAACAGCGAGCAATCACAGAGGGAAAATGGATCCATATTCCAACAACGGGAAGGATTGAGGCGTGGGAGCGTCCGGAGGATTTTAATCCCATTCCTCCCAGTGGTGGTGGATCTGGTGTCAGCCTCTAGCCTTTCGCTTTGTCGGAGCGTCCAAGCGCATATTCTTCAGCAGGTCTTGGACTCGGACTGGGAGCAGTGGGCGTCCCCGATCGATCTGAGGTCAGCTTCAGTACGCAGCACCCAATACCACGCTAAGCTTAAGCGATCAATCCAGTCAAGTGCATCCATTCTCAGTGGGACAATCCGGATGGGCAAATGATCTGATGTCAGCTTCGGCGTGGGAGTTTCCGGCCGAATTAAGCAAACACAGCCCAGCCAGTGGGAGCACCCGCGGGCAATTTCTTCTGCGGGTGGGATTGCCCGGTCGATCCCATCCTCGCTCTGTAGGCACAACAGCAGCATCTAGAACCCCTTAATCAGCCCAGCGGTGGGATATCCCCATTATCAATGTCCCCCTAAGCGGTGGGAGTATCCGGCTCCGCCGTGCAGTGTGGGTTAAGTGGGAGTGTCCGGGGTCTGGGGCAACGGAGCAGAATTCCCCTTCTTTCTGTTCCTCCTCACCCTTTGTCGCCCATCTTAGCCTGGCCTTCGTCAGCAGCCACGTGTGCAGATTGTCCTCGCATGTCGGTAATTAACTTGGTGTGCGAGGGATTTTCTGCCAACATCCGTGCACAATGCCTTGATCCCTCGGGATAAATAACAAAAAAATGCTTATCAGTATAGCAGTGAATTGTGTGTAAATTCTATCAATCTAAGCTTATCAGTCAGCGAAGTCAGTCATATACTCGTGTTTGAATGCTTGCTTGGGTAAGTTATACGCACTACGAAATGAACTCATGTCCGTGAACTATGTACCTTGAGACCTCTTTGGTCGGGCCGATGTACCGTTCTGTAGAGTGAAACGCGCAGATGATTTAAGAGAAGAGAAACAGTCATCAGTACTGATGTCTGGACTGTTGTTCCAGCTGTATTTCAGCCATTGCAACATGATGGCTCGAAGTGAAGTCTTTGTTTCCACTGAGTCTCGTGCACCTATACTTGGTGCTTATGTAACCCCGCATGCCCTTGTGTAACATTCACTCTTCTGGATAATTTCCAGACGCAATATTGGATACTTCATGAGTATTGATTCCTGGGATGTAATACTTCTATCCAAGTCATAGACAGTCAACTATAGTAACTTCGGAAGAACACTGAGTCTATCAAAGTGAAATTTGCTGATGATTCAACTTTATTGGGAGATATACAACTACAGATATGTAGAGATGCATTAATAATGGATTTCTTGAACTCAAGTTAATTTGGGGGTATCAATATGGGCTAGTCAAATTTTCTACAGCCTCATCCTTCCCAGTTCAGGCCGGTAAGCCCCGTCACCCAAACAGTCATCACCCTGCTCACCTGCAGCGAATGCCGTAGCACCCAGAAAGACACTTTCTCCCAAAGCTTCCATTAACCGAAGTATGCCGACATCAACAGTCTGACAAGCCCTCAAAGTGAATCGTGACTGCTAAATATAGAACCCGGCAAGATATAGTAGCGTACGACTCTAGAGGTCGTCACAACCAAAAACATGAACATCCCTAGGTGTATGTTTCATTGACTTCAATTGAAGCGGGGACGATCGCGTAATCTGTAAGCTCAGAGAATTCAAGACCGCATGCAGGCATGACGAATGTACAGTCAACATCTCAGATACTCCATGTGGTATGGCCGAAGGAGTGGCACCTATGTCTTGGGTGGGTTCCAGAAACGTCTGACATCCAAACTAGTAAGTAGTTGTCATTGTACCATATTGTCCCCCAGGACAGGCTTTTGCACCAATAAGGACTCCGAGTATGTCTACTATTGTAGGAAACTGTTCTCCCCATGCTCCAGGGCGGTGATCCGAAGTCCCGAATTTTCTCAGCAAGCGCCACAACCACGTTTAGCTGACATTACAAATGCCTGTAGTTAATCTAGTCGGTACTAGACTAGAGCACAACGACTTGAAGATCCCACCCGCCCCGTTGGGAAGGAAGATCATAGTTGCCTAGTTATTGGATGGCACAACTTTGGCCCGACAGATAGTGGGACAAGTCCTAGAGTGGTTTGGGACAAACCACCAAGGAGAGTCGAGTCCCCAGATAGCGCCTTGCCGACGTACAAGCTCCTGAAGGAGCTCGGGCGAAGGATTCGTCGGCTGGGTCTGTATCAGCCCTAATTTGTCCCAGAGGGGCGGGGGCTAGTTTATCGCGGTCTCACATGTCCGGCAGTGATGGCAAACACGCCTTTGAATCCTTTGGTTGTGCAAGATGAGATACTAAGTAATGGCACGGATGTATTACCAGACTGGGAAATCATTATGCGATCTAGATAGAAGAAATCCCTGTATTATACCTGGAACATATTACTGCTATTGAAGAATTGCCGCTTGAGCCGATGGATAGTGTGCATAATCGAACGAGTCATGAATATCGGAAGGCTCAGTCGGTTTGGTTTGCTTTTGTTTTGATACTGCATCTATGCGTAAGAGTAGCTACTTTGTTTGACTGACCCCCAAGACTAGTCCTGATTATTCTATGTTAATTGCTACAGGCACAGGACAACCAGATCCTTAACAGAAGTCTACCTGTTTTGAAAAGACATATACACATCTCCTAAGTCATCTTTTCCCTTTCGGGTATCGTACTGAAAATGCACAGCTTGAACAGAAACATATGCAACATCAACTGCCCGTCATTCCAAAGTCAAGCATCACAAACCCACCAATAGTTGGTTCTGAGGCTGTACTCAATCCTCGCATGGGATATACCCTCCTATAAGACCGCAAAGTGAGGAACATAATTAGCACGTCAGAAAGACAATCGATTTATATCAGCGGTTCTAGGTCCTGGACAGAAGAGCGGACTAGCTTTAGTGGCTCATAAACGAGACGAGCACCTGCATAATCATTTGACTGTGCAACTCTCCCAGAGCTGCCTATTTCTACCTACTTGACACTTGGACACCGTTTTAGTACTCGGAACAGGGTATCAATTCATGAGAAGCATAAATGTAGACTGATAAGAGTCCAATGCGACAATTCAAGGGGTCCTAGACGTACCTAAGCGTTTTGCAGAACCAGACTTGCTATCTATTATCTTCGCATATACTCCAGTGACTGACCCAGTCTTTTAATCTAAGAATCTGTCCAAAGTCCAGCATACCCAGGCTCTGTTAGCGACGTAGAAGTGCAATATATGTCTGATACTTTATTTACTAAGGCAATGGAAATTTAGGGTTTTTATCCTAGTTTAGATAGCCTGCCTTGGCCACTGCAATACCTTCTTTCACTTTCTTCTCTCCAGAATCTTGCCAATGATTATTATTTGCTCTGAGAACCGAAAAAAATCCTTACATTCAATTAAAAAAGTATATTAGGCAGGTCATAGGATCATTGCGAGTTTCAAAGTCTGAGGTCTAATGCACTAAATTTGACTCTTTTCCATGAAGAAATCCCTATCTCTGACCAAGAATTCTTCTCAGACGTAATGTCTATCTTATTCAAAATACGACCTTATAGTAACAATTACAGATGCAACGATTGGCTTCGTCTTCTCCCTCACAACCATATCTGAGGGTCTGGAATCTTCGTATTCAACACGACACCCTCTACACCCTGCCTCGTAGAGATAGGTACCGACCACTCTTGTGTCCCCTTTTCCAACTGAGTTTTGCTTTGTATCATCTCTCGTTTCCACTTATCGCCACCTTTCTCCCACGGCTTCGCTGTGTATTGTGTCATATATTATGAATCAAAATTAGTGATATAAGCCAGTAGATGAGATAGTCAATCCTTTCTTTATCCACCCCAGCATGCTCGTGCCTAGTAGTCTCGGCTAGTCACAACATGAAAATGACAATCTACGGCAGTAAGCTCTTTATGTCTTTCCGAATTATCTGGCGAAAAAGACTCTCGGGGTTCGAGAAAAGCTCGTCTATGCCAAGGGTATCTTTGTGATTCTTTCACTCATTTCTCTGGAAATCGTGAGAGAGTACCCTGAGGGTGCACTAAATCTACTTTCTTCGGTATTCTGACAACCTGTCAGTGCTCCTGATTCGAGTCGAGCAATCCTGCAACTAATTCGGTCTTGATGGGAATGCTTTTGACAAAGTATGGGCCTCCTGCGTTAAAACCTTTTCTCGTGCCACGAGTAAAGTATTAATTACCTCGGGAGTCAGTTGTTCCTTCAGGCATTTCACAACCTGGTAGAGGTATCTAGCACTATCTGATAGTAGTAATATTTCCTGCTATCTGAATCAAATTCAGTAGAACTTTGACAGAAATATACATTCTGAACATCTTGTTCAATGGTAAATCATCTCTGGTGAATACACTCGGGTTAATGAGAAAAGAATTAAGGCTCCCTAAGACATGATATCTAGATATCCCTGTGTCGTGGCTGAAGACGATTGTGTTCCACGCTGTTTGGGTTATTTACCCGAGCCTCAGCTAATCCATAAGAGTCAATAGATATGAAGGGAGTAAAAGATGAGAATGTACAATCCGCTCACTATTGAGGAAAATAGTGGAGATTCGAGATTATGACCTACTATCTTTGTGTTCCAATTAACCTGCGTAGGCTCAGGGCGCCATATATTAATGATGAGGAAGACGAGGCTGTCGAAACACACTACATGGGCGAAGGGCAGGCTATAATTCCAGTCTGCGGCGAATATAACATAGAGTAATAGCTAGTATATCTTTGAAACCTCTAATTTCAACAAAGTATATTGACTTACGAATCAAGTTACTTTTCAAGTACTAGGTGCAACTGGTGCCACCAAATATTATGCTTATACTATTCCCTTACGCCTTTGTAGAGCCCCTCTCATTTTGATAATTTCATAAATTTAGAGGTTGACAGAACATTTTATGTAGACTATCATAACGGTGAAAGCTGGGTAACCCAGGATGCATGGACTAGCCAATTCGTTCCAACAGGCACATATATGGAGTGATACCACCGAATCCAGCGACTACTATGCTGTTATTTTTAGTATTCTTAGTAGAGCCACGCATCAGGCTATTGAGCTGCGACGTTAGGATATGATATAAACAACATAGGTCCCTGCATTTATTACATGCTTAATACTTAGTGCCACTGAAGCTCTGCAATAAATGCAGACATAAGTACAGTATTAGCATCCCCAATTGGGAATAATGCAGACGGACATAACGGATAAAGGCCTGGCCAGAGCAGTCTATACCGAAAAGGGACTAACGCCAACAGTGGTGCAGGGATCAGCAGCATATTACTCTATCGGGCGAGAGATACCTGACGTAATTCAGGTTGACCAACGAAAAGCCAGGAAATGAAAATAGAGGGGCGGTATCGGCCATTGGTGACGTACTGGATGTGACTCAAGTCCTGAACTGGGGGAGAGAGAGTAGCAACGGCCTCAGGAGGGTGGTTCTCCCACCTTAGTCAACGTTATGATTCAGGTTACGCAGTTCTTCAGATATGGTTGCCAGGACATTTGGAGACTGCTAATCGAATTCATCCAATAAAAACGATTCCACGGTCGATGGTGGAAAGGCGATTATCAATCGTTGGCATCTCGACGCGAGCCCATTGAAGACGCTATCTATTCGGAAAGCGCCCCCTGCCGATGTCGGTTGAACTAAACCCAAGTGTTCACTAGCAGTGGGTGGTGAACCCTAGACACAAACCCTCCTTGACTGGGATTGCAAAAAGGCTAAAAGCCCTCGGTAGCAGCGATAGGATGCCTAAACGAAGATCTACCAGCGAAATGCACTTCCCCCCTCAGCCACCTGTACCAAGAATGGCACATTCGTCTGTTCGTTGGCATACCCTTTCAGTGGCAAATCCACGTAGCCGTCACCGCCCATGAATAGCCCCCCAAGGCAGCCTGTAGGCAAAAGAATGGAGTAGACCTTAATAATGGAAATGACTACAGGACATTGGTTGACCCTGTTGGAGACTGGGGAATGATCCTCACGCTGAGCAATTGGGGCTGCCGGATGCGCAGTTCACGGTCCAGGTTCCCCACAAGAGGAGTGTAAGCCAGTTCCAGCAGGCGAAAAAAGAGGGCGAAAATTTCGTCGTTGCCGCAGAAAGAAAGAGCAAAAGAGAGGGACCGGCCGAGGAGTCTCCAGTGCATCGCCCGCGAATCATCATTGCGCTGACCGCCCGCCTTTTTTTAATCTCCGCCCACTTTTCTCTTTCTCCTGGCAACCTATGACTCTTCCCTGCCTCTCCCTCATTGACCATCTCTCCATTTAAATCCAGCTGTGACTCATTCTCTGGCTTCGCTTGTTAGTCTCCCTCCTATATCTATCTCACTTTGCTCTCATTCAAACGCTGGTTGCTCAATACTGACATTCAACCTCGCTATAGCCATTTGCCGTCTAAAGTATATACTACCGATCTATCTGCGTGCTACCCCACCATCAATTCATTCACAATGTGCCCCGGTGCAGACCACGAGCCCAATGGGCAGGCCAACGTCGCCAATGGCAATGGCAACAACGGTATGATTTCAACTCGCAAACACATGAACTGCAAATGCCTATGCTAACCAATACCTTTTCAGGTGAACACCCCGGCTTCACTGCCGTTGAGACTCGCCAGAACCCCCACCCCTCCGTCTCTCGGAACCCCTACGGCCACAACGTCGGTGTCACCGACTTCCTGAGCAACGTCTCTCGCTTCCAGATCATCGAGAGTACCCTGCGTGAGGGTGAGCAGTTCGCCAACGCTTTCTTCGACACTGAGAAGAAGATCGAAATCGCCAAGGCCCTCGATGAGTTCGGTGTTGACTACGTGAGTCATACCCCGGTGGATCACATCACAATGCCGGAGAGCGTGCACTGACCACCACCTTAGATTGAGCTTACCAGCCCCTGCGCTTCCGAGCAGTCGAGAAAGGACTGTGAGGCCATCTGCAAGCTTGGCCTGAAGGCTAAGGTATGTTACACCTGTTCACTGCGAGTTATGCGTCATCCGGCTAATTTTCGATTCAGATCCTTACTCACATCCGTTGCCACATGGACGATGCTCGCATTGCTGTCGAGACCGGTGTCGATGGAGTGTAAGTGCTGTTTTTTTGTCTTGTATATGCCATGTTCGACTGCTAACAGCTCCGGACAGCGATGTTGTCATTGGAACCTCCTCTTACCTCCGTGAGCACTCCCACGGCAAGGACATGACCTACATCAAGAACACCGCCATCGAAGTCATCGAATTCGTCAAGTCCAAGGGCATTGAGATCCGTTTCTCCAGTGAGGACTCTTTCCGCTCTGACCTCGTCGATCTCCTGTCCATCTACTCGGCCGTCGACAAGGTCGGTGTTAACCGTGTTGGTATCGCCGATACCGTCGGCTGCGCTTCTCCCCGTCAGGTCTACGAGCTTGTCCGTGTCCTGAGGGGTGTTGTTAGCTGTGACATCGAAACCCACTTCCACAACGACACTGGTTGCGCTATTGCCAACGCTTACTGTGCCCTGGAGGCTGGTGCCACCCACATTGACACCTCCGTCCTCGGTATCGGTGAGCGTAACGGTATCACTCCCCTCGGTGGTCTCATGGCCCGCATGATGGTTGCCGACCCCGAGTACGTCAAGAGCAAGTACAGGTTGGAGAAGCTCAAGGATATCGAGGACCTCGTTGCCGAGGCCGTTGAGGTCAACATCCCCTTCAACAACTACATCACCGGTTTCTGCGCTTTCACCCACAAGGCCGGTATCCACGCCAAGGCCATCCTCAACAACCCCAGCACCTACGAGATCATCAACCCCGCCGACTTCGGCATGTCTCGTTATGTCCACTTCGCTTCTCGTCTGACCGGCTGGAACGCCATCAAGTCGCGTGCCCAGCAGCTCAAGATCGAGATGACCGATGACCAGTACAAGGAGTGCACGGCCAAGATCAAGGCTCTGGCCGATATCCGCCCCATTGCTGTCGATGATGCCGACAGTATCATCCGTGCCTACTACCGCAACCTCAAGCTGGGCGAGAACAAGCCCCTCCTGGACCTCACGGCCGACGAGCAGGCTCAGTTCGCTGCCAAGGAGAAGGAGCTCGCTGCTCAGGCTTCTGCCTAAGCCAGGCGATCGAAATCGATCTCTGGCCTAGGGTCTCCTTTCTAATCATGCATTTATTCCAACCGGGATAGACGTTTCTTGTCCTTATTATTAGAGCTTTGATGTTTCCTATTCCCTTACTCTTTTAGCGGCTCCCTTGGCGGAGGACGTTCTTGTTTGCGCCTGCTGGTTTCATGATTGGATGTTTATGTGTTCTCAGGATGGTTTCTTTGATTTCCACGGGGTTTTCAAAAGTTGTTCCTTGTCTCTGATGGAAAAAAGGGAGGGGAGGCCGGTGTTAGGAGAGCCCTTGGTCCTTGCGTAGGACCGTGTACATACGCAGAATTTCGATGCCATATGCATCTATCCTACAATATACGGGATACATACCAAAGATAAAATGTGTGGCTGTTATAGATCTAGTGAGAGTAATCGGAAACGGTCGATGTAATGGAAGCAAGGGGAGAGAATGTGAGTGCATGTGGAGCGTCAAATCGAGACGACGTACTATAGATTGATTGTCATGAGGAGAAGCGGCATGCGGGAACCGAGGCAGTTTCCCGACGCCCCGTCCGCGGCCAGTCAGTCGCTCTTATCGCCCCCGGCTCCGGTTCCCTGCATCATCCGATCCATCGACCTTCTCTCGCTTCCCCAGTCTTTCTCTTCTCCCTCAGTTTGGAGGTCGTCGTGCCCTTACTCCGACCCGGCTTTATTTCTATTGCTCACGGACATGGCATCTTCTTTACTTCCCGTCGCCCTGCAGAATAAACTGCTGGGCTACAGCAGGGCCCCCAGCACCCAGCTGGCGGCGGCCCATCTGGACTTGTGAGTGGCTGAGCAGCTTTCCATTGCCCCCGCGTCACTGCGGACGATCGCTCGCTCGTCAGACGTTTGTTTTGTTTTCTTGGGAGCTCCATGCTAATCTGACAATCACCGGACAACCAGTCTTCGAAATATCGTTTTTGTCCTCTTTATCCTTCGCTACGTTCGCAAGACATTCTATTCTTTGCGCGGTTATGGCATCTTCGGCAGCATCCGCAATGCCTACGCCGCCGTCCGTCTCTTCTGTTATTCCATCTTCTTGCGGTTCCCTGGCGTCCGTGGCCAGGTTGATAAGCAGGTTTCCACAGCTATTGAGAATCTTGAATCGAAACTCGTCGCGTCTGGGCCCGGCGTTAATCGTTATCTGAATCTTCCGAAGGAAGGATGGACCGCTGAACAGGTTCGCGCTGAGCTCGACAAGCTGGCGAACATGGAACATACGCGCTGGGAGGATGGTCGTGTCAGTGGTGCTGTCTATCACGGTGGACAGGACCTGTTGAAGCTGCAGGCGGAAGCCTTCGGACAGTTTGGTGTTGCCAACCCCATCCACCCTGATGTGTTCCCTGGTGTTCGGAAGATGGAGGCCGAAGTCGTGGCTATGGTAATGATCCCCAGGTAATCGACGAGTATGCTGGCTTACTTGGATTAGGTTCTGGCGTTGTTCAATGCCCCGTCCGATGGCGCGGGTGTCACCACCAGTGGTGGTACGGAGTCGATCATCATGGCGTGCTTGGGTGCGCGCCAGAAGGCTTTCCTCGAGCGCGGCGTAAAGGAACCGGAAATGTGGGTGGCCACTACTATACCTTTCCTGCTTATCAACTGACACGTCCGTAGGATCATCCCCGATACCGCCCATGCTGCCTTCATCAAAGCCTGCAACTACTTCAAGATCAAGCTCCATCGCGTCCCCTGCCCGGCTCCCGAGTACAAGGTGGACATCCCCTCCGTGCGTCGCCTGATTAACTCGAACACCGTCTTGATTGTTGGCTCGGCACCCAACTTCCCCCACGGAATTGTTGATGACATTCCGGCTCTGTCTCGCCTCGCGACGTCCTACAAGATCCCTCTGCATGTTGACTGCTGCCTTGGCTCCTTTGTTGTTGCCTTCTTGAAGAAGGCGGGCTTTGCCTCGCCCTATGAAGAGGAAGGTGGCTTTGATTTCCGCCTCCCTGGTGTGACTAGCATCAGTGTGGACACGCACAAGTACGGATTTGCACCCAAGGGTAACTCAGTGCTCCTGTATCGCAACAAGACCTACCGCAGTTACCAATACTTCATCTACCCGGACTGGTCCGGTGGTGTTTATGCCTCCCCGTCTGTGGCAGGTTCCCGTCCCGGTGCACTGATTGCCGGGTGCTGGGCCAGTCTGATGAGCGTTGGCGAGTCTGGCTACATCAAGAGCTGCCTGGACATCATGGGCGCGGCCAAGAAGTTTGAATCCTCGATCAAAGAGCACCCAGTTCTGTCGAAGAGCTTGGACATTGTTGGAAAGCCCATGGTCAGCGTTGTTGCCTTCTACAGCAAGAATGATGCCGTTGATATTTACGATATTGCGGACAGCCTTTCTGCCAAGGGCTGGCATCTCAATGCGCTTCAGTCGCCCCCGGCAATCCACGTCGCGTTCACTGTCCCTACGGCCGCTGCTGTAGATGCACTTACCACCGACCTGGTCGTGGCTGTGGAGGCGGAGTTGGCAAAGGCGGAAGAGAGGAAGCAGCAAGGCAAGTCGTACGTTGTTAAGCGTGGAGACACTGCTGCCCTGTACGGCGTGGCCGGCAGCATGCCGGACAAGAGCATTGTCAGCCGCCTGGCCGAGGGATTCCTGGACACCCTGTACAAAGCTTAGATTGGTTCAGAAATGCCCACACTGTCCATATGGGTTGAAAAGCGCATAAGTTTAAGAACTGCAAATAGCGGACAATTGGTGTTATGGTGTATTGGTTGGGTATTGCTTCGTCTACTTGGACAATTATTCCTATAAAACAGACGTTAAGACTTGAAACTTTTAGGGTTGATGTAGATCCCATTCCATATGACAATAGGTGTAGTATAGTACAATGCAAAATCGTGCGCAAGATGAACCCAGTACATCGGACTCGGACATGCAATCTGACCAAAGAAAAAGCCGCTGGATGCATGCAATATTCCACTTCCCTCCACCATCACCTCTAAATAGGAGTTCACACACTCCCTCAATCCCATATAGTACACATCCCACCCACGTAAGTAGGCATATCCAACAAAATCAACAATAACATGTGTAAAAGCCCAGACTCCGATCGCATACCAATCAATCAATCAGATAGATGAAAATGAACCATTCCGCAAAAAAAAGCCGAATCGAGAACAACGACGACAACAACCCACCCCCAAGAATGGATATCAATCAAGCCAATCTATTCTCCTCAAACTCCACCCCGGAGGTCTTCTCAACATAGTATCCCGGATCCGGCTTGCGCTCCAAATGCACCTCTTGCTTCGTGAGCCGACGATCGACTTCCTGCACCTGCACCAATTCCTTGACTTTCATGATTTGACCCGCCACAGACGGCGACACGGGGTGGAAGACGGTGGCCATGCGCTTCTTCAGACCGAGGGCTTTCAGGACGTCGTTGGTGCGGCGTGGGAGACCGATTGCTGAGCGCATGAGCGTGACGCGGAAGTAGCTGCTCATTTTGGCGGGTTGGATTGGATTGGTGGTGGTTGTGGTGGGTGATAGTGAGGTTTCGGAGGAAGGTCAGGTGGCGGTCAATGGCCCCGGTTGGTCTGGAGGATGTGGAGTTGTTCTTGTGGTTGCGAATGCTGCTTGCTAGGATGCTTTTGCTGTTGATTCCGCAAATTTCCCGATGGCGGTAGCGTATCTGGGCGGGGAGTCACGTGGTTGATGTGTTCTGCCGGTTGGCGGGCGGGCGGGAAATGCGGGTGGCATTTACTACTATGCTTGCGGTGTTTAGCTTACCTACTTGCAACTGTATGTTTGGAACAATTGTCATTTTTGGAACATTGATTGGCTCGGTGAGCCACTGGTGAGAATTGATCCTTGTTTGGATGCTCTGAGGCTACGATGCTAATGGTTCTTTGTGGCATGCAGATATACCCCGGGGCGCTGCGCGTTTAGGAGGGGATAACTGCTGCTAGCTTATGGTCTAGCTGTTACTATACCTAATCACCATCGGTCGGTTGATTGGACTATACTTATTGGTGGTGTAATAATATCCAGCCGACTGCATATCTATTCTCGTGCGTTACGCACTCGTTGAACGAATATACCGTGAGCTTCGACAGGCGCATTCCGACTGCGACAGCTACAAATCATGGCACGAGACGACGACGGAACGGTGGCCATGCCCCGTCTAGAAGATATCCTCCGCCACCCTGAAGACCTCGATAAGATCATGGGCCTGAAAGCCGAATACTCGCGCAAGAAAGCGGCCGTGGATTCCCAGCTACGGGAAGGACTGCGCGACCAACTCGAGACCGTGCAGCGCAGCATCAACGCCCTCACGGAAGGCCAGCGACAGGTCTCCAAGACGAAAGACGAGCTTCAAGGCATTGACAAACTATGCGCGGAGTCGCAGACGAGCGTGGAGGATTTCTCGCAGATTGACAAGCTGGCCAAGGTGCAGAGGAATTTCGAGGCCACGTTAACGATGAAGAAAGGGCTGGAGGAGTTCAGTGAGAATCTTGCGGTGGTTGAGGACCTTCTGCGCGAGGACGATGACGATTTGGAGAACCAACCTAATCTGCTGCGCGCTCATATGCAGATTTCGAGGCTGCGCGATTTTAGGGACGAGGCTATGGATCAGATACGCAAGGCGCAGGATCCGAGTAGTGAGGAGACTCTGGCGGATTACTTCCAGGGATTGGATGGCGTAGTCGATTGGTTTGATGACCATCTTGGTACGGCGTGCATGAACTTGATCCCGCTGGTGCAGTCGGATAACCCTGGGATGGTGGTGCGGCTGGCGGTTGTGGTCATGAACGAGGAGAAGAATGATCAGACGGTGCGCGCGTTGCAGGAGGCTCAGAAGGATCACCAGGACCTGGCAGACCGGTTCAAGTCGATGAATGTGGGCCCTAAGACAGTGAGGGGATACAAGGAGAAGTTCCTGCAAGCTATCGAGTTCTACGCGCAGAACCAATTCGACGCAACCAAAGAGGACTTCCTGGCCCAGCCGGACAACCTGGACAAGAACTTCCGATGGTTCTTCAACGACCTCTACACCGTTCAGCAGGGCATGCAGCCGCTGATGCCGAAGAAATGGAAGATCTACAAGACCTACACAGAGATCTACCACCGGATGATGCACGACTTCTTCATCGGGCTGATCAACGACCCCGAACTACCAGCCGACAACCTTCTCGCTATCATTCACTGGACCGAGAAGTACTACAAGAAGATGAACAAGCTCGGCTGGAAACAAGCCGACCTCAAGCCCAACATCCTTGACGACCGCGAACCCGAACTCATCCGCCAATGGCAAAACATCATCATCCGCGCCGTGGAAGACTGGACCAACCGTATCACCGAAACCGACCGCAAGGGACTGGTCGAACGCATCCCGGACTCCCTCGATACCAACCCAGAAGGCTGCTTCCGAACCAAGACCCTGCCCGACATGTGGCGCATGCTGCACGAGCAAATCATGGCCTCGGGCGCCTCCTCCCGCACCGACGTCGTCGAAGGTATCATCGACGCCATGTTCCGCGTCCTCAAAGCCCGCCAAGTCGCCTGGCAAACCCTCATCGACGAAGAATGCGCCAAATACAAAGCCCCCGGCGGCGACCTTCTGGACGGCCTCCAACTCCTCCAAGACTGGCTCGTCGCCGTCGCCAACGACCAAATCGCCTGCATCGACGACAACGAAGAGACCGGCCAGCTGGGCTACCTCAGCCGCTTCAAACGCGACTTCGAAACCATCGTCGACCCGAGTTACATGGCCTCCCGAGCCATTCCGGAACTCGACGCCCTGCGCGACGGCTACGTCGATCTCAGCACCCACTGCCTCACCCAGTTCGTTGAACTCATCTTCGCCGTCGACTTCCGCACCACTATCCCCGACTTCTTCACCCAGAAATGGTACGGCGATTTCGCTGTCAAACGTATCACTTCAACCTTCGAAGACTATATGGCGGATTACTCCCCCGTCCTGCACCCCTCTCTTACGGATATCCTGGTCGAGGAACTCTCCGACGAGTTACTCGTCAAATACTTGTCTTCTGTGCGCAACAAGGGCGTCAAGTTCCGGCACAATACCGATCCGTACACGGATAAATTCAAGGATGATGTCCTTACAGTGTTTGCTTTCTTCCAGAATTATCCGGATTCGTTTGCCGGCACTATTAAGATGAAGTGGCGGTTGGTGGATTGGTTGGTTCGGCTGCTGGAGTCGGAGAAGGGCCCTGCTTTGGTCGCTGTGTATGAGAACTTTAAGACGGAGTATTGGGATTTGCAGCTCTCGTGGGTTGAGGCTGTGTTGAGGACGAGGGATGATTTTGAACGCAGTATGATTAGTGCTGTTAAGGCGAAGGCGGCGGAGTTGTCGGTTGAGAGGGGAATGGAGACGTTGATGAGTAAGGTGAGGTAGTTGAGGTTATTGTTTGGTGGTTGAGAGGATGTGTCTTTCAGCGTGGTGTTTGGCGTTTGTCTACTGTTGTTACCGTTACACCCTGGTTGTAGACTATGTATGTACATGTTGCTGCTGCTCTTTTAGCCACTCGATATTAAAGATTTCACAGACCGAACAGCAGACTCTTCTCCGCTACGACGCGATATTTCTCCCCTAGTCGTGCATTCATGCCCTCGTCCTTGCCATTAAGGTCCGGCACGAGCTTCTTGGCCCCCATTTCACAGATACATACCGACTCGATGGGGAAATCCCTCGCCCAGACGAAGGGTGTGCCTTTCCGTTTGGAAAGGCTACCCTCACCCTCTGACCCTGAGCCTTCATTATCAGGAACTGCGGCATTAGGAACAGCCTCAGTACTCTCGACACTCTCCCCAGGAGACGTATAATTGCGATACCTAGCAAGAATCTCTCTCGCATCAAAGGTATACTGCCTCTTCCTCTTATCGCCCTTGCCATCCCCTCCCCTACCACCTCTGCCTCCCCGACCACCATGACCACCACCTTTCCCCTTCGCATAGATAGTGTTCACAATTGTAGCATGCAGTAACAATGGCCGTACCTTGGGCTTAGATTCCACAGGCGCAGCTGCAGTTGCAGATGTCGGCGCAGGCACCATCATCCCACCCTCCCTTGCACTATCCTCAGCTAAATCCATCTGCCTCTGCTGCTCCTCACCACCTATATCCACCCCACCACTTCCTTCCCCTCCACCCTCCGCCGGCACGGGCGCCGGCGCTGGCTTATCCCCTACCAAAAATCCTTCCTCCAGAAACCTATCCCTCAACCTCACACAAAACGGATACAGGCGGTTCGTAGGATCCACCGGCGCGGCATGCAGAACCGTTGCTGCCTTGGCGCGGGGAATAGCGTGTAGGGATTCTAGGGAGATGAGGAAGGGAGATGCGGTTGCTTCTGGTGCTGCTGCTGCTGCTGATGATGCTGCTTCTGATTGTGGGGTTTCGCGAAGCATGGCTTCTAGGTCGAGAGAGTGCAGGAAGCGGATTGCTTGGGAGAGACGGTCGGGAGTGGGGAGGCTCATTACGCCGAGGGTGAGGTGGAGAGTGCCGACGGGGCGGTGGGCGGAGGGGGGGATGAGGGGTTGTGGTTGGTGTTGGTGGTGTTCATGATGGTGCTGGTGTTGATCTTGTGGAGGTTGGAAAGTTGGGACCGAGGCTTTAAAGGTTGCGAGGGAGGATTCGAGTTGTGGGAGGGAGGTGGCGTTGATGAGGGGGAGGCAGAGGAAGTGGGTGAGTGGAGGACGTTTTTCTTTCTTTGGATTTGGGTTTGGTCGTGGGTTGGACATGGTTTTATGGTGGTTGTGATGGTGGTGGTGGTAAAGTCGTGGGAAGCTGAGTGGCAGTTGGAGCTGATATCGGGGTTGGAATTGTAGTAGTATTGTATGGGATGAGATGCAGGGGCTGAAGGACCTGCTGAGGCGCATTGAGAGATTATATTCAGAGATATTTCCGAATGACTCACATTAAACAGTGAAGGTAAGTAGTAAGCAATGGAGGGAAGAAGTAAGAAGCAAGAAGGAAGATCGGCTGATGAAGCTGACAGACTAAAAGGTATAGCTCTCTCCACAGCCAATGACAGCCCGCTCTGCTCCGCACTCGATGATGTGATGCCATCACTTCTTCTCTTCTTGTTCTTCCTCTTTCTCTTCCTGTTTTCCCTTTCTTTTCCTTCACCACCACCACAACTTCAATTACACCAGCACCATGAATCCAACCATGTACTCCCGTCTCCCCCGAGCAATCCTCTCCCCCGCCGCTGCAACTGCCGCCCGTCCCTCCCTCCGCGTCGGTGCCCGCTTCGCAACAGCAACACCATTCCAGCAACCTCAACCTCAACCCCAGCTCCCCCGTCGATGCTTCCACGCCACCTCAGCACCCCGTAAAGGCATCTTCCCCGACTCTGCAGACCCTCCAGCTCCGCACCCTCAATCCAGCAATGTCGCCGGCGCAGCCACCCACGTCACCGAGCCTTCCCCGTTGACGGACGCGCAGTACCATGACCACGCGGAACACTACCTGAACGTGGTGCAGAATGAGATTGAGAAGGCCCAGGAGGAGGGTTCGGATATAGAGGCTGAGTATAGTGTTCGTTTTTATCCTTCCGTGATACTTCCGAGTGATGATGCCAAAGTGAAGAAATGAAACAATTCAACTGACATCGATGATGAAATGATCAAGGCCGGCGTCATGAACATCATCGTCCCCGGAGTAGGCACCTACGTGCTCAACAAGCAGCCCCCCAACAAGCAGATCTGGTTGAGCTCGCCGATTTCCGGTCCCAAGCGGTACGATTGGGTGGTGGAGGGTGATCAAATGCATGAGAAGCAGGAGTCGAGAGAATTTATCAACGGACAGTGGATTTACCTCCGGGATGGGTCGAATCTCACGGATTTGTTGAACCATGAGTTGACTCTGAGCTTGCCGAGGGATGTGTATAGTGAGGTTCTTGAGTAGGCTGCTGCTTCCTTTTGATCTCGGGAAGTGGATGACTTTTATGTCTACAGCTGGGTGGTTGAGGGATAGTGTAGGATATGGATTGATGTGTGTGTGTGAGTGCTAGTTATTTAGTGTTGTAGTACCTGGTAGTAGATAATACAGTTCGGCGCGGTACTAGTGTAGAGTACTTGTGCGCAGACAACATATCCAAGTGGAATATTCATTCATCCATTCATTTCCGTCATCGTTGACTCATTTGGCCTGCCCCATGTAGCGCATATACAGCTATCCTGCGTCATATGCACCCGTGTTATACTGGCGCGGCATCGGCTCTGCGCCTGCGCTCGCTTTCTAGCGCAGCAAGCTGTATATAGCATGTCGAGTATTTGCTGTCGCAGCAGCAGCTGTTGCTGCTGCTCAAACCATGACATCCACTGATACTATCATCAAGCGACGTCCTCAAGTCGACACACATTTCGCAGCGAATACTTCGTCGTTCGTCCGAGGTATCGTTGAAAGTACCCAAGCGCAACAATCATTTGTCCGCGAGCGAGCCAATCCAACCCAATCCAATTTCCAATCAATATCAGACCCAACCCAACCGGCAGATCAGATCGAATCCCATCATTTAAGCCTGAACAGCAACAGCCGCCGACCCATTCTTATCATCACTGTCCTTGGGAAGATCGGCCTGACATCACATAATCAGCACAACTAATCCCAATCATGTATAGGAAATCCCAACGAGACAAAGACGGGAAGGAGAAAGAGTATATTACCTGATCGAAAATCACCCGAATCATCAAACTACAACTGGGACAAACACCAATATCCTCGCCGTCACGGAGATCGTCGATGGCGATTTCGAATCGGTCGCCACAGGGACACGGGTAGTGGTAGATCTGGAGAACGGGGTCGAAGGTCATGTCTTCGATTTCGATCTCGTCGTAGATGGAGAGGGCTTCGTCGGCCATTTTTATTCTCGTTTTTATATAGTGGGAGGGGTTCTTTTGTTCGGGGAGAATAGAAAGTTGGGGTGACCTGGTTCCTGAGCACAAGAATAAAGTGGGCTACTATCGTTATCAGTGAGTGGATGGCAAAAGAAAAGTTTTGGCGGGAGGGGTCAGGTGATTGCGGGGTTGGTGATTGGTTCATTCTTTAGTATGGAATATATGGAATATGGAATAACTATGCTTATGATAATGATGATCTTATGTATTGGGTTCATGTTCATATCAGGGTATCTATCATAAATTAATACTATACATGCAATCGTTCAATCTCCATCCTCACATCCTCTACCTCCCGAATCAACGATCCATACTGTCGCGCAAGCTCCTTCATCGGTCCGCGCCCGGCTCCATCGATACTATCCTCGTAGCTCTTTAACTCATCCAACGCCATAGCACGTCTTTCCTCCAGCCGTTCCCTCGTTTCCCGAAGATGCTGGTAATACCTACGTAGCGCATCCACAACCTCTGGTGTATGTATCGTTGCGAGAATTTCGAGTTTCGTGACACTGCATTGATGAGATCACATTAGCCCCCCGTACACCCATCTCATCTCTCTCAGACAGATCGTATACATACTTAAGCTTCCCCTCTATCCCCTGAGCCACCGCAACCAAATGGTCCGCCTTCGCCTTCGCCGCCCGAGCCATCGCCCCATGTTTCGCCCGCTCCAGAAGCATCACCGTGCGCTCCAGCACTGCTGCCCGCGTCGCGAGCACCTCCGCCGCCGTCGCTGCCATCCGGGTCCGAGCTGCCGGAAGCTCCGTCAATTGTATCTGGCGCAGGGCGCGGATACGGTCCCCGAGCTGGGAGGCGAGTGAAACCTGCGCGATGGACCTGAGCATGGCCTGGCGATTGCGTGCGCGGGTTGTTCGGGGCGGTTCATTGGGTCTTGATGTAGATCCGGAGTCTGAGGAGTCCGATGATCCTGCATTGGCGATTGTGCGGATGTCGTTGAGCGTTTGGGAAAGGACGTTCGATAGAGGAGTGGCTAGGAGAGGGAGGTTGGAGTAGAATTCGTCGATGTCTGGTGCGAGGAGTAATTGCGCGTCTGTTGCTGCATCGCTGGGGTCGTCGTCAAGCTTGAGTAAGTCGGGGGAGGATTCGAGATAGAGGGTTATGATGGCGACGGGATCTCGGCACTTGGATGATTGGATATATTGTTAGTAAGGCTGCCTTCTCTGTAGAGTGGTAGGTGGTGGTTGCTAACGTCGTCGGGGAGCCCGCTGTCCGGGTCGAATGCCAGTCGTCGCAAAGCTTGCTTCTTAATCTGCTTTTTCGCGTCTCGTATCCGGCAGGCTTTCACTTCCTATATTGTAATCCAGGGTCAGAGGGCCATTCAGGAGTGGATATCATGAGCTAGAGTCACGATTGGGAGGTAGGACGTACTTCCACAACGGCTTGTCGAGCCGGTTGCGCATCCTGGGCGCGAGTGGAGCCATCGGGGTTCAGTAGAGTTGTCGTCAGGTGGGTATAAAGTCTCTTAAATTGAGGGTTATTTTCAAGAATGACCGGATCGCATGGCGGAATCATGGTTCATGGCAGGGGCTGCGCGTGAAGCTCTCGTGGCGCAGGTGGAAGTGCATCATTCATCAACAGGCGGCGAGCAACCAGGCGGCCACCGCCTCATCCCCGTGACCTGGCGATCTACAATCAATAAGATGTGGATAGAGCTTCGTCTACACTCTACAAGAACCATAATGGATATCATATCATAATACAATGCTGAATTTGCGCTTCCGTTTTCACATTTCTTTCGTAATCATACACGCACCTAGCCTTTCCAGCATGCTTCTCTCGCATCCGACCCCGATCACCGCTGCTGATGAACTCGACGTCCCTCAGCTCAACAGAGATCCAACGCAAACTCATCAAAGGGATCATCCGATTGCGCTGCTGGTCGTCAAACGTTCTCCAAATCTCCCCAAATCGTACCATATGTACAAGTGCGCGGCTCACTGCCGGTCGCACTGTCCTCCAACATGGAAAATAGAGAAAAGAAAAAAGTAAGGAAAAGGAAATGAAAACACGATCGCTAGGAACAGAAGTAGAGTGACGGAAAATAAAACAAAGCTCATTAGTGGGTAGAAGAAAAGACCATGGCGTAACACGCGGTGGGAATTAACTACTGAAGTCATGAGGCACAGGCCCAGCAAACAGAAGAACAACATGGCTTGCCAGAGGCAGCGATCATTTACTCCTCCTCGCTCTCCTCCGAGTCATCTTCAGAGTCGTCGCTGCTCTCGTTGGCTTCGACGGAGGGCATAGGGTCTGGAGAACGGCCACCGCCACCACCCTGGAACCGAGACAGGTTGCTTTCGAGCATGTTAATCTGAGCTTCTTGCTCGTACTTGCTCATGGGCTTATTCTTCTTCGGCTTCGGGGCGGCTGCGTTCGCCGCGGCCGCAGAGGCAGGGTCTTCCTCTACCACATGCGGCGCGTTCTTCTTGACGAACCGAAGTAGCATAAGGAGAACATCGTTAGGAAGCTCATCAATGTCGAGCTCGATCTCAGCCTCTTGGGTACCCTGCAGAACTTGTTAGGCCTTGCATCGAGAGTAAGATCACATTAAGCAAACAACTTACCTTGAGGGCCGGGACATTAGTCTGGATGATTTTGAGAGCCTCCTGCATCTTCTTATCAGGAAGGCTACTAATCCCGTTGGAAATAATCTGCTTCTCATGGTAGGTGACCCAGTGCTGCTTCTCCGGTTTGGCTGAAACCTTGGTGGTGCTCTTCTTGCTCTCCTTCTTAGCGAGCCCCATAGTGCTAGGCTTCTTGCTCTCCTTCTTCCCCGGCTTGGTCTTTCCGAGCTTTTTGCTTCCAGGGGGGGTCTTCTTCTTCTTCGTAATAGCTTCGATCTGGCGGGTCATCTCTTCCATCTGCTTCTGCAGCAGGCTGAGCTTCTCGGCATCGTAGTCGCTTTCTTCGGCGTCCTCCTCGCTCTCTTCTTCGGACGACTCGGCGCTGTGATGCTCGACATGCGGTTCATGCTGCTCCAGATACCGTGTCTTCTGGGCCCATTTCTTGTTAAATTCTTCCTCCAGCCGCTGGCCCGCCATGTAGGTCGGGTCACCTGGAATGTTGAATTTGAAACAGTTCTTCAAGATGAGGCGCATATCAAGTTCAAACTCCTTGGCATTCTCATACTGGCCGGCCCTCAATTTGCTTTGCACAGTAGAGAAATCCATGGGCTTCTTGATAATGCTGTGATACGTAGGGATGTTGAGCGCAACAGGGTCAACGGGATGGTAGAAAGGCATCGCGTAGGTGTAGTGCTTGGGCTTGTGCAGCTCATCCAGCACCTCCTGGCAGAATCTCAGCTCCCACTGATATTTCTTCTTCTTCGGTTTCGTGGAGTACGGGAGATCGCGTTTAGGGGGGTGGATGGAACGCTTAGGACGCCCATCGGCATTAGCAGAATCACGGCGGATCAAAGGAAGGCCTTCCGGGCCCAGGGCAAAGGTTGTCGCCTGGGGAGAAGCGCCGGTGGCGCGTGCTGTGCTAGGACTTGGGGCGGGTCGGTGATCTCGACGGATTGCTGTCGAGGGCTTAGCAACAGACTTCTTCGGCTTCTTCTCCTCCACTTCATCGGCTCGAGGTAAATTGGCCATCTGCTTATCGAACGTGATCTTGAGCTTCTGCCCCTCTTGAGCGACAAGGTGGTCGGGACCGTTGAATGTCAACGCATTCTGAACCATGAGGTTGAAATCATCAATAACGGCCTGTGCAGTCCGATACACGTTGTTTTTCAACTTTTTCTCAATGGTTCCAAGGTCCATAGGCCGTTTGATGAACTGCGGGTAGTGGGGGACATTCAGCTTGATGGGATCCACAGGCTCTCTGTAGAAGCGGGAATCGTGCATCCGCTTCAGGCTCTGGATGGACTTGGACAGGAACTTGTGCTGAACCTTGGTCATGGTTGTTTCTCCATTTGTAGCCCGTTCCGAGCGCGACTCGGTAGGTGTAGGCAAATCGGGAACCTTGAAGTCGGCGGACGCCGCCGCACCTTCACCTCCGATCTTGGTACGCTTGGCGGCGGGCTCATCGCTGGGATCGCGTTCGCGCTCCCTCGAAATCTTTGTCGGGGAGGCCGGAACATCGGGCGCGTCACGCATCTCCTGATCCACGTTCTGCAGTGGCGGCACCGACGGAGCCGTACTGGCAGCCTCTGTCTGCATTGTGCTCTCTGGCTTCGCATTCGAAGGATGGTGAGGCAATTCGGTTTTCACAGCGGCAGTATCTTGTGATGGCTGGGCAGTGCTCTCCACTTTAGCGTCGGACGGCGCATCAGTTGATGGCTTTGATGCATCCTGAAGCGCCTGTGTGTCTTTGGACTTGGCGCCACTCGCACCTTCGCCACTAGCCTGTGCAGCCGCAGACGTCTTTTCACTAGCGGTTTCCTTCTCCCCAGTCGCAGCGGAATCCACATTTGAAGGTTTGGCTTCTTCGGACGCGACGGCTGGTTGTGCGGAAGTATCTGCGGTCGGCAAGGATGGACTCTTAGGCGGGGATGCGGTCGCGGCTACGCCGTTTGTGTTGGAGGTAGACTCGGCAGTCGTTCCGTTTGCCGTGGCGGACTTGGTCTCCTCTATCGGCTTCTCTGCACCATTGACGGGCGCGTCCGATTTAGCGTTGACTACAGCATCTTGGACTCTGTGAAGACATTAGCAAACAGATGGCGTATACACAAAACGCTCAAAGCGGAGCATACCCTGTGCGACCGGTATCAGCAGGCGAAACTCCATTGGGCGACGGCGGCAATTGAGGCTTCTCCTCTTTGATCGCAGAGGGAGCCTCGGGAGGCGGCGTCGCCATTTGAGGTCGCTGAATTTTCGATTATGTCCTCCGACGGGACCGGGGGTACAAAAGAATCTAACAGGCAGCGATTCTGGTCGCAGGAGCTGGTCACTGGAATCGGAAAGTTTAGGGAGCGGCAGTAACACAAATCAACTGAATAGGTACTCTCTGCGCTAACACAGACTAATGTATGGATTTTCGGTAATCGGCGAGCGACAACAGCTGATTAGATGACAGAAGACACACAAGGGCAGACGGGTGTCTTGCGCAGGCCACAGATGGTATGCGACGCCACGGAAGTTGCAAGAGATACAAGAAAGGATGGAAGATTAGCGCGGGCCGGAGGGGGGTGGAGAATGCGACAGGAAGGAGGAATATTTATATTGCCAAGAGGGCGGCGGGCGGAAGATAGCCTGCAGTCACGTGGTGCGGCAAGTACCGGTGACTAAGCGGGAGGCAAATAAAAAGTCGCCAGACCGAAGAGGGAAAAAGACGGAATTCAATGAAAGAAAGGGACTAGGGGGAAAGCAGCAGGTGAGAGAAGACGAGATAAGGAGAATGTCAGTTGGAGCTCAAATGCTCGTCAATCCACAATCTGCACGTGCCAAGCCGCGATGGCTGCCTGAGGCCAGAAACCAGGTGTTGGTGCCTGGAGTAAGAGCTGAAAGGGATTGGGGGGGAAGAAGCGATGAGGAAGATACAGTGAAGTAAAGTCCGTGTTGTCGGCAACGCGATGGAGTCGTTGCTAATAATATTAGAAGAAAAAAAGGGGAAAGGGGCGGGCCAAAAAATAAAATTGGAACCCAAATAAGCAGCTGCAGTAGCTGTGGCTGGGATCGAGCAAGCGCGCGACGCGAATGACGCGTGAATAGCGTGTTATGAAGGAAGGAGAGATGGAGCGCAGTCCAGGGGCAGCCGAGGACACAAAGGGCGGTCGGAGGGGGCGTGAATGGCAGGGTAAAAGGAAAGCGTGACCGGCGCGCAGCAGCTCTCAGCTCAGCTCCAGAAACAGAGACTGAGAAAGTCGGAGGGGGTGCTAGAATCCTTAAGTACGAACGGTCGCGTTGCGCCCGTCCGTCCTCTGCCGCTAACTCCATCGGCCACGCTAGTCCCAATTATTCTAGTTCAAGCCATTCCGCAGCCGCTGATTGGTCCAGGGATGACGCGTTCTACGAGATACGAGTTGTTATTGGCTGTAACCAACCCTGGACGGTGGACCCAGGTTCCGGGTACCAGAAGTTCCCTTTGTCGGAAACATCGAAAACAACAAGAGAGGTGTGAGCAAAAAAAAAAAAAAAAAGTCTTCAGGTGGTGGTGAAGACAACAACATGAGCTGAAAATGCAACCAGGCATTCCACAACCTTCCAAACCTTGGAGGAATAACGATCGGCACAGAGCCCCCATCATCCCATTTCATCGACAAGATGCATCGTGATGATACTGGAAGTGAGTCAGGTCAGATATGACATACCCAAAAATCTGTCAGGCATTCAAGCGGTATAAGAAGTGCATCATGGATTCGGGGTGAAGCCTGTTGAGCTGGACGCCGAGCCAGGCTGTGGAGGTCACCAGACCTGATGAAACCCCAGGGTTAGGCCCTGAACCCTCCCTTGCATCGGATCCGGACTAGGTTGGGTGTACCTGCTGATGTAACCAACCACTCCGGGCCAGAGCTCCGATTCCGACTCCGAGTGACAACACCATTTCGCGAGCTGGCCCGCATACCAGTGAAAGGTATCACGTATAAGAGCTGTAAGAGTGGCGGCTGCTGTGGCTGCGGCATTTCCAACTGGCGTTTGATGAGTTACCTTGCTCACAATATTGCTGGGTTGACTGGATGACTCGTCTAGGCAGCCGTAGAGTAACGGTGGCGCCTGCTGCCACTCCTTGTTCTGTTGGTCGCAATCAGAGACTACCCCAAGTGTGCTCCATCATCTCGGATATGTCTTGCCTCAGCCAGAGCCCCTAACTTTTTGTGGATCAAGACGTGGATACCTGCATAGGTAGCAGGATATGTCCGGATGAAGTGTGAGTCATTCTTCGTATAATTATTAACAAGATCAAGTGCACCCAACATGCCACCCCCTCTGTGAGGGATAAGCTAGATGGAACCATGGAAAGGAATCATCAAAGAATGAAATTATAGTTGCGAGCAATCATGTGAAAGAGAAATTGTGGTGAAAATCCTTGACAAACCTATTGTCACCACCCAACGAAACTGGATGTGGAGCGAAGGATGAGTGGTGAAATCAGGAGAAATATTGCAGCAGTGGTTAGTTGATTGTAGAAGACGCGGGGTCAACCATTCTGAATGTTGCCCAGTGGGCGTCTGTGAATCTCGTGGTGATCAGAGCCATTGTAGCAAGTGGACCTGAAGCACTCTGCAAGGAACATTGATTCATGTGAAGTATGAGGTAAATGTGAGCAGGTCAGGACAAGTCAGTCAGTCAATCAGTCAGACAGACAGATAGGTGAAGAGAACTGTTGCATTGGAAGACTAGAAGAGGGCGCTGTTCGATCGACGTCGAAGGAAGAGGAGAGAGTTCTGTGCACTTTGAGGGGGAGAGAACCGCTGTCTGCTTAGTTATTATGTGCTGCAACCCGCGCGGAGGATTAGATAAGACGCCCGGAGCGGAACTAAGGTTCACAGGCGACTAGACCGCAACGGGCCAAGCGCATCTCTACAGAACTTTTTTTTCCTCCTCCAGCATCAACGGCCCAGCGACGCCGACGGTTTGCAGCTCAACTGGCTTTCAGCACAAGAGGTTCTGTTCCTTATCCGCAGCGGGTCTAGGAATTCTTGTACCTTTGGGTGTCTGCTTTGCGACACATTCTTTTGCATCTGCTCCCATCCGCCTATACAGCTAGCCAGTTCAAAATGGGCAAGAAAGCGTCTCGCCCGCCCGCGACGAAAACTTCCTCCGCTGCGTCGCCCGCGGCATCCGGCCTCACATATACCGGGAATAAGTCATCGATACTGAAGGCTTCGTTTGCCCCGTCGGAATACCAATTGGCGCTTTTTGCATCGGTCATCCAGGGTCTCGATGCTCAGCATCTCCGCATCCACGATACGAATACCGGACGGTTACAATGCGAGCATGTCTTGGGTCCTAAGGAGACCGTCACTTCCCTAGACTGGGGTTACTACTCCAGCACAAAGAAGGAGCGCGATCAGCAGTCTAAGAAGAAGAGAAAGAGACCTTCCGACGTCAATGGCAACGGGTTCGACCAGGGAGACGTAGTGGTTGCCATTGGTACCAGCGCCTCCGAAATCCGCATGTACTCGCCTGTGGAGGACAAGATCGTCGGAACGCTTGCAAACGGACACGAGAAAGGTATCAGAGACTTCAAGTTCACCTCCGGCCGACCTGGACAGGAGGGTTGGAGTATCGGCGGTGATAATAAGCTTGTGCAGTGGGATCTGTTCACCGGGAAGACGACCAGGTAGCTCTTTCCCCAGCAACTTCGGTACAGCCCGGCATCACACCTAACCGTTATCTAGGACAATTCATATTCCCAGCACATCGGCCCTCAGCACACTTGCGCGCCCGCTTCCCTCGAACCCACCTGTTATCTGCGCCTCTCAGACCCCGTACGTCGTTAGCGTAGAAAAAGATGAAGCCCCAGTCACTTTCGATGCGATGCGGAACCCGATCAAGAACATCATCCCTTCTTCTACGGATTCTGCCGCTGCCGGACTGTTCCTCGCTGCTGATGGCGACCGTTACATTACTGTTTTCGATGTCGAGAAAAGAAAGCTTGCCCTGAACCTCGTGGCCGAGAATGGTGTATCATCAGTGTCTCTGTACACTGGTGCGGAACGGAAGGGTATTACTCTGCCGGCAGAGAAGCAGGTCATCGCCGCGGTCACCGAGGATGGCACCATCGAACTCTTCACTCGGCCCTTCGTGCTGCCGAACGATCAGTCCAATGCAAAGGGCGCCGCTAGCCTCAAGGCCAGATCGAAGCAGGCCATTCGGAGAGCTGATTCTCAAATCAAGGTGACTGTGTCCGCAACGTCCAATGCCCTGGTTTCCATGGTGGCCGCTTCGTTCGAAGGTCCGGATTTGGTTGTTGCTTGGGCCGAGGGCGGCGTTGTTCCAGTTTTCGAGCGGATCAAGTGGCTCAACGAAGAGACGGACGACTTGCTTTTCACAGGCACCAAGCAGATTGTCAAGTCCAAGTCGGGTTCGGTTCTGGGATCGGTTACGACGAACGGAGCGAGAGCCGCTAACGAGAACCAAGTCGACGAGTCCAAGGCAGTTGTGGAACAGGGAAATGTTATTGAAGACGATATTGAGATGCAAGATTCCAAGGATGCTGCTTCCGTGGCTGGCAGCGACGAGGAGTCGGACGACGAGGAGGCGGAACCCAAGCAAAAGAACGAATCCAAGCAGTTGCAGAAGAAGACTGACGCGGACAGCGATGTCGAGATGGGCAATGCACAGGAATCCGGCTCGGAGGAAGATGAGGAAGATGAGACAGGCGAGCCTTCTTTCGGGGAGCTCATGCGCGCCAACCAGGAGGTTGACGTGGAGGCTGAGCTTGAGGACGACGTTCATATGGGATCGCTTGTTCCAGGCAAGCCCAGCGCAGCCGTGCAGCAGATTCCCACGGGCGTGTCCCTTTCCACCGTACTCACCCAGTCCCTTAAAACCAACGACAACGCCATGCTTGAGTCCTGCTTCCACACTGGCGAACTTTCCATCATCCGCTCCACCATCCAGCGTCTCGATTCCTCTCTTGCAGCGACCCTACTTCAGAAACTCGCAGAACGCCTCTCCACTCGGCCGGGTCGCTATGGTCACCTACTCGTGTGGGTGCAATGGACCTGTGTCGCCCACGGTGGAGCTCTCGCCGGCAAGCCCGAGCTTCTGAAGCGGATGTCCACCCTCTTCAAGGTCATGGAGCAGCGCTCCTCCAGCCTTCCTTCTCTGCTCCTGCTCAAGGGCAAGCTGGACATGCTGGACGCACAGCTTGGCCTGCGCCGGTCGATCCGTGGCGGTGAAGAGGCCATGGAGAGCGAGGATGAAGAGAACATCATCTACGTGGAGGGCCAAGAAGAGGACGAGGACGAGGACAGCGACGTTGACGCCAAGAACATGACCACCCCACGGAAGTCCATACGCGACCAGGCCTTCGACGAAGAGGAGTCTATGATGAACGGTGTCCAGACTGGCGACGAGTCCGAGGACGAGGAAGACGACGGTAGCGAAGAAGAAGAGGAAGAGGACGAGAACATCCTCGACGTGGAGGCGGAGGAGTCCGCCGGATCCTCCGACGCCGAGGAGTCCCTAGAGGAAGATGAGGACGAGGACGACGAGGATGCAGAGAGTGCCGGATCGATGGTAGATTTCATTGCGGACACGGAAGACGAGGAGTCGGAGGACGAACAAGCACTGTCGACCTCGAAGCCGCCACCGTCCAAGAAGGCCCGACTGAGCGGCGGAGGTCGAGGAAAGGGGAAGAACAAGGGCAGAAAATAAATGCAATCGTCGATTGATTGATTGACTGATGAGAACCCGAACCCTTCGACCTCCCCTGTAGATCTTATACCCTGTTCATCAGCACTGTGTGTCCCCGGATGATGGTCTTGATTTATACTACTATTTCTTTTTACCACAACCACTACTACTACTATCCTCCCACTAAAAGTCAGAGAACGGACAAGGAACAAGGCCAAGGATTTTCATATTTTGTTTTACGTTTGTTGGTTATATCTATCTATCATCTTCTTGTTTCATTATAACATGCATCATTGCTAGACTTTGGAAGGGGAGGGCTAAGGAGCGGAGTACTATGAATATATATTATGATTCATTTGATTCCAAGATATAGTAGTAGTATTTGCACTACCAGTAGTAAACAATACATAACCCCTATTGAACATACAACTCCCTCATAGCAAGCCTGAGAGTGTGTACTAAGGATGGTAATACAAAGATCGTTGACAGTCTAGTACAATTTACCTACAGTTGTGTACTTATATATATAGTTACCGAGAGTTACCCATAATAATAATAACATAGTGACTACTACTATACTATACAACCACCACCAACCCACTCCCAAACAGTAATTCATACCATGATAACCATACTATCTAACATCTTATTTAGTAAACAACCGAAAAACTACTAACTATTATCTACAACAATTCCTCCTCCCCACAAGCCCCCCCATGCAAAACCCTATGCCCGGGAATCTCCTTCAACGCGACCTCCAACACCACGGTGCTCTCCTCCGTCGGATAAGTAGTAGAATGCCCCAAAGCACTAACCTCCGCCGTATCCAGCGCCAGAATCGCCCCGTTCTTACCCCCGACTATCCACGCCTCGTCCGTCGAGTTCGGTAATGTGATGTGCGCGACGCCGGAGAGGAAGATGACCCATCTGTTATTATCATTATCATTATTATTATTGTATTAGAAAATATATACTTTGTGTATACATTTATGTATTTATATTTGATTCCTAGAAGAAAAAAGAGGAAAGAGGGTAATCATGGTTGGTAAAAAAAGGGGGGTTATTCGTACTGAATTGTGGGAGCATTATGGAGGCCGCCATTATATTCACCGGGGATGAGGAGGTTAGTTGCGTTGCTGGTGACGGGGCCGAGATTGAGCATGGCGGTGCCGGAGACGCCGGCTTGGGCGGAGGTGGAGTAGCCCGGGTCGAGGGCCCAGCATTCGAGGACGGATTGGTTGTTGTGCGCGGTGAGGGTGGTGATGTTGAGGGTGTTGGGGAAGGTGGTCGTAGTACTACTGGTGGTGGTGGGGTTGGGTGATGCTGCGAGGGCGGTGGTGGATGCAGCCAGGAAGGTGGTTAGGAGGGTGTGGAGGAGAGGCATAGTGGATGGGCTATGATTTATGATTTATTGGATGGTATATGATGTTGATGGGGTAATTATTGGGTTTATATGCAGGCGTACTGTGCAAGGTAAGTATTAGGAGAGGGAGGAATGGTTGGTATGCTGGGAAGGGAGCAGGGCAGGTGGACATTCATTTATTGTTCAATAACTTTCTGCAGCCCTCTAACTGAGAGTTCCAGAAGTGGGAACTTCTTCAGCATCGAGCACGATATGGCGATCGAAGCTTGAGTCAAGTAAGAGGCGCTATTAGATATGCACAACCCCCGAATCAAGCATGATCTGCGCACCGGTCCGGTTTTCTAGCTTTCTTTCGACCAGCGACGGTCTATTGTTGAAATCTAACAATGCAACTAAGTATCTAGGTACACCTGGCTTTCGTGTAATAGTAATAGTCGAGTCCTTCGAAGTCTCAACCTAATTAATATCGATAATGATATGTGCGCGCTGCAATGCATATTAACGGATGATTTCGTCCCCAATGATCTCCAGCCCTTCGAGCCCTTCGAGAATGCCACTGCCTCCCAGAGGTCCGGCCACAACTGCCGCGCCTCGTTTAGGTCCGCTCCATACTTCATGGAATTTGACACTCTGGTCGCTGGAAGCCACAATGATGCAGCCTTCCTGCACCGTGCGCGAACACCAGAGACCCCCCTCTCTGGCGCGAGGTCGTACAACTTCCCGAACGGTGCTCCGTCGGCCGGGCTCGCTCCGACTCTGCTCAGCTAGTCGGTCGTGCATCACCATCGATGTGGGAGAACGGCTTTCTTGATCCGGTCTGTGGTCTTCGCAGTCGCGAGGACGGCCGGGATAACTCACAGCGCAGAGTGCACGCCCACAGTCAATCATGTCGCTTTCAGGGCTGTCCCAACTACTCCCATGCGGCCCCCAAGGAATCGCGGCGATCTGCTCACAGCTCGGCCAGGCGAATACTGCGATGCGGAACGGATGCTCAGGCTGTGCGAATCCGAATGTGGCAACAATTTCCCGTCGGGTACGACTCCAAATCAAGCTGGTCACCTGGGCATACACATTGATCGTGGCCAGACAGGCGCCCGTCGGGGCGTGGTAGAAATGAATGGCTCGGTCGTTTGACCCGCCTCCGGTAGCCAAAAGAGACGGCTGCCAAGGGGCAAATGCAATAGCCTTGACCGCGGCGCCATGGACCAGCCGATGTCTTTGACGGTTGGACGGGACCAGGACGGTTCGATCACCACCGGAGATCAATGACCCAGTATGATTGAGGAGAGAAGAATACAGTGGCTTCGCGCTGGAAAAAGCCCAGGGCGGAAGTAGGTGACTAATAAGACTGCGCCTTCGAAAAAGCCGTTTGCTAGCACTCGCAGCAAAGCAAGTAAACGTGCCTGTACACTCTGTGCCTTCCGATTGACGCGACTGATGTGGTGTGTGATCCTGGGACGAAGGCTTGTGCTCCCGTGGAGGAAGAATATCATGGAGGTCGAAGAGCAAGCAGCAGTTGTCATTCCCTCCCGTTGCAAGATAGGACCCTTCAGGGGACCAAGTAATGCCGCAGATTTGCTGCGTATGGGCCGTAATCTTGGCGAGTAAAGTCATGGATCCATTGAAGTCGTATTCATCCCATTCTTCATTATCAGGCCATTCCACAGAGTAGTACCAGATATTCCCAAGATCGTCACCTACAGCGAGGTCCTCAACATCGACCTCAAGGTGGCGAAGTCTCTCTGATAACCTCCGGGATTTTGTTGGCCGGAATGCCAGACAAGTTATAGAATCTGGATGGCTTATCTCGAAACGGACATCAGAATCGAATGTACTCCAAAGAGATAACATACCCGACTGTCTCCCAACGGCCAGAATGCTTTTTCCACCGTTCTCCGAGGAGAACGCAAGTGATGTCACGTAGTTTGAGGGGTGTTGGTCACTGAGTGGCGGATGCTGCACACCCAGATGCTCAGACCATAGATAGACTCGATGGCCAAGGCCGACAGCAAGTATGCCGGACGTGGATGAGTATGCTAATGTCGAACAATAGAAATCGTCTCGGAGGAGGGGAGCATCCAGGATGCGAAAAGGGCGGTTCGGGACCACCCTCTCACCCTCCTTTGGTACAACCATCCCTATAAGTCAAATCCAACAGTTAGTTGACATATGCTGTAAGCCAAGTTCACGGTAGAGGCATGAAGGGTTAGTGCCGCTAGTCGGTAGCCTTACTGATTAGATGATGGAATATGTGGCAAAGATATGGTATCATAGATCTTCTGGGTTGAAAAACAAAGGATCTCTCCACCTCTTTCATAACAAAGTACCACAATCGCTGTTGCCCACAGTCATATTCTATAACCCCAAAGGAGTCACTTACACTGGTATTTCTCTGCCCGTCTCCAAGCATTATCCTTCCAAACAAACGGAGAATATTTCTCGAAGTCTGGTGATGACGGGCTTGGTAAAGACTCAAGCAAATGCCAAAGCTTGCAGGTTTTAAGAAGCCTCCTTGCTGGGTCAATATCCAAGGCAAGAGCCACTCTGGACTTATGTTTCTCACGCTCCTCTGTCGACGCAACATGGGGCAGGAATTTGGCAGCAAACATCGGGGCAGTCGTTCCACTGGCAAATTGCCCACCCGAACCATTAGGAGTCGCCATGGACCGTCGACCTAGTGCAGCTGATGTTCCTCCCACGTTCCAAACAGCCCCATTGCTGACTTGTCGGGAAAAGTCCCTTGAACCATGGGCGAAATCGCTGCTCGGAACGGCCGGGTCGATGACGAGATGAGGGCCATAATGAGTACTGCATATACGATCAGATGGTATTCTTGGTGCGCTAATAGATCTTCCAGAACGTGTTGGCAGGAAAGGATCCTCTTTTGGTAAACGTTGTCGTAGAAGCCTCTCCTCCGAAGAAAGTTCTCGGGTACACTTCCCTACCCGGAAGGGTGTCGACGGGGTAATGTTATTCTCTCGTCTGGGAATGAACCTATCCGGCAGTACCGGACCTTTCCGGTCAATACCAAGCGTTTCAAGAGCGATAGTCTTCCTGATCCTATTGTGGCTTTTTCTGACTGGCCCTGGGAACTTGAGGCTCTGGTGTTTCTTCGTCGAAGTGTGAGTTACATCACTGCGAGATTCAAAACTTCTAGCTACCCTGCGCGGAGACTGGGAGCGCTCTTCAATAGACTTGCCCTTGCCCTTTGGCTCCCCTGCTGAAAGAGTGTTTAAGTTAAGTTTAGAATGAGTGATTGGCGCTAGTTGCGGTGGAGTGTGAGCATTAAGATATGTGGATGCCACAGCGTTGCGTTTCCGACCCGTTGAATCGAAGGGTCGAGGCTCTGGAAAAGCATCCTTCTCACCTGCTAAGATAGAGCTTCTCCTTGAGTGGGTCGTAGAGTGATTCATTGCTTTACTGGCACTCCGGACCCAGTCACAAATCGGTATCTCGTTGCTCAAATGTCCTTAATGTATGCCAGGATAAATGTGGGTGTGTTGTGGAAAGAAAGAATGAATGAATGAGGAGACTTTATCGAAGGGCTGCCATGCTGTACAAGTATAGCGATAGCCAATTGCATGACAGATGGATCACTAGAAAACAGATAACATGGGAATGTGTGATGGACAACCTCGAGAAGACTTGGAGAAGTATACAGGGCACGTGACTGGCTCTGGATCGGGAAGGTGGCAGCGGCTTCCCCATTCAGGCAACCGCATCGACTCCTTCAAGTATTCTTATCGATAAAGTGCGGCCTCCTCTCCTGACTTTGCCAGTTCCGCTCACTGTACATTGTCCACTGTCCTCCTCGTTACGCGCGCAATCTTAGAGAAGAAGCATTTTTCGGCATGGCAGCCGTAATGACACCTTTCCCTTAGGCACCACACACACCCTTCGCTAACCGCCGGGCAGCATGGGATTCCCCGCTACTCGCTCCAAGGCGAGCAGACCGAAGAAGGTCGGCAGAAAGAACTTCAGAAAATCGAGAAATATCGCCAGCTTGATCAATCGGTCCGCGAGAAGGTAGACCACATGCAAGAAACAAGCTATCGCCAGCGCTAGCTGATGGTGATTAACTAGATCGCGGAACAACAATATACGCCAGAGACTCTAGAGAAAATAGCCGAACTACTGACCAGCAACCCGGAGTACTATACCGTTTGGAATTATCGGCGCCAGGTGTTGCGCAATGAATTCTCACGAGCAGCTTCAGCTGGCTCAAACGAAGCAGCTGCTGAGCAGATTGCGACACTAATCAAGAATGACCTACTATTCACGGTTCCCCTCCTGCGTAGCTTTCCCAAATGCTACTGGATATGGAACTACCGTACTTGGCTGTTGGATGAAGCCAAGCGTCTGCTTCCAGTACCTGCTGCGCAAAAATTCTGGCAGGAAGAACTGGGACTGGTAGGGAAGATGCTTACCCTAGACAGCAGAAACTTCCACGGCTGGGGTTACAGACGCTTTGTCGTAGAGACGCTGCGAGAGCTCAAATCGGAGGAGCAGGAAGGGCAACAGATGACGCAGACAGAGTACGAATATGCAAAGAAGATGATTGGCGCTAACCTCTCCAACTTCTCGGCCTGGCATTATCGCACGAAACTCATTCAGCGCATGTTGAACGAGAAATCCGCTAGCGACGTGGAGCGAAAAGCGATGCTTGACAATGGTACGTCATCCCCTTTGTCATCTGCGTGGCCTGGAGACAGCGTACGAGTATGTGTGTTGACATATCATACTGGAAGAATTGGACTTGATCCATCGTGCCCTGTGTGACCCGTATGACCAGTCATTATGGTTCTATCATCAAAACCTAATGTGCGTCTTTGATCCATCCGTGGCGGACCAGACGCTGGCACCGCACTTGAGTGATGCCGAACGCCTCGATTACCTGCGACAGGAAATCGACGAGATTCAAGAGATGTTGGATGGAGCTGAGGATTGCAAGTATATTTACCAAGCATTGATCGATTGTACGATGTTGGCCTGGAAGGTGGAGGGAAATGCGCCCAGTGGAGAGACGAAAAAGAAGGTCCAGCATTGGCTGTCGGAATTGAAGAAGCTGGACCCGCTGCGACTCCAACGGTGGCTGGATTTGGAACACTCCCTCAGCCGCTGAGCCAGTCACCACCCCTTACCGATGCGATATGTATAGTAATCTATAGACGCCATCTGCGGGGGGAATAATTTTTTGCTTTGTTTAATGGAAGATTTTCCGATCTTCAACTTACTTTTCCTTGCTTTTTTCTCCCCCCTCTTGTGCGATGATCGGTGGTGGACATGGGACGGACAGGAAGATGATGGGCAGCAGCTGCAGCACTTGCTCCATAGTGGGACCAACCACCGCGATGGATTTTTGTTGGTGAGTTTCAGAATAACAAGTGTCCACGGGAATGCTGGCCTCCGCGGGCGGGAGAATCGCAATAATGCAGCCCCGGAGGCATTTAGTGGTTCACCTGGCAGGAACCCGCGCATCGCCTGTCGATAAATCCCGACCACAGAATTATTGTGAGTACAGACGTAGTGTAGAAGTAACCTGTCGAACCGCCGGCCAGCCCGCCTTTACTCTCTCCTAACCGAGCATGGCTGTGGAGATGTTTTCTTTGCATAAGGAACAGCCTCTCCTCTCTCTCTCTCTCTCCTTTCCCCCCCCCCCCCCCCCCTTCCCCCCAGCACTAGCACCAACACTGCTTGCTTGATACGTCCTTATTGCCGGCTGGCTAAGGGACTAAGTCGTATGTAGTCAGACTAGTGGTTGACTTAAGAAGCGCCTGCCAGTGGGATGTTTATTTAGTATCATTAGTAGTAGTTTAAGGGGGAAGGCAGCATCCGAATCACGGGGTCCAGAGAGTCTCGCCAAGCCCCATCTTCTTTGCCAGGGGATCTCCCGTGGACTACTTTACTTACTTTCATTCTTCCTCAGCAACGGTGATTTGACATTGTTCTTCTCTGCTTGACCTTCTTGTTCTGCCGACGGGAGCAAAAGAAGGAGGGAATCTTCATTGTCCACTCTCCATCCCTCCTGGATCCATTGCGGGCATCTTTCCCCCTGCCAGTCCCGTGGTACAAGTCCGGAATTCCACCCGCTGGTTCTGGGTCCATTCCATCCCATCATCCCATCTTATCCAACCTCTCCCCCTTCCCTCTCAATTTACAATTCGGCTACAGCCTGTGGCTTCCGCTCAACACACCCAGTTTTCTTCGTCATCCTCTGTCCTTATCATGGAATAATCGCTGTTTGGACTTCATCAAACACATCGAACTTCGTATCTGCCGCCTCGCTCGTGTTGATCGAAATTGGATTGAAGAAACCAGCTGGTTTCACCTAGTGGACACCCTCCCAGGTGGTCGGGTTCCAATATGTCTTCTAGGAACAGCGCAGAGTACGAGGGTGTAAGCTATTCTCACCAAAACCTGGCGATCACGAAGAAAGACTCATAATCTTATTCGCACCAGGATTCCTTTGACGATGCGCCCGAAGCCCCGAACTTGCACGGCAATCTGAACGTTTCCATTCCCCAAAGCTCCTCCACACGGTCTTTGACAGACAGCCCCCCGAGCGGATCGAATGTTGCTACGCCTCAATTGACGGAAGCTCCCCTGCTACCAACGACTTCTCACGAAGACCATGAAACGGCCGAGGATACAGATGATGCTAGCGTGGGGAAACAATCAGAAGGGGAGGATACTCCTCGCAAACAGAAACCGCAAAAATCTCCTCTCTTGACTGCGCACAGGCTATCAACAACGTCTCTCGACGACGTGAACCTTGCCGGTAGCAACAAAGACGATGAATCGACTGAAAACCAGCCGTTGAGCCAGGAGCTCAACTCCGGTACCCCTCCTCCGTTATCATCTAGAGATTCCACATCGTCCCACAGTTCGCGCCTGCAGGGATCATCCAATGCTTCTGCCGCGAAGAACCAAGCTCCTGTTGCTCCACCCCCTCCGCCAACTCGATCGTTTACCAGCCCCTTTGCATGGCTTTCTCGAAGTTCGTCGGGCGGAAAGGACGCCAAGTCGCCTCCGGCACAACCACGTCGGAATACGGCTGCATCCATATCAACTATCGCGAGCAATCCGGAAATGGGTCGTCACCACGATGGGGAGGATGTGGATGGTCTAGGCCATAGAAAGCCGAGGCGCAGCAGCCTCAAGGACCAGTTTAAACAGCTCAGGTTGCGAGAGGAAGGACTCGTGTCCGAGAATGACGAGGCCAGCGTTGCGTCGGGACGTGCAAGTTTTACTGCCGGAAGTCCTCCGCCCAGCATACCGGAAGAAGGGGAGAATGGTATTGCGGCCGCCCCTCGGGCGACGTCGCCGCCTAATGGGGCATCAACGGTCAACCCTAAGCTTGCCCCCGGAACTGTTGCGGGTTTTTCGACCTCCGCGACCGACGCGTCTGCGCCGGTAGACTGGGAGCTCTGGCAGCAACTGGTCAACAATGGTGCGCAAGCGTTGAAGGGGGCAAATTCGGATGAACTGAATGCTGCTATCAAACGGGGAATTCCACAAACTATTCGTGGAGTGATTTGGCAGGTTCTGGCCGACAGCAGAAATCCAGAGCTTGAAGAAGTATACCGGGAGCTCGTTGCCCGTGGCACAGACAAGGAGAAGCAGAGCAGCCCCAATGGTACCATCAACGGAGAGAAGGACTCAACCGCTTCTTCATCCCGCTCGTCCGTCCGATCGGAGCGTTCTGCGTCGGTGGCCCACTCCGTCAATGGCTCAAGTCCTTCCCAGGAATTGGATGCTGAGAAGCTGTCCAAAGAGCAGGCCGCAAACGAAACGGCTCGAAAAAAGAAGGCCAAAGAGGAAGCGGCCGCACTTTTGAAGCTAGAGAAGACTATTCGTCGTGACCTTGGTGCTCGCACGAGCTACTCACGCTACTTCGTGTCGCAAGGAAACCAGGAGGGATTGTTTGGGCTCTGTAAGGCATACGCCTTGTACGATGAGGCCGTGGGATATGCCCAGGGAATGAACTTCATTGTGATGCCATTGCTATTCAACGTGAGCAGCCGCTACCTGTCTACTACAACATGAAGAACATGATTGCTGATGCTAATATCTCACTAGATGGACGAGGCTGAAGCATTCACGCTCCTTGTGAAGCTCATGAATCAGTACGGACTGCGGGAGCTGTTCATCCATGACATGCCAGGTCTCCACCGCAGCTTATATCTGTTCGAACGCCTGCTGGAGGACGTGGAGCCGGCTCTCTATTGTCACCTCCGGCGGCGGGGCGTACCCCCTCAGTTGTATGCCACACAATGGTTCCTGACCCTTTTCGCCTACCGATTCCCTCTCCAGCTGGTTCTTCGCGTCTACGATCTCATCTTCGAAGAAGGTCTTGAGAATACCATCTTGAAGTTTGCCCTGGCTATCATGCGCCGGAATGCAGACACGCTGTTGGGCATGAAAGACATGGCACCGTTAACAACCTTTTTGAAGGAGCGCCTCTTCGACGTTTACATTGATAAGCAGCCCTCGGCATCATCTATCTTGGAGTCTGGTTTCTTTGGAAGCTCTGGGGCTGCGGACAAGGAAGTCTACCGCGCCGACATCATGGTCCAGGACGCTTGCGCCATCCCTCTCGAGCCTGAGACGATCCGCGCGTACACGGCGGAATGGGAGGAGATGGTACGGACCGAGAAGGAGCGTGAGCAGGAGCTAGACAACCTTCGGCACACCGTTGCAACTCAGAGTGCACGGATCCGTCTACTGGAGGAGCAGGCCGAAGCATCGGACAAGGAGCACGTGCAGCTCGCGTCCGAACTGGTGCATCTCAAGGTGGAGAATGAAGAATTGACGGACATGAACGATGCGATGAAGATGCAGGTCACCGAGCTGAAGAACGTTGTGGATAAACAACCGGCCGAAGTCGAGGAGAAGCTGCGGACTGAGATGGACCGCATCATGAAGCGCAATATGGAAGTCCAGAACGAGAACCGGTCGATGGTCGAACAGATGGCTGAGATGGAGAAGGAGCTGGTCGAGGCTAAGATGAAATGGGCTGAGGTAAGTCGCCATTGATACGCGATTGAGTGATTGACATCTAACTAAATTGCACCAGATTCACGACGAACACGAAAACCTGAAACAGAAATGGAGCGATCTTCGCAAGGCTCTCAACTGAGCCGTGGGATGTAGATATATTCTAACCTGACTTTAGCGGGTGTTGCCTGGCTTCGCTGCTTTGCTTTTCTTCGCCCAGTTCCCAGCCATGATTAACTGCATCTCTGTTAGTATCTGTACATTTAAGCGGTTGGCACGAGTGGGAGAAAGCCTTGTTGGGTAATTACATGTTCAAGTTCAAGGCAACCATGGGCGAATGACTATCTTTGTTAATTGTATCAATGTTGTTCTCTCTTATGTTATCGGCAGCAGCAACACCAACATGGCACTCATGACACATACCGAACTGGTCCCTTTCCCCCTTGTGACATGATGATATTATTGTTTTATGTGCCGAACAGACTTAAATGTGAAGTAGTAGCATGAACCAATAGATGTATACCACAAATGAAAAAAACCATCACAGGACAGTATTAACTCTCCATCTATAACAAACATAATATCTCATAAATTGAAAATGGAAGAAGAGAAGTATTTACAACACACTTTCGAAAAACGTCGTCAACTTATCCGTCCTAACGGGCCCAACGACCGCCTTCAACGCCTTATGCGCCTCACACTGCTCATCATAGTAGACCATATCCTCCAGGGACGCGAACGTCGTCTTCACAGACAGATTCCAGCCCTGGTTACGCTCATCGGGGATGGAGGCTCCCGCGGCGGAGCTGAGAATGTAGGGCTTTCCGTCCTGTATAGCAGCCCTTACTCGTTAGCAGATGTACGTAGTATGTATATATATATATATAAATAGGAACAAAGTAAAAGGGAGAAAAAGGATGAGGTATACCTTAACAGCCGTCTTAGCCAAAACCTTATACTGCTCTAGGACGCGATCGCGGTCCGCGTCATTGGGGATCTTGAAGAGGGTGATGCGTTCGATGGGAGCCATTTTGCGGGAGAAGGTGGCGAAGGTTCTTCGGAGGAGCACTGAAATTTTTTTGATTAAAATCAATGAATATTGAATGATATGAGGGAGGTTTGGTTTGACTGGTGTGGGAGGGAGAGGGAGGGAGGGGTATTTATACTGGTTGATGGGATGGATATATCCGATGATGGGGGGGTATTGCGGGGTAATATGGGTAATACTAGTATTACGCGCCGTGGCCTCTCTCAGTAGTAGATTCGTAGAGAATAGGAACTGGTTGGTATTGCTGGAAAACAAGGGAATTGGATTGATGGGTGTGCGTGTATGGATCTTCGTGTCGGCTTCCGACGGATGTTCGGATGGGTAGTTCCCTCGGATCTAAGTTATCTATGGGGATCGGCTTTGTGCGAGATTTACACGGATTTGTTCAGGGGCATCGAATGCTGTGAAGTGTTGATTGAATTGATTGAGTATTCTCTACATGAGGAACTGCATGAATGTTCAACTGCAGTGTAACTGACAGGAGGCGTGCATGCAGGATGTTTTGCATACGAGAGACGGAATGAATGGGGTGGCGGAATCTTTTCCTCGCGCCAATTCCGCCCGGGTATGTCTTTTCTCGGGTCTGTGGGATGGCGGAATATCCCCAGACTAGCCACCACTTCTCCTACTTTAGACTTGTGGACGATCAATTTAGCTGGAGTGATTGTTTGTGATCAGATGCTCGAAAATATTGCTATTTGGTTCGTTGCACACATAGTTGTTGTGTGAATTACATAGAATTAAATAGCTTGGGGTGAATTCACTACCTGTTGCTCATGTCCCTTGTCGTCCAAGTTGCCGTAATATTGAGCCTCTGCATCGGACTCTATTTTATACAGCTCATGCCCGTCATTAGAAAGCTGTCGCCGCAAATTGTTGCAGCAAGCGTTCGCTGCGTGCAGGAAGGCCATGCTAGGTGCACGCCGTCGGGTGACGGCCGAGATAACATCGTGGGCCCGGGTACCCGCACCGTTTAGGAGTTGACTAGTTCATCAGAATCGTGATCTCCATCCTTGTGTGGAAGGATCCTGCAGAATGGACAGAAAGAGACCGCAAAAGACACTGCCTCAGAACCAGTATCGAGGCCCCGGTAGGCGAATGTATCATACCCCGAGGGTGCCAGAGGCATTAGTTGGCCTTCTGCCAGACATTCCCAGCGCATCGAGTGATATGAACACGTCAAGAACAGGCTTGCGAGGACTAATGCAAATCCTTTCCTCAGGAGAACCGCGAATCCGATTGGAGATCAGATTCCATCAACGCAAATAGAGATATATGGATGATGACGGAAATCAGCAGTAGCCGGAATGTTCTGCTCGACACCCTCATCGACTTGTATGCGAGACCGACTCGATTTCCGCCACCAAAACAACTGGGCATAAAGTCCAGCGATCGATAAGTATATGACTCGGAATTGTCCGTTCGGCGCTAAACGCTCGACAGAATCATGGATTATGATCGAATTAGAACAGAATCCCGAGTTCCAACTGACGAGAATGATCTGTCTCCATACGCTGCGTTCAAAGCGTCCATAGCCAGCCTGCGCAATGCGAGACCTCCAAACCGCCGATTCACCAGGCTCCGCTCCGTAGGATTTTCCTTCAGATATCATTGACAGGCTCCGGCCTACTCTTAAAGTAGATCTTGTACTTCACGATCTCGACAATCTCCAACTCTTCTCTGTCGTCAGCCGTCGCACCCGGTTCCTTCTGCCTCCGCTGCACCACTGCAAGTGGCTGTGGTAGCTTTTTGACCTCCCCTGTCATTCGCTGATACCGTCCAACGTATAGATAGACCCTCTTCATCCATTTCGTATCGTCTGGTGCCGTGACCTGCGGAGAATAGTCGGGGAACATGAGCTTGCCGATTGGGGTTTCGAACACGGGGGCAGCATTGGGATTGCTGGGGCCATCAGGTGATGACCTTGACGACTCATTGTTTTCAACGTTGTCTTGCGGTGGAAGGTTGATGGTGCCTTGGAGCTCGAGAAGCGCGAGACCGGAGGGTGTTCGCAGAAGCTGAGGGAGGGGATTGTTGACGCGTGCGGAGGGATTAGACGCGCGAGGGTAGAGGGGTATTGATGGCATTTTGAAATATTTGTCGTCAAGAATGTACTCTTAAATAGAGTGTTACCTGGGCTCGTGCTTTTGATGTAAGGAAAGTGTATGAAGTAGGAAATCGAGGGCGTGGCAATTGGTCTTGGAATTGGAGGTCGCGAAAAGAGAGATTAAGATTAGCGCGTCACGCCAATTCCGTATCTTATCGGTATTTCCTTTTTGGGATGTAGTGTCACGAAGGCGGCTCTCGAAGTTGCAAACTTATAGAGTCAATCTGAAAGACGCCAAGGTAGTCTTCAAGCTACATTCTACAGATGTTATGTCCTCTGAAGCTGGGAAGCAGAAGTGACAGATCGTCAATTTGATATCTGAATAGGGTATCGTCCTGCATCAGAGTCTTCGATTTTCATCCAAGTCAATGGGCAGCAGCGTAATACCAGTCTTTCATAATCACCAATAGAACTTTCGTCCTGTTCAAATAATGCAATGAGGGAAGCCATACTGGGTTGGCTTGTTCTGCCCTTTGAAGCTAAGTGTTGTCCTGTCCAGATCTTCACCCCCACAAACATGTGGTTTCGGTTGGTCAGGCTCCAAATGAACGGTCAATGGTTGCCAATACTCTAGGGAGTCTAGTCCGCAAGGATGCCGAGGCCCTGCTGAGAGTACATTGGTCTCACACAATGTATAGACCCGCGCTGTAGTGTTGGTTTGCGGCATCTGGCCAATGCAACTCGAGCAGGCAGGCAGGTTATGTTATTCGTGCCTGACAAGTAGGCAGGTGGAGGGGTGAGAAAATAAACCTCGATAAACGTAATGCGTCTGCCATATAGAGCTCAGCTTTTACGGTAGCACGCATTTTCCAGATGACCCAAGCCTCGGATGGCTTCATTCACCATGTCTTCGCCGCTTGTGCCGGCGGGGCCCTGCATTTTGCCGTAGCGCAAGTCGCTCATTTCTCCGACCGTGTTGTTGAGCATAGCCAATATCGCTGTTGCTTCCTCATCAGTCTCAGAAACCTGGCGGTCAATGTCTGATATGGCCTGCTCCATGGCATCCAGGAGACTGGAAGGTGAATGATAGTCGGAAGACGATGTTTGTCCGAACAACTGGACATCCATATCCATCTCACGCTGATCGCTAGAGCTGAGTCCGTCAACACCTGTCTTGGCGACGGACTTCCGGAGCTCTGCCTTTTGGGTCTCCCCTTGGCGAACCTCCTTGTCAATGTTACCGTTAACAAGGTCCATGTCATTTTCCCGGAGCTCTTGCAGTTCGCGATAGAGCGCTCTAATATGCGGGTGAGACCGCAAACGCTTTGGAAAGAGCTCCGTAAACTGCTGTAACGACATGATTGTCGGCAAAGGAGCCGGTGAGAGCAGAAAATTGCCCAGAATTGAAGATTCCGTAGGCGCCATAGTGATTGAATAGTAGAGTGGCGAAGTCAACAAACGAGCAAAATAAGGCTAACACCCAATGTAGCTGAATTGCCCTTCGAAGGCTTTCTTCAGTACACCTTTTGAGGCGATATTGCCTTTTCGCTGCTGTGTTACTCTCAATCGGAGTGTATCGCGTCTTTTGCGCCGATCAAGTTACCAGAACACCAAGGTGGCTGGATTTAAATAATGATGAAATAACAGCCCTCAGCTTACTGAAGTAAACGACCGTAGCCGGGGTGTAAGCGAGATAAATTGATGATGAGTTGCTGGTGTTGATAGAAGAGAGAAACAGGAGGATGAGATGGCGGCGGGCAAAGCAATTAAAACTAGCCGGGAAAGTTCGTGACTTGCCCTTTTGGACGCGTTCCTCATCCAGTCGTTCCGCTTCCTCTTCTTGTCCCAACCGCGACATGCTTTGAACCCTCACCACTTCTGCAACCCCGTTCTCCCTTCTATTTGGCATTGGATTGGAGTGTTCCGTCTTGTTCAGGCCATATTCCCGAAACAAATCAGGGAATAATCAGCCATTCACTGTGAGACTGCCGGCTCCTGTCCTATATTGGAGTTTCTGACACTGATTGGAGCCAATCAACTATCTTCCAAACCAGCCAGAATCATTATAAGCTGGCTATCTGCAAGGCCTAGTGAAGGCTTACATCTGCCACATCACTTGTCTGCTTGTGTGCGCATATTTGCTATTTTATTCGCCTGCTTCAGTCCCTGATCACCTCAGTGCACGTGCTTTGCAGAGGCAAATTTGACTTGACGGGACTTGAAATACCTGTCTCACCAGGCTACTCTGTGTCTTTGCTTGATTCTTCTCGCGCCCAGACTGGTGAAACCTGTGACTGGTGATTTGATTTGCTTTAACAGCATCCTACCCCTCAGTGACAGCAGACACCCCTTGATCTGTCTACGCACCACTTCATCTCAAAATGGCTCCAACAAGCCAAATGACCTACCAGAAGGATGAAAGGGTTCTCTGTTTCCACCATGAGATCCTGTACGAGGCCAAGATCCTTGACCTGAGGCATACGGACCCAGAGGACCGTAAGAGTCCCTACGAGTACTTAGTCCACTACAAGGGCTGGAAGAATACGTACGTCTAACCTAGTGCAACCCTCCCATCATCCTACCACAATTCTCTACCTTCTGACTTGGGATGGGATCGTAATTCTACTCTAACTGGCAGAAGGATGTGGTTCGCGCATCCTCTCCTTCTGCCGGTGAAGCCACCATCACAGCGGAACGGAGAGGTGTCCTTGTCTGAGCCACATTTGCTGACGCTTGCTTTGTCTATTCAGCTGGGATGACTGGGTTCCCCAAGACCGCCTTCGTAAATTTACGGAGGAGAATAGAGAATTAGCCACCACTCTTCGTCGTGAGGCAGAGGCTGCATTCCGTCAGAAGAGCACCAAAGCCTCTGTCAAGAAGAGGGGAGGCTCCGACCGCAGTTCCGCCCGAGGCAGCGAGGAAAGGCAAACCTCAGTGCCTGGCCGCGGAACCAAGAGGGCCCGTGACAACGATATCGAAAAGGTAAGTCTGCTGCATTTTTGCTTTCAATATTCCCTGTAGCCTGTCACACCGCCAGTGACGGTGCGCACAAGGGGCAGTATTGTTGATCACACATATTAACCGTGTCATCACAGGAGGAGAGCTTTTATGTGCGGCCTTCAGTAAGGATCGTAATGCCAGACAATTTGAAGTCTCTCCTAGTAGACGATTGGGAAAACGTCACTAAGAACCAGCAAGTCGTGGCCTTGCCTGCCAAGTCCCCGGTCAATCAGATTCTGGACGACTACGTCAATGAGGAGAAGCCCAAACGCACAAGCTCGGCTGATACGGATGTCCTTGAAGAAGTCGTTATGGGTGTACGCGAATACTTCGACAAAGCACTTGACAAGGTCCTCTTATACCGGTTTGAACGCGAACAGTACCGGGCTCTCCGCAAAAAGTGGGAGGCAGGTTCGGGTGACTACGCCGACAAGGGACCACTTGACATCTACGGTGCAGAGCATCTGACTCGCCTTTTCGGTAGGTTTCTTTGTTTCAAACTACTACATACGTCGCTAACGGATACTTCATAGCAACCATGCCCGAGCTGATTGCACAGACAAATATGGACCTCCAGTCGACGAATAGACTCCGGGAAGAACTGTCCAAGTTCACCATCTGGCTGAGCAAAAACTCTAGCAGATACTTCGCTACGAGATACATGACTGCGAGCAATGAATACATTGAAAAGTCGCGCGGCGTTCCAAACCCGACTCCTGGGACCGCGACATCGCGTTTAGTCTAGGCGTTTACCATTGATTTACTTATGCGTGTTTTTCCTTTTCCCCTTTATTCCAAGCATATTTATTTTCTTATTTTAATTCGATTGCGTTCGACTGACTTGGGCTGCGACAAATGGTTAGCAAAGACTGAGGCTGCTTTTATGTATGTTACGGCGATGATACTTTTCCTGTACCATTAGGATAGAATTGGACTCACTCAGCTAGCGGAACTGAAATTTCAATCACTTTTTCAAGATTCAACGCAGGAAGCACTGATCAAACGGCCCATCAGAGGTATAACAAAGCTGAGAACCAAGCAACAAAAACTGGATTTTACCATCACCTAGTATCTAATCCGCTACCCCAAATAGCTGACATGAAACACGGCCAAACAATCGCAAACAAAAAGAAACAACAGCAGCAACTTGACAACAAGCAACCTAGACAACCAACCCCCTCGCATCATCAACCGCACACCTCGCCGCCCTCTTCAACTCCGTCTTCCAATCCGCCTCACGATACCTCGTCCATGCCCCCAACCCCTCCGGCGGCTGAATACTCAACGTCTCATACCCTTGCTTGATAATCCGGTGCACCTCCCTAGGACTCAAATTCTTCTTCAAGTTCGCCGGCACAGGCGCCGCCTCGCCACTCTTCCCCGCCGCCTCGGCATTCTGACCCGGATCCACGAACAACAACGTATAGAAGTGCGTAGAGACGGAAATCAGCGTATCGATGGCAGCTACGTGGACTTCTTTGTTACTATCTGCACCAGCACCTGCAGATGCGGATGCCTTGAAGTTGTAGACGTCGCGGAAACGCGTGATGATGGGGCCGGTTTCGACGAGCTTGTAGAAGAGGTCATCGTAGGAGAGGGGGTCCGGGAGGAAGGTGTCGCCGGAGGAGACGCAGAAGGCAATTAGGTTGATGAGGGTGGTGGTTAGGGTTGTAATGTGTGGGTTGCTGGTTAGGTCCGGGGCGTAGGTGGTTAGGAAGCGCGTGAGGGAGAGAAGGGTACGCCAGAGTTCGGACCAGTGGTAAGTGAGTCGGATTTTGTTCATGGAGAGGTAGGTCAGGAGGCGGAGGAAGATGGATATGCAGTGGCTTTAATCGGTTAGTTTTCTTTTCTTGTTCAGGAGGGGCAGAAGGGAGAGGGCTACCTGTAGAGGTTAACGTCGAGTCGGCGTCGGAGGTTGTGGGTTAGGGTGTCGATAAGGATGTCAAAGATGGCGGTTACTAAGACTCGATCTCCGTTGACGAGGGGTAGGTATGGTTGCCTTTGACGGCAGAGGCGCACTCTGCGCTTGCTTTCTTCGCTGCAGAGTTGCTTGCATAGCGTGCTGTCTTCCGAGAGGATGCGCAGGGTGAGAAGGTTCAGCTCGGCGTAGTGGGCGACTCTTGGGGACCGGTAGGCATGCTGTAGGAGGTATGAGGTTAGGGAGAGGAAGGAGGCGAATGGCGTCTCCTCGTTGTCCTTTTCTGGAGCCGCATTGATGAGATGGTAGCCGAAGAGCTTGTTGGCGTTGATGAAGTCGTAGGTGGCGAGGAGGATGGCTGCTTGTTGGGCCGGTCTGATAGTGTTAGGGGGGATTTGGCACCTGTGGAACCTAGGACAGACTTACAGTGCTGCAAACAGATCTTTGGCCTCTTCCGCCGTTGGTGTGCCGGCTTTGTCTTTTTTGCCCGGGGCAAGTACACCCAATCCGAAATACATCAAGGTACTAATGAGAGACCAGCCCTCCGGAGAGTCGTCTTGCACTGCAACATAGCCGTTTCGCAGAGCGCCACAGGAGAGACCGACTCCCTTGGCAATCTTCTGGATACTGGCCTCGTTGACAAAGTCATCGAGTCGCAGCTGGTAGGGGTTTTGGAATTCGAACTTGTTGTAGTTTGCCAGCAAACCCAGAAGCACGAATGGCTCGAACATTTGCATTGGGGTCTCTGTTTCTTGGACGAACTTGTTTAAAAGGTTAGCTTGGATTTAGCTTGGATAGGGAAAACTGGGAAGAGACAAACCTTCATGAGAGATGGAAACAGGTCCCGGTGTGTAAAGTAAGAGACCAGACTGGTCTTGTACGCCCCGCTAGTCATGGCGATGGCGGCTTTTATGGCCTTGAGCCGGATATCAACTGGCATTGGTTAATACATGTTTGGGTGATGCTTTCTATTAGAGCAAACATACAGCTGCTGCCATTGCGGATGATGCCATCCAGGACAGTGACAAAGTTCGAAATCACATGGTCCACATGATCGAGACCCGCAAGAACAGTGATGACATCCGAGCTGGGGTTGGTGTACTTTTTCTTCAGGACACATGCTAAGAAGATCGTCAAGGTCTAGATCATAGTCAGAAAGTGAATGACGGTTGTCGGGCCAGTGCACATACCTCTAAAGCATAGGAATCCACCGGACTGGAGGCGGAGGCAGCTTCGCGAATTGCGCGAGCAAACAGTTGCTGTGTTTGAATCTGATACGGAGTTAGCAAAGACTACTTTGATGATAGACCAAGTATACTGATGACGCACCTGTAAATTGAGGGTCTCGTCAGGACTAAGCTGGTTCAAGACCGTAGTGAGCCGAGTACGATCCGGAGGCAACAAGAAAAACTCTCGCCAAAATCCCTCCGATGGCTCTGCATAGTCGGTGGTCTAAGAAACTGTGTCAGATGGAGTGCACTGTGTAGACGCAGCGGGGACTAAAAGACATACTTGGAATAGATTCTCGTATAGTTGCACGATCTTAGGCTTGAAGGTTTCGGGTCTACTTTGTTGGGTTAAGGGGGATTCCATTGCGTTAGGTGAGATAAGTGGCGGTCAGCATAGAACATGGGACCGCTGCCAGCATCACAGATGGGAAGTCAAAGAGCCAATATGAGATTCGATAACTATCCGATGAGGGAGGGACATGAAGTGGACATGAAACGTAGTCGCCAGCTTATTCGAGCACCACTTCCATTTCTCTTTTTCTGCCTATTCGGGCCAGCCCACACCAGCCACGCAACACCCCTGCTCCCCCACCAGCCACGGTCCATGTATGAAGGCGCCACGGTTTCGCTTTGGATTGCTTGAAAGCAGGGGAGGCCGAGACCTCCTGCTCTCTTCTAGCATTATTTGAAATATTCCAACATTCTGCCCCTTAACTTTCTTGTAGTTGCAGTGTTTCCTTCCAGGAATGACAACACGTGCCTCTGCTCGTGCCGACCATAGGATGACATAATCAGGGGCATGTGAAACTAGTTGAATCAATTATCAGTGGCAATAAATTGATGCATGACCTGGTATCGATAGACTGTCAACGAGTATATAGAATGCGCCCATACAAAGAGTAAGAATAGATCATGCGCTTAATCACTTTCCCATAGTCACACATAGACAAGGATCAGCGACTCTCCCCTGCAGCTCCCCGGGTCCTTCATTATTGTTCTTGTCCCCTAACTAATCCGTCGAACAAAGCAGAAACCCATTAGTCATGGCTTACGGCCTGAGGTAGTTACTCATTGTGGTGACTGGTTACTCAGGCAGCCGTGTTAGTAAGACGGTGAAGAGCACGTCCGGCCAATGACAGAAGCGGAGTAGCAATCGCAGGGCCAGCTCAGCATTGAACAAAGTCAAAGAAATGAAAGGAAACGGGACTGCTGCATGATCACTGGGTCACAGAGGGGCCATTTAGATTGCAACGGACAGTTCCCCAACAACCCCGGCCTCGATCAGGCGTTCATTCGAGGCCACAGCAGTGGCGCCACCGTCGCTGTGTAGAAACACCTCAACGCTGATTGGCCCGCCGGGTCCTGGCCCTGGCACCTTTTAACCGACCGCCGGCAGTCTTTCCGCCTCCCAAACAGACTCAACTTCCGACTCTCCATCAACCTTCCACTTTTCCATCATATTCCTTTTCGTTCAGCGACGACACAACCATTAGATCCATGACCTTTCAGCTCCTCGTTACTCCTACTGCAGTATAGAGCATCCTCTTCATCAAACACATCACATTCTCCCAACATGTCGCTTTGCAAAGCTACCATGCCCTCGCCGGTGACATCATCCGCCACGATCCTCACCTGGCTCAGACAGTCCTCCTCCAGACGCTCGACGCAGACTTGCCGTCTATTCTCCTCATACGGCAATGCTCACCGGTCTTCGAAGCGTGAATTGCAAACTGCCACTGCCTACCGTCCTCACTCGCTGCCCACCTCCTTCCCGCCGCCCCGGAACACGGGCAACCCTGACACTTCCATCGCTGCCGACTTCCCTTCTTTCCGTGAAATTTCTCAGCCCCAGATGCCCGGCCAGCAAGGCCTGTCCGACCTAAGCCTCCGGGAAAGCGAGGCCCAGAAGTCCAAGCCCGTGCCTGCTCCTGCTCCCGCCGAGAAGACCGCCGCCAAGCCCACTGAGAAGCCTCGGCGCAAGCTGCGTGCCAGGAAGGCCGCGATGAAGCTGACCCCCGTGGCAATTGAGCAGCTTCGCAAACTCCTCACACAGCCGAACCCCAAGCTGATTCGAGTCGGTGTGAAGAACCGTGGCTGCTCCGGTCTCGCGTACCACCTGGAGTACGTGGAGAAGCCGGGCACTTTCGACGAAGTGGTGGAGCAGGACGGTGTCAAAGTTCTCATCGACAGCAAGGCATTGTTCAGTATCATCGGTAGCGAGATGGACTGGCAGGAGGACAAGCTGAGCAGGAGATTCGTTTTCCGCAACCCGAATATTAGTAAGCTTCCCTTTGTCCGCGGGAAACCCCAGAAACAGTCGCTAACGTAATACTTGTGCAGAGGAACAATGTGGATGCGGTGAATCCTTCATGGTCTGATTTATGAAACTGAAATTGGGACCTTTTTCTATTTCGAGTTCATAATCATGCGGATTCATGGGTTTTCTCGCGTTTGTGCATTGGCCGGCGTTTACTGGTGGCAGGTTTGGCGGGTTCGGATAATTCCTTCTTTTATTGCTTGATTGCTGGACATACATCATTGATTCCCGGGCAAAGAGCCCACTACTGTGCAATATATTTACTTTGTCATATGATTTGATGCACTGAAGCAGAAGCATCGAAGCAGACAGCATATGTTGAAGATCGGCGACACAAGCCGTGATTCAATATCTATCACCTAACATCATCATTGCTGATCCCGATGTTTCCAGCTCTTGGAGCAGTTTCATACAACGTGAAACCACCCCGGGCTTGCATGAGCAGTATGTAGGATGATCATGAAATACAACGACAAACTTAATGACCATATAATCCCCACAATGAACCTCGTAGGATCCTAATAAACTTGTAATCAAGCGCTAGGACTATGGAGCTTACATGCAGCAATAGCGTTTCGGCTCCCTCGGGACTTTAATTAGAGCCGAGCTCTAAATTAGATGTCGGATGGCATGTCCGATCCCTGCAATACCCCGGCTTTTCTCTGCACCTCATCCGATAGTATATGAACAGTGCTCATCTGGCAGTACCACCCATGCCCAGAATATCATAGATCTATCATGTCAGACGACGTCAATGCATCATCGTCAACATCTACCCAGTACTACATGGGTTGCCAGCTTCCGTTATGACTATACTATCCCTCACACCCCCCTTGAACTGCACTGATTACGCTGACCATCTCCATTTCCTAGTAGATATACATCTACACCTTGATCTGTCTCCAAACAGCAACACCATACCACAACGCATTGATTGATCAATCCTTGTCATATTCAAGTCAAAACCCACCCCTCCAAAAAGACCATCACTGCACCACCCTCTCCCAAACCCCCTCAATATCCTCATCGGGACTAATATTATCCACAATCCCCAACGCCGTCGTCGGCTTCTTATACCCCAACAACGCCAACATCTTGGGACTCATCTTGGTCACCACACTCCTCGGAATAGCCAAGAACTGATTCTCCTCCGTCCGCAAATGTCCCCTACAGAAGAACAACCCGTACATATTCCTCACCGTCCCAGGGAGCGAGTTATGTCCTCCCCCATGGTACGCCGAGGCAAGGAATATCAATGCCGAGCCGGCTTTCATCTCTGGCCATACCCACCAGCATCAGAATTAGCCAAAATCGAACCGAAGACCAATCAATGACAGCTCTACAAGAGAAGGATGATAAACTGAAAGGGGTAATAGACATACCAGCAAAACACACCTCCCCCTTCTCATGATCAACCTCCGCCCACCTCTCATCCCCCCACCGATGACTCCCCTTAACAAACATCGTGGCCCCCATCTCCCTACTAACATCACACCCGGCAATCAAACACCCAAACTGACTTACTTCCCCCCACCCCCACTCCCACTCACGATACTCATGCCGCACATGATGCACATTATCGTCCCGATGGAGAAGCTGTCGAGGCGCCCCGTACCCGATATTCATCGCCACGCTGAGGCTGAGTAGCGGGTCGAGGCGGTTCGGCTCGACGCTCTCTTCGCGGTTGATGCACCATTCGTCGACGAGGATGCGCGTGCGCAGGGCCTCGAGGGTGGGATGGTCGGTGCAGATCCGTGCTATGGTGGGGGATTTGCCTACTAGGCCCGGGATGAGGGTTGTTTGAGAGGGGATGGTGGTGAAGGCGCCGTTGGTTGCTGAGGTCGAGGCTGGTTTATGGGCGCTTGTCCATGGGGTGAGTTCGGTGTCGATGGAAGTGAGGTCTTCTTTGGGGATAAAGTCGGAGATGATGACGCCGCCGTCGCGCGAGAGGATGGCGAGGATGTATTCAATGGGGGTGGTGGAGGGGATGGTGCGGAGGGTGGATCTGGGGATGTAGGACTGGGGGATAGGGGCTGGGATGGGGAGGGGGAGGCGGGTCATTTTGGTGGTGGTTGTTGCTACTTTGTAGTAGTATGGATGGTTTGGTCTGGTATGATGATGATGTTAGTAGTAGTGTCTGTATCCCAGCTGAAGTTGGTTAGGCGTTGATGATCCATATCTGGAGGGCCGTGATATAGTTCCCCTCTCGGGTCGGGTCGGCTTCGTTGCGGAGATCGGGTGGCCTATCCGATGATAGGGCATGCATGTGTGAATATAGGATAGATTTTGTGGCTGGATTTACTGCACTGCTTTGTAGATATCATATGATGCGCTGATGTCTGTTCCTGTAGTACCATCCCTCCGGGTGTAGCTCGGAGGCATGGCTATCATTCTTCAGTAGGTATGTATTGAGAGTAGTATGGTAACTATATGGAGCTTGTATATTCAGTTGCAGCGCATGATGCTTTGCTACTCCTCACAACGCTATCAACAGCGCCCTATATGCAGGTATAAGCTCCACTCACGCTTGGAGCTCTATATACGCAACTCATTGCCACGCATCACAACTCCTCCCTTTCCTGAGCTAGCCAGAAAGACGGGCTAGCAGTATAATCAATCTGATCCACGATAGCCGCTATATCGTATGACGTTAATCCCAGCTCAGGCAGCTCATCCTCTGCAACATTGATGTCCCCAGTAATGCATGGTAATTGGGCGTCGTCACTTGATCTATGATTCTGCCCATGTGCATCACCACTTGACTCTGGAACTAAATCGGTACTGATGTGGTTCGCTGCGTGCGTATACCGCTCTTTTAGTCCCTCGAACAAGCTTTCAAGACGAGTCAGGTCGGCTTTGCGAATTTCTGCTACGCGGTTCCCCTTGCTAATTATTTCATCGAGGATCAGATGTGCTTGTTGGTTGGAGCTGCGCTGTCCGACTAATTCAGGTACAAGGGCACCGGCCATTGTGAGGTGGATAGCGGCGCCGTAGGTAAATTCGAGGTCGAAGGGTAAGAAAGATTCTGCGGTGCGGTTAGTAGCTGGTAAATTTTCTTTGTGGAACCTTGCTCACCAAGGAGGCCTTCATCTACTAGAGCTTTAAGTAACTGAAGGCTTTTGGTCGCTGAGTTGATCCCCGTTGACATCAGTGTTTCCATGAGAGGGACGATCCGTCGACAGCATTCTAAAGGGAGGCCGAGTTTGTCCAGACGCTCTCGTAGAATGGCTAGGAGGAGGGGTCGTGTGGCAACGATGACACACTAGTAGTAAAGATTAGTTCAGATTTCTGTTTGCTAGAAGGCCGACCTACCTCGTGATACAATAGGAGGATATGGCGCATCCCCTTTGACATGGAGTTAACCGGGCCCGCGAACTTGGTATTGATAAAGTCTTCCAACTCCTTAGCTAGATCTGCCATAGTATTTAAAATAGTTTTGGTTTTCTCAATGAATGATTCGATGGGCCGCCTCTCAGTCCTGTATACGGCTATCTTCGTGAGCCGATGTCCTCTCGAACTGGTGATTTCAAAACCTACTGCCAAGGATTGTGGACAATAACCGCGATAACCTCACTCTCAGGCTTAGCATGGCGTTCCTCTGACATGATTGTGTTGGTGAATCGATCAGTGCCGTGACATCGCTATCATGCACAATCATCGGTATTCCCAGTGATGACGAAAAATGGCGGTCCATAATGTACAGTGTCCACCAAAGATTACGGCAGCGATCAACAGCTGCTGCCCCTAGCTCTTCCTCCGGGAGCTCCGTGTGTAGGCCTTCTAGTTGCGCAATGCGGATGGCCTGACTAGCCTAGTTCTTGTTAGACTTTGGTGACTCGCGCATTTCTAGAAGCCCGGCATTATCTCTTACAAAAAGGTGTCCTGACTCTCGTCGATCAATCGAGTAAAGATACAAAGCTGCTAGGGCCATGACCTCGATTGCCAAAAGAGTATCTCTCCAGATAGAACTATAATCTGGCATCAAGGACATGGCACGAACAAAGTACCCCGCGCCTGGTGGGTCTCTCTTTCTAGACTGGTCAAGGAAGGCTTTCCCAAAAGACAGCACTAGCAAGAATTGGACGAACCATAGCCGACTTTCAGCTGCTTTCTTGGCTGCATCCCCGTAGTAGAATTCCTGCATATGCGTCGTGAAGGCCCCTTCGTCCAGGAGCCGGAATGTTTGACCCAGATGAAACTTGACTGTGTTGAAGAGATAGAGAGCATAGTCCATAGACGGGAGACCGCTGATGTCAGGAGTAGCATCAGAAGATGACTTCCATTGTAGGGGATAGATGTCCCCATCAAGAAAATAGGGAATATCGTAGGCTACGTCCGGATGGAGTCTTTGGGTCATCATCAAAGTGAGACGAGCGGTAAAAGACCACGTAGATGTTGGAGCCAGCCAGACTAATCAAGGTCAGCCACATGCGCATAAATCACGAGCATATCGGAGAAAAAGAGTGCCAGGTCTTACCCCATCGAGATAATCGGTTATCGTGGGTATTCCTCATCGTCATCGAGGGCAGACCAAATGGACTGGGCCAGTTTGCACCTGGAGAACGCGATTCTGAATTGAGAACATCTAAAAGAGTAAGTCTACAGCGAGGAAACAACAGCACTTGCCCGCGTCATATACATACTTTCGACTTCCTCAAATGCAACATCGTGAGTTCGTTTCTTCGTTGTCTCATGCTGCTCTTTGGCCTGTGTCTGCAAGTCACGGAGACACCTGCCGCATTATGAGCATCGTATGATCCATAGCCATCCGATCCTTAGAGAAATACCGTTCCGATATCAGAACCCTACGGGTTTCCTCCGCAAACCGACAAGGAATAGCGCGTCTCTGACAATTGGCGCATGGCTCGACCCCAGAGCATTTAATCTTGCTCTGACGACAGGCAATACACCTGGATAAGCGGGGCCAACATCGATCAGTTAGGTTTCTAAGTAACTTCGCAGGTCCCTTACGCGTTCGCCGTTCGTTTCAACTTGCGGGGCTCGGCTTGCATAGTGAAGATCACCCGAGACACCAAGGAGCAGACCCTTAGGCAAGCGAGTAGTCAGCCAAGACGACTGTATCTCAGGACATTTTGGCTCTTCTGCCGTCTGGATAGGAAGAGGGATAATGATAAGCTAGGAGGATGAGGGGAAGACCCCGATCACGAGACCGGTTCGGCCTTATCAGACCCCACAGAGGCTGTCGCTTTTTCTCTAAATTCAGTTACCCGTTTGGGAAAGTCGCGTATAATTGCTTATCTTCGTCTGTCTTCCGCACCGGATTCTGTTCTCTGAAATGTCATCGCACTAATGAAGTTGAAATACAAGTATGACACACAGGTCCACCAATTCTTGGGCATGACTTGCGAGAGCGCGATTACCATAAATTAGAATGGGCCGAGATGTAAATGACCTCAAAACTCGAAAGTGACCGGTGTATGGTGTATATCTGAACGACCTGCGATGACTATCTAAGGTTGGATAACCTGCAAGCTCTACAAGAGTAAAAAATGTCAGTGTCGGGGATCAACTAATTAATCAACTTTTGCTGTTTCCCATGAGTAGGGGATAGGCGCCGGTTCCGACCCGCCAGGGACCGCCCCAGGGCCAATCACTACAAGCACCGCAGCCTCTGCCACATTAAACAAACATCTGCGGTGGAGTAATCTGATCTGTATCCTCCAGCGTCCAAGTATGACCGGCACTGATTGAGAGGGTAACCATTTCACATCCTCTTGGATTCTTTCTGCTTTGGGTTGTTAGGCACTATGAGGCCGGTACTTGTATGCGGATGATGGCGTCTTGGTATCTATCCAAACTGCTCATTTCTGGTGATAATAAAATTTGCATATTTTACTCGGTCAATTCCACTGTCCCAGATGGATCTGTTCTTCGTCACTCAGAATATCCCAATGTGTTATGCGTGTGGCGAGGTTCAGGCTAGTTTGAATGACCCCGCATGATAATCATCCATCCCTCTCCGTCGGTTCGGTTTGAAGGATGCCAATCCCTATCGGATCGGATAATATCCATCTAGTCTAACTCCTACTTGTTGTATACTGGCTTGTTCTAAGAGAGGGCCTCGGGTATTTCATCCGATATAGTGCCAGTTAGTCTTGGTATTCGATTGCGAGATGGGATATGTTTGTCTCCAAGTCTGTTTTCACCATGCTGATTCAGTCACTAGGCTTGGTGCTCAATACGCAGTCCATATAGAACCACGGAAGCGCCCTGATACTTAGATTAACTTCAATAGTAGAATGATAAAGTCCAGAGCACGAGGTATGGTATCATAGCTGGTTAGCGCATTTGCCATGACTTCCAGTAGTTGTTCTTTAACTGCCTCTCCCCAAACCATGCTTGTGCAGTCTGAGAGCACTGTCCCGCAAAGCTGCCGCAGTGCCATGCGATAAACATGAGTTTATCATCTGCTTGGTCTATTTCATCTCGATGTACCTACACATCCCGATCATGGAATGATGGACAGTCTCGATGAACAGATACAGGGGCCCTCACGACAGCCAATCACATGTCCCTATGCCCAGGTCTATAAGTCACGTGAGCAACACCTAAAGACCTCAGGCAACAGCCTTATCGGAGGTTATCGCAAGCAAGCCGTGACGTACCGACATCGCCGGCTTCATTCTGAACACACGACTACCTCATTTCCTTATACCTTCCCACGCGACCAATAGACAATGGCATCATCCTCCTTTTTAAAATCCCCATCACCCCTTGACCTCCCACCCACGACCTCCACCTCCAACCCCCTTTACGTGACCATCCGCTTCTCCGCCTCTATTCCCGACCTCCCCCTCGACATCTTCTCCCCAGAAACCACCACCTCCGCCGGTCTAAAACAACTCATCCGCACACGTCTCCCCCCTCATCTTTCCTCCCACCGTCTCCGTCTCATCCACGCCGGCCGTGGCCTCGAAGACAAGACCCCCCTCTCCGTATCCCTCAAACTCCCTCCCACACCCACGCGCTCCCCGCGACCATCCGCATCCCCACCCAGCGACACCACCTCAGATCCAGCCTCCGATCCCAACCGCAAAGGCAAGGCTCCCGTCCGCGACCATCCCCGTCTCTACATTCACTGCTCCATCGGCGATATCGTTCTCTCAGCGACCGATCTTGCCACGGAAGCGTCGATCGCATCTACGCTCGACGACGAACAACATTCATCATCAGAGTCTAATCACGATGATGGTAGCGCGAGAGGACAACGACAGAAAGATGTACGGAATGATGACGACGCTAGTACTACAACGCCCGCGCCAAGAGGTTTCGACCGGTTACTCTCAGCGGGATTTACACCCGCGGAGGTGGCAGGCCTTCGGTCGCAATTTCTAGCGGTACAGTCGGTATCGCGTACTCCGGATACCATGCCGTCGGGAGCGGAGTTGCGGGAGCTGGAGGACCGGTGGATGGATGAGGGGTCGACGGCGGCTATGGCGGCTGGGGGAGGGGGCGGGGATGGGGCGGTCTCGTTTGCGGATGATGATGGGGGTTTTGGGGCTGGGTCGAGGGGCGCGATGGATGATATGCTTTGGGGGGCGGTGATGGGGTTCTTTTGGCCGGTTGGGTGTGCTATGTGGTTGAGGAGGGAAGAGGGGGTGTGGAGTTGGAGGAAGGGGTTGGCGGTTTTTGTTGGGGTCGTGGTCAATATTGCCTTTGGGGCGATGAGGATTATGAATTAGCGTTTTGGTTTAGTTTCTTTTCCATGTATTATACCCTTGGCTGTTCTGCTTCTTAAGTTTTCTAGACATCATAGGGCCCGGATCGTGAACGGTTGTATGTGAGATATACTAGAACATGTAACATGGCGCCTGATTAAAGCTGATGGGTTGCTATCATACAACATTGCGTGATGTGTCTGCGACTGCAGACTTATAAGTGTCGTTAAGAGGGGGAAAAAATGAAAGAGAGGCCACCGGTAATAACGCCTTCCAAACCCATGCTCAATGGAACTTGCTGTAGATAACGGCAAAAATCAACAGGATCAAGACAGTGATGATTGCAATTGTGATCAACCGATTCGTAGCCATCCTAGAATACAGTAAGCATTTGAGCAGTCAAGCAGCTGTGACAAGTAGCGAAGCAAATGTCCTTGAGTGTTAGGGGGACAGTACCTACGGGCCATGCCCCTTAGTGTCTTGATACTGGTGTCTACATATCCTTCGCTCTCGAGCAGCCGACCCCGCGCATTCATGATCGTCTCGCGCTGCTGGTTCAAGTCGGCCAAGGTGTTGCGACCAATATCCTCCGTCTCGAGGGCGATGCGCTGACTCTCCTGGAGCCGGGCGGAACTCCGCTCCAACCGCTCCGTACCAGACAGGAGCTGTTGCCTTTGTTCCAGATGTTCGTCCTGCGGATCATCTGTGTAGCGGTCGCCGAAGAGCGCCTTGCGGTCATCGGAAAGAGACCTCAACTTGCGTTTGGCCTCGTCGATATCGGTAGCGTAGTTGCGAACGCGCGTGTTGATCTTCGATCGTGCTGCTGAGGGGATGTTCTGCTTCTCCATGCGCATTTGATCTAGCTGTATTCCCGCCTGTTAGTGGAAAATTGACGCGGGGCGCGCTTCTCGCCAAATGCGTCCAACATACCAATTCCGTGGCTTCATCCAGGGCTCTCTCGGCTTGCCTAATTGCTGACTTTCGTTGTTCACCGCTTGACTCGGCGATCTGGTCCAACTTCTGATTCAGATCGGCTTGCACCAGCTTTAGCTCGGTCTCGTAGCTGCTGAAGAGCTCCGAGCCGGCGTCGGTGTCCAACGGGTTCGACATTATGATATTAGGTGAGGGGTTTGCGTAGGTTAAAGAGACTCTGGTTATGTTTCACAGCCGGATTAATCAGTGGATAGGGGTTGCGGATCCAAGTAAGTGGAGAGAGTAGTACGGAATAGCCACCTTATCTTCCGTGGTGGCTGGCGGCGCCCGTGCTGCTCCGGGAAACGAGATTGGGACAATCAACGGAGTAAATGACACGGTCTATTAGAGAATGAACCAGTATCAGCTCGAAAATCAAAACCGGTATATCTGAAGGACAGACAGAGATGCAACTGGATGGAAAGCAGACAGGATAGGCAGATGCATGGAGTTGAGACAACTGGCTGGACTGCGGCGATGACAGGAACGGCGACAGCCACACGTGATCGGCGGCCGAGGCAGAGGAATCGATCCGGCTGACGTCGTCGGGCTCAACGGTCGTTAAACCAGACTAACTTATTAGTCTAGTACAATGTAGTTGCATCGCATCTGGCGCCAAGTTCGGCCAACAGATCGATTGTATGGTTTCCATTCATCGTGCCGTTGAACGCCGCTCCTCCAATCCAGGGTCCCAGCGCTCACCCTCGCTTGTGGGAGGCTGACATTATGGTTGGCTTGTTCCTTTCCACTGCTTCGAGGGAAATGGTCCCCTGACTCGTGGTCAATTAACTTCTCCAGCATTCGCCCCCCTCATTATTTCCGTCTCAGATCGGTGGAGCTTCCTCCTCGACTCTTATATTGGCCCTCCTCCTAGGCACCCCTCACTAGTGACATGTCACATATTTACCCCAGTTTTCGTTTGGGCCCTCTTTTTGGTAGATCTGCTCAAATCTCAAGGAACATTCCTTGAAGACTCCTGGCTGAGTTGCCCTATCCTGTGTCTGTCATCTGATGCGATCACATTTGACCGCCACATGAGGACAAAAGCGCGTAGCAGACCGGGATCTGAGCGCGCGTGGATGTCTTGATAAATCTTTCGTCACCCTTGGTCTTCGATCTTTCTGTGAGACTGTTCTACTATCTTGCCACTCCAATGTTCCCTATCCCAGTACCTCCGGATAGGGCAAGGAGTACTTTACAATCTTTCTAAGCTGTGCACTAGACACTGCGACTGGTTCTTAAATCAATATTTCAAAGGCGCTAAATTCACGCCAATTTCTTCTTGTCGTTCTCTTCGGTTGACCTGCTCGATGGCAAGGTTAACCGCTAACAGCTGTTGTTTTCATGCCGCTCTTTCAGCCTGAGCGTGTTGCTGTTATAGGGGGCGGTTGCACGGGTATCACGACCTTCTGGGCGTTGCGGAATTCCACCCATGATGTCCATCTCTTTGAAGCCTCGGACTCTCTTGGTGGGCGCGTAAAGGCCCTGCCTTTTGAGCATAATGATCACCGAGTTGATGTCAATACAAGTCCTCCCACTTTCAATGCAGGGACTTCTCGTTAGTGGCAATCTCCGAGCCCGTATCTTTCTTGACTAATTCACACCTTCAGCCAACCTCGTTTCGTTGTTAGACCACCTCGGGATTACCGGTGTCAAGGCTCCGTTCTCCTTTGGGGCTACAGATGGGATTGACAGTTTCCAATGGTGTGGTAGCGTACTGAAAAGTATACTTCTTCGTCCATGGACGCTTTGCAACTTTGAGACCTATCGCATACTGTGCGATGTTATTTGGATGAGATACATGGCCGTGGACGTACTTGATCACGGCTTTGAGGCTTGTAACCCCACCGACGCCCAGTCATTATCTATGCATGAGTACCTCGCAGGCGAAGAGTACTCCAATATCTTTATCGAGAACTACCTAGCTCCACTGCTGTCCATGCTGTGGAGCACAAATGCGGGGAGATTTCTGCCACGGGTGCCTGCGAAAGCTCTCGTCCAGGCTCTGTGTGATCATCAGCTGCTGAGGCCCCGTCAAGCCTTGCCAGACTGGCGTCGTATCGGACCAGGGGTGAGTCATTTCATCCAGACCATGACGAAAAGCTTCCCCTCCTCCAAGGTCCATCTTAAGACCAGAGTAAGGGAGGTCGTTCAGTATGGAAAGAAGTATGGTATCATGACATCTGCGGGCGAAGAAATGTTCTTCAACCATATCGTCTTCGCCGTGAACGGCCAGGAGACTATCAAGATATTGGGAACGCTCGCAAACGAGCAAGAAAAGGAGATCATGCGAAGCTTGGGATCAACCCGAAACATTTCTGTTTTACATTCAGACCCTCTTGTAAGTCATAACCGCTTATATATAATCTCCTACTAACCGCACAAACCAGCTCATGCCCAACGTCGAGGACCCCGGCCCCGCCTGCAACTACATCCTAGGCCCCAGCAACCAAGACTGGCCAACCCAACCAAGCAACAACACCACTACCACCACATCCCACATCTCCAGCCTCAGCTACATCGCCAACTTCCTCGACAGCATTCCATTCCACCTTTTCGGCCCCATCTACATCACATTGAACCCCTTCACTCCACCCCACCCAAGCCAAGTGCAAGGTGTATGGGAGTTCACCGACCCCGAACCAAGCGCCCAGACCCTGATAGCACAACACCATCTCCCCTCCATCCAGAACAAGCGTGGTCTGAGTTACGGTTTCTGCTGGACAGGACGCGGACACTTAGAAGATGCCATCACGGCTGGTCTTAGAATCGCCATTCAGGACCTAGGCGCCGAGGCTCCATTCCACGTGAAATTCCACCAGGATCCTCTGGAGGCGGCGGCTTCAGGGCCCCCGGGCCTCGGCTTGAGAGATAATGCGATCCGGACGATTATTCGTTTGGTTCATGTTTATGTTCTCATTATGAGACTCGTTTTGGTTTTGTTTAGAGCTTTGCCGGGTGCAGCTGTGAAGGCGAAGACAAGATTTAGACCGATGTGCAATGCTGCTGCTGCTAGTAAGGAGAAGACTTCTTGAAGAATGATGTTTGTTAGAGGGAAGAGTCTTGGGACGTTTACGGATATTACTAGACGAGAAATATTATTAACACGTTTCCGGAGGTTGAAAGAGAATCCTAATACTGGTAGTTGACATTAACGTAAAATAGCTCATTCATAGGAGAAGCAATCGCTCTTCCCGGTTTAGTTAGGAAAAAATAATAAGACCTGCAGACATGGTATACATATTGCTTTCTTGTATGTGTTTGTTTGTTTGTTTCGTTCGCTTTCTCTTCACACCCCGTCTTGCCTGCTCCCCAAAAATCCAGCCAAGTAGTATGCCACGTCCCGCTTATTTGAGGTACTTCTCACTATCCTGGTTCACGATCGTGGCGCTCCTCCGCGCATCAAGGAACAGGTCTTCGCACTCTGCCACGTCGGCTTCCTCGATACCTCCTGGGCGTCCATTCACCTTGGCAAGGATACTAGCCGGGGTGAGTAATTGCAGAGCATACCGCAAGCTGACCTTGCTGCCGTGCTCGGCAACCTTCTCCAGGGCGGGGTCGGTGATGTTGAGGCCTTCTGTCTTGGCGCGCAGGCGAATGATGGTCTTGATCTCATCGGGAGAGTAAGGGTGGGTGGGGATGATGAGGAGACGGGCGAGAAGGTCGGGAGGGATGCCGTGGGCGGCGGAGATGTCGTCGGTGCCGCGGATGACCGTGTTGCCGCGGTTAGAGGCAAGGATGACAATGGGGGAGATGGAGGATTCGAGTGCCCGGTTGAGGTATGTGAAGCATTCGATATCGAGCATGTGAACCTAGGGGTGGGGTTAGCAACTGATTGTAAGGTAAGGCTGTGAAGGGCTGGAATAGTCTACCTCGTCGATGAAGAGGACACCGGGAACGAGCTCCGCAACGCCCTGGTCAATGTAGCGGTTGACGACCTTGTTGATCTCCTGGCGCAACTTCTCCGTGATTTCGGTCTTCTTGGGCTTCATGAGCTGTCCCATCATGCTCATCACATCCTGTCCACCCTGGGGCCGCGCATTGGCCATGTCCAGATCGTGCAGCGTCACATCCTGGACGATTTCCTTCTTCTTGTGAACCTCTCCCTTCGGTACGGGCACGTATTCCTCTGCTTCAAGATCGAACTCGGTGGCGTAGGCATCGGACCGTCCGACACGCTTGCAGGCTCCGGTATTCGCTTCGATGTAGATGACGTCTCCCACGGTGACCCGCTCCTTTTGGATGGCTTCGTAGATGCTGGGGTCCAGGCGCAGCTTCTTGGTGCCCTTGGCAGACTTTAGGCCGATGATCAGATGGCTGATCGTGCGTCCGTATCCTCCCAGAGGGTTCTCCGTCTCTTCGGGGGTAAGTTCCGTGACTTCACCTTCGTATACTTCCTTCGTTTCGCGAACACGGAGACCTATCGATGCATTAGAGGCTATTGAGACTTTCGCGTCAAGATTGTACGGATCGCGTACCAATTGCCCTCCGGAAGTTCTCCATGAGTGCCTCTGTTTTCTTGACCTCAGCAGAGTAGATCTCACTACCAACGATCGGACAGAAGGGGACTTTGGTTCCCAGCTCCTGCGACACGGCGAGGGCCAGAGCAGTCTTTCCAGTTCCGGGTCCACCAGCCAGGAGGACGGCACGACCGGCCATCTTCTTCGCCTTGATCAGATCAACAACGACACCGCATGCCTGTCATATCAAGCCTCCGGGTTAGTACATAAGTTTAAGAGCTTAGAGAGTAAGACTTCTGAGCGCCAATGTTGTCGCGTACCTCACGAGCAGTTGCCTGTCCAACGAAACCATCTCCTGAAGCCTCCGCAGTGCCATCTTGTCGTAGACCAAGACCCTTGATATGCGTGTGGGCCGCGGTTCTGTTCTCGCGCGAGTTGCCCTTCACTTCACTGATTTGGACCATGGTGAAGGGATTGTGACCTCACTCAGAAGCCACAGATATGCGATCGTGGGGGTGTAGAAAGTTTCGGCAAGGAGGAAGACACACGAGAAGTAGGAAGAGCTGACAGGATCAGAAAAAGCTGGAGATGATGGAAGGAAAGACGAGTCTGGATGCAGCTGCTTCTGGCCGAAATTCAAGCGCAGCTGGGGAGAATCGATCAATGATAGCCGGCCGTGGCCAAGGCGGTCAGCCGCGACCCCCAAATTCTTTCACCATCCGGTGCTGGACGGTCCACGCCTATCTCCAACTATCTCGTCCGCTGCTGCTGTGCTCTGCCGGCGCCTGTTCTTCTCTTCCCCGGTCGATTCCCTGTCATGGTCGACTGCCTACCGACCTTTTGATCTACACAATGGCGGGTTTACAGACTCGTTCGACCATGTCCCTTCCGTTCTCCCTCTCTGCGGCTTTTCGCAACCTTTCCGTCACGACCCCCAAACGTTCCTTCTCCACGACATTGGCGGCACAGAAGACGAAACAATTGCCGGATTACATCCCTCCTTACCCCTACGGTCCGAACTATGTCTTCAAGCAGTCCAACTCTGGTCTCTACGGAGGCGCGATGATCCAATTCGGAAACAAGATCTCACAAGGCCGCAATGAGGGCAAGACCCGCCGATTCTGGAAGCCCAACGTTCGTCGGAAGAAGCTCTACAGCGAAGCACTCGGAGAGGACCTTTTCATCAAGGTCACGCGCAAAGCGCTGCGCACGATCCGGAAGGCCGGTGGCCTCGACAACTACCTTCTGAGCGACCGCCCGGGCCGTATCAGGGAGATGGGTATCTTTGGCTGGGAGTTGCGGTGGAAGATAATGCAGACGCCCAAGATTCAAGAGAGATTCCGGGAAGAGCGGAAAAAGCTGGGTATACCCGAACCTCCTACGTTCGAGGAGTGGGTGAAGCAGAAGGAGGACGAGATCAAGGCGAAGGTGGAGGAGGAGACGAATATCAAGGAGATCACGAAGCCAACGTACAACGAGAAACAGTACTAGAGACTTACAGGGCATGTCTCTAGCAAAGTCGATTTGGGACGGTCAATTTCGGTTGATTATCTGGTGACCAACGGATGGGCGTCTGTTGTATTATTATTTCTTTGGTCATGGTCGACAGCGTCTGCATACCGCTTTCATATATCTCGGATGGTGAAAAAGACGACTGTACAGCTACTATTTAGATCTTGCATGGACTGCTTGGATTTGCGTGATTCGCTCTTCAGTGTATTTATATGTTACCAATGCAATTTGGATTAATTGACCTTGGTGTCCACATGGCGTTGAAGGGACTAACTCAGGCATATTTGCAGATTGACCCTCGGTATGGTAAACGTGTCTGGGCCAGTACCTTTCCTTGCATATACAACACTGATCCATCACCACGTTAGAAAGTTGCGAGTGACTCTGGAAGATTTGCGATGCAATCCATGCGGGATCCAACGTGCCCGAATGGGAAGATATCGTATCTATACATAGACATTAAACAACCACAACCTTACTTCATCATGAGCCAACCATTAATAATCATCATCACTGGCCTTGGAATATCTCTCATAATAGACAATCTGCAAGGTCATCGGCTTTGTGCCTGGAATGCTGCGATCTCTCGGACCAACAAAGATCCGCGGGCGCATTTCCGGATCCGGCAGAGGAGCCCGTGAAGCCGGATCAGTTACAAGCAATTGATGCTGCCTCCGCTCCAAGCTCGTAACTGCGTGCTAGAATGTCCTGATCCTACGGAGTTACAATTGATTATCTTTACATCTTTCACAGTCGCCCAGCATCTACCCGCTGGGGACAAGTACACGCATCATGCAGTTCGCTCTGCCTCCGCGGAGGACTCCGATAACCCCTCCGTACGCTCGCTCGTCGCGAATCTCACTCCAGCGCAGGAAACAGCTCAAAGCTGTGGCCATTCTGGGCTTCGCCCTGCTCACCGTCTTCTTCCTTCTTTCCCAGTTTTTCTACACAAGTACAGGGGCCCCGGCCGTACCAGCAGGAACATCCAGCATCGTCGTCGTCACCGTTCTAGACAGGACGGCTTGGAGTAACGAGTACATCCAGAAGATCGTCAAGAACAGAGAGGACTATGCTAAGCGACATGGTAAGGCGACAGCAACCCAGTCACTTTCCTCGTGTCCAGTAACTCTTCTAATGTCTCACAATTGTGATTCAGGCTATACGAACTTCTTTGCCAACGTTTCCGACTATGAAACCGTCCTCGATAACGCCCCGAAGTCCTGGGCCGTCCTCCCAGCCCTCCGTCACGCGATGGCCTCCAACCCGTACTCGAAGTACTTTTTCCACCTAGATGCTCACGCCCTAATAATGAACCCGAGCAAATCACTTGAATCGCACGTCCTCGACAAGGACCGTCTCGAATCCCTCATGCTCAAGGACGTCTCCGTCGTGCCTCCCGATAGCATCATCAAGACGTTTTCGCATATACAGGCTCAAGATGTCGATCTCATTATGACCACCGATGCGGAGGATTTGAGCTCCGGTAGCTTCCTCCTTCGACAGGGTGATTTTGCCAAATACTTCCTCGACTTCTGGTTCGACCCTCTGTACATTAGCTATAACTTTGCAAAGGCCGAGACCCACGTTCTGGTAAGTGAGGAGACACATTACGCTTCTATCTTTTTAGCTTTTCTATTTATACGCCGGACACCTCTAGTCGGATGTTCGCCTTATCAAATTCGGTTCTTTATTTTTTGCTTTTGCTTCATGATTTCCTGCGTCACCAGACTAAGTAACTAACCTACGTCATCAATTGCTGTCCAGGATCACATTGTGCAATGGCACCCAACTATCTTGGCCAGATTGGCTCTGGTTCCACAGCGGACCATCAATGGGTACAGCAAGGATTCAAACGGGGCTGGCGTGGACGGCGTCTATAAGGACGGTGACTTCGTCATTCGGTTCCTTGGCTGTGACACCGACACGAAGCGGAGTTGCGAGAAGGAAATGGAGCCGTATTATCGGCTTTGGGCGGGAAAGATGAAGAATGAGTAACCTCCTTCTCTCGTGTCTGTCTTCTCCCCTCTCATTTTCGCTGTTCCATAATGTAATGCCCATATTTGCTTGGGGGAGTTTGGGTATGATTTCATTTCCATTGGTGTTGGGAGTTTATTTGACAATTTGTCTTCGGACTTTGGTATTGTGATATTGGTCCATAGAGAAGCCAGCGCATTCATTCCAATGCTGCATGAAAATTACCTACTACCTCGCAACCCAATAGCATTATTGCTCAAATTAAACATGATTATTATTCGTCCACGTCAATAACTAATAACCTCCGCATAACTCTCGTAATAAAACTAACAACCGGACTATAATCTATCATAATGGGTTACACATTGAAGGACAAACTGTCATGCAGAGAACAAGACTCTGCCGTAATCTTCTCGATCGTCGAGAACCATCCATCTCTCCGCACACCTTACCCCCGAATGCAGTCGAGGTACATGCAAGGTCCCGGGTAAGCTTGGCCAATGCCAAGACAACGCATGCGAGGCCGATAACCTCGCACATCACGCGTACTACTTTTATTCAAAGTAACCGTGCACTTGTCTAGTACAGACCGGGCAGGATAACATAGCGCTTGCGCTTGTACTTGTCACCGAACTCTTTGCGGTAGCGGCGTTCCTTCTTCTTAGCCCAGAGAGCCATCTGCACGGTACCAACGACAATGAAGAAGAGAACGCTCCAGCTCATTCCGCTCAGCAGGTAGATGCCCACCCAGCTGACAACCTCGAAGAAGTAGTTGGGGCAGGTAACGACGTTGAATCCAAATCCGGAGGGAATGCCTCTTTCCGTGGTACCGGGACGGCGCAGGTCGCGTAGCACAAGGTGAGCGTTTAGGTTCGCAAGCTCGCCGAAAATGAACAATGCCAGACCGCTGTAGAGGAGGAAAGAGTCTTGGATGGTGGCGGCGGGGGAGTCGGGACGGAAGACCCAGTAGGCGATGTTCAAACCGGCTAGGACCCAGTAGTGGCCGCTGTTCTTGACGATGTTGCGTGCGGGCATGGTGGCATTGCTGAAACGGTGGACGAAGACGGTTTCGTATTCGCGCTTGATGAAGTGGATGGTCAGGAGGGCGCAGACCAGGAGCTGGAACTGCGATGGGTCGGGAAGTGGCTTGTCGAAGTTAAAGTAGACATATGGGCGGAGGGGGAAGAGGAAGAGAGCCGGGATGAAGAGCGGTCCGAGGTATTCGATAATGTAGACGGTGCGCCATCCAAGTTGGGGGCCTGAAGATTATGGAGACGGTTAGTGAATGAGTCGGGATATAGTGGTGGTGTAGTTTGGGATGGGGTCGTGTCAGCTTATCTACTAACCGAGATCTTTGATGTGCAAGACGCTCTTTTCCTTCAGACCGATTCCGTCGACGGTCGAGTCCTTAGAGTTGGGGACTACAGTGCGATCGCTACCCTTGGTGATCCTGAGACGGTGGATGGAGAAGCCCGAGGCTTCCGCGAGCTTGTTGTAGATTTCGGCGGTCGAGGCATTGGAGGACACCTGAACCTCCTTGGGGAGCTTCTTAATGGGTTTACCTAAATGATGGGAAGCCAATGTCAGTTCGGTTCGGAGATATTGATTGACATTGACTGGAAGGGAGATGATGGTGGCCAGGAAACTTACCCCGGGGCTGAACAACTAAAGTGAGGGACGCCATTGGGATTGGGCTTGAGACACACAGGCTCGTAATGACCCGGCAGGCACAGGGGATGTTATGTGAGGATTATGCCACGTGAGCTGAGGTAAGAGCACAGTGCCAGGGTTTGTATACGAGGAAAGATAGTATTGATGGCGCAGATGTACCCGGTTAACGGAAGCGACAGACTTGTTGAGAGTAGCCCAGCAAAAAGCGGCTAGTCAAGAGGCCATTGCGGACTAGTGAGCTGCTTAGTGTATCGAGACTAATCATACTAAGACCCCAGGCATTCCTCCTCGGCCCGCGAAGCATCACGTGGGACGATCTGCCGGGGACCAAACTTCTGGTTGCTACTACACAAAAAGAGTAGTATACTATTGTTACCCGGAAGGGTCGTTCAGTACTACTTATCGGAGTACGGAGTAGATACTTGAGGGACAAACAATCCCCAAGTCGATACCTTGTCCGTCACAGTGACGCTGACAGAGAGTTGTCAAGGCCCTTCCCTGTGCTTACATGTCTTACTAGATTCACTTTAATGTTTTTGCTTTTCCCATTCTTCCTTTGTGCTTATTATCTTGTTCCCACGTTTTCGCTGCCTGCTACAGAGTGCTACCTTCTTGCTGTATCTCTCAGCATTTGGTCATATCGGCATTCTAAGATTTAGTTATGCCTTTTGCTTATTCAATACCCCATTCAATTGCTATTATTATGACTATTATTTCTTTTTCTTTTTCTTTTTCTTTTTCTTTTTCTTTTTCTTTTTCTTTTTCTTTTTCTTTTTCTTTTTCTTTTTCTTTTTCTTTTTCTTTTTCTTTTTCTTTTTCTTTTCCTTTTTCTTTTTCTTTTTTCTTTTTTCTTTTTCCTTCTTGGTTTGTGCTGTTGATAGTACGTATATTTCGGATAAATATGGACTTGAGACCATTACAATCAAGTATTATCGGTGATGATGGGCCACAAGATACAACAGAAGGAGGATGGCGTAATTGGAGCCATCGGAAATGGATCAAGACTGAAATTTATGAACGCCATTGTGTATCAGCAAGTCAGCCAAACACATGCGCCCGCTACGATTGTCCCGATTGTCAAGGTCACTACCGGGACTGGCTAGACCTGATAGACGTACTAAACAGGATAGTAGCGTTCAGCTTTATCCGACAGTGTGTACGGAGGAAATAGTGGCGCCTTAGTCCCAGTCTGTCAGCCAGCCTTTCTTCATTTTTGCCCCCGCTCATTTAGCAGCCCCGTCTTTAGCTCGGTGCTAGCGGCATACCTTCATCTACCCCGTACTAAGCAGCAGCCCGCCCACTTGACAGCAACTCACCACATCCCAAGCCAGACTATCCATGCAGTTCGTGCTTGCCACTACCCACTGGCCTCGTTGGGAACGAAAGGGAGGCGCTCTGATAGGATCTCTCTACTCTAAGATCCCCCCCATCCCCGAATTGACCGTATTGTCAACCATTACCCGATGAAGTACCAGTAACCCCGACCAGGTGTCAAGGGCAACTCGCAAACTTTGGATGAGCACAGGTCCCCGAACGACGATGAAATAGGAGGGTGGGGAATAATAATACAGTGCGCTGGATTTGCAAGATCTTCTGGCACTCTTTTCAGCTCCTCCCACCCGCCTTCGCTAACTTGAAGCTCCAGCCGCAGATCGACCGGGTTTTTGCCCGGGCTGAAAAAGAGTCCCCGCCAGTCGAGTTTGCCGGGGACACTGCCAGGGCCACCCGTCCAAAGCCTCACGATACGGTCCATCCATGACTATCCCTCGTATCTTCTTCGGCTGCGCACGCCATACGTCTTGTCTAAACTGTGGATAAGGCCACCCATCGAGAGTTTGGTGCTAAGGCATGTTCGATCATAGTCCGCATCCACCTGTTAGCCTTGCATACGGTGTGAACTGCGCCGAGGTCATGTCTCATGCACGCGAATCAGAAGTCTGTCTGCTCACCTGTCACGTCCAATGAGGTATTCCTCGTTACGGACAGGACGCCGGTGTCTGCTATCGCTCCGTGGACATTTAGTAGTATTATTTGTTGGAACGTAATCTCAGTAGATTACTAGTAGTCGAGGTCACGTGACCCGAACTCCGTAACTTCAACTGCTCCTCCGAGCGCGCCTAGATAGCGAAGAATCAAGCGTTTTCAACGACTTCAGTATTGACCTAAAACGTCGTTTCAACAGGTTATGAGCCCGGCTCTTCGCTCGTGAGGCTAACCAGCAAAGATCTGAGCCACCATACACACGAAGCAAGCCGCAATTGCAACGGGGACACGCACCGCGATACCCCTATCTCAAAACACCAAAACACCGCGAATATCAAAATATTCAACCGCCGGAAGCAGACCCCAGAATGTCGCAACCAGGCAGATACCACTCTTTACAACATGTCTCGAATACAGAGGCAGTAGCCATACAACCAAAGACACAAGCAGATAGGCTTCCAGTAAAGCTACCAGAAGGCGTTCAACCCGTATCTGAAAGGTTGAAAGGGCGAGAAGACTACTCAACGTGGCGCTTTGAAATATGTCAAATCCTGAAGAACGTCGGTCTACAAGACATGATCGACAAGGGTCTATCCCATCCTAGTACAAACCACACGAATTACTGGCTATGGCACCACCTGTCAATCAACATCCAGTCCTGGCTAGCTAGCCAGCTGTCAGACCCCCTAAAGAGGGCACTGATGACGTCCCCTGACGCGCACGACTACGCGGACGATGCCTACGAAGTCATCAAATCACTCGTCCTAGGCCACGGCCACACGCTTTGCCAAACAACGTACTTCGACCTCATCCACAAACGCCGATCCGACTACTCTACCGTTGAACAATACGTGGAGGCGTTCAAACACGCATACAACTTCGCTAAAGAGTTGAAAGTCGGGATATCACCATACTGCGGGTTGCTACACCTGCTCAAAGAGCTGGAATCCGACCTTCCAACGTGGGTGTCAACAGTGGAGTGCAATTTGCCTGATAATGCTGCGGACACCCTCCAGGAGAAAGAGTTTCTAGTTTACTGCAGGACCGCAATCGAACAAGGTAATAAACAAATGCAAAGATATTCTTTCGCTGCGCCAGCGAAGAACACTGGAAGCACCACCAAGTCGGGAAGCACTGCAACGACCTCAGAGTGGAAGAAATCAACATTCCCACCGAAAGGAACGACCCCTGAGGAACACGCTAGAAAGATGCGAAACTTGAAGCCAGAGATGACTAAGGGACGCTGCGCTTTCTGTAAGACACTAGGCCATGGAGCAACCACCTGCTGGCGCTTGAATCCTGACCTCCGGCCAGAGGATTATAGGCCTCGTATAGAAGGCATCTGGTGGTTCAAAGGATCGAAGCCTAGCGAAGCATCAAATGCAGCGGTAGGCGAAATAGGATCCGATGACGAAAACCCGTATATTTTGAATTTTTCTGGCCTAGCCGTTGCAAACGCCACGAACACCTCGCTACGCTGGATATATGATACAGGCAGCTCACAGCATCTAACACCTGACTGCGCTTCCCTAAGCGGTCTCCACCAATTGAAACCCCACGAATACTACCAATATGGCACCTCGAACGGGGGAATCGGTGTTGCAAAATCGGCAGGGTATCTGACCCTGACCCTAGCTGCAAACGGCCAAAATACGGTGTTGAAGATCAAGGCCTACCACCAACCGGACCTACCCTACGGGCTCCTTTCTTCCAACCGCCTACGTACAGACCTTGGCATCTACGCTACCACTAAGGACCTGACCCTACGCAGGGACCGGGATGACAAGATCGTCGGCCACCTGCAGGCATCGAAAAACGTGCTTTTCGTCAGGACAAAAGACCCTGACCTAGCGCTAGCGGCAGTGGACCCCCTACTCTTGCACCGGCGATACGGGCACGCAGGATTCCGCCGAATCGCTACCACTGCAAAGGATCATCAAATTGAACTCGAACACAGGGACACCCTAGAGTGCGAAGCATGCTCGCTAGGCAAGGCCACACGCCTCGTTTCAAGGGACCCAATCCCAAAGACTAATGATCCAACACAGCTCTGGCATGCAGACATCCAAAAGGTGACCCCGATTGGTCATGGCGGATTCAACTACTTTCTACTCATGGTCAACAACGCTACTCGCTTAGTGAGGACGGCCATGCTTAAACACAAAGATGACGCCTCCGACGAGCTGATCAGGATGGATATGGAACACAAGAATATGGTCGGCCGATACGTGGCCACCTGGCACCTAGATGGTGGCCGCGAGTTCAACCGCTTTAGGAAATGGGCGAATCATGCAGAGCGAGGCATTCAAATCAAAATATCACCTCCTCGAACACCCGAAGCCAACGGCCTAGCTGAACGATACGGCGGCTTGCTCAACCGAATGAGCAGGGTCATGATACTAGATGCTGGCCTCCCTGCTCACCTCTGGCCGTACGCTGTACGCCTCTCAGCGCAGATCCTGAATCGCCTCGTCCCCTACCACAGCGCTGTCAGGAAGACCCCCGTGTTCCTATACAGATCCCACTACAACCTCCCGAATCCTAACGCGTCACTAGACTTCCTACGCGTATTCGGATGTCGTGCCTACCAACACATCCCGCAGGAAGATCGAGTCGCATCCCAGAAAATGGGACCTCGTGCAAAAGTCGGATACTTCGTCGGTTTCGATGGGGACAACGGACACGTTTACTACGTGTGGGATCCTATATCTGATAAAATTAAACGATCACGAGACGTTAAATTCAACGAAGATCGAACCTACAAGGATGACAAGGAGGATCCCGGTGGAGTTCCTACACGCGAACCTGACCCTAAAGGACCAACACCAGCTGGCCCAGGTGCCGCGCTCAAGTTAGACAACGCGTTCCTGCACCAAACAACCAATATATCAGATAACACGAGGGCCCTGATTGAGCAACCGGACCCTGAAGAAGACGTCATCCGAGGCAGAATCCACACCATATCTGCCTCCGCAGAGCCTCCACCTACACGCTCGATCGAGAATGCCACAGAATACGAGGCATCCTCAA